GATGTAGAGGTGGACTCTCAGGGTAGGGCGGGATATCCCTTCCATTTTGGCCTCATTTTGAGAGCTTTTTTTGCGCTTGGGAGTTGATTTGAGAGAAAACCAGTGGCACCATCGTGTTTCTCGCGAACTTTTACATAAGAAACAACAGTCAAATCACAAATCCCTCACACATGCAACATCTTCATTCAATGCTTTTCCGGGCTCATCTCAATGTGCAGTTACGCCTTTGTGTCAGCCAAGCGACGACTTCTTCCTCTTCCTTGAGGAAATTAAAAGGAAGGCCTGTCCCAGTATTGGGGATGGTCAATCGATGTCTCGAATGTTTTGATAATTCTTTTGTCGATTCTTGAATAAATGATTTGTTTCCTAATTTTCATGTCTCTTCCATTATCATTTCATTTTCCCATTTTTTAAAAACAAATTTTCATGTGTCGAAAAAGGGAATCACGACTCCCACTCTGTGTCTGATGATGAAAAGACCTAGCCTGCCGTGGTAAGGAAAAACGCCGAATGAACATTCGAGAGTTGCCAAATTTCCCTCTCTGAAATGTCTATTATTGAGGAAATGTATGAATATTTTTACCTGAAATTTTCAGGAACTTTGAGTGAAATTGCGAACAAAATGATCTAAAAAATTGGAATAGAAATATTCAAAAATATACCGGGAAAGTCGTGTTGTATCATAGGAAATTTGGCAACGTCTGACGGTTCATACGGCGTTTTTCCTTAGCACAGCAGTATCAACAGTCCCTCCTTTCCTGGTACTCTCTGAAGAAAAACTAGTAGATTTGGGATCTCGAGTGAATGAGATGATAAGAGGACCTATTCACCGTATGCCTCCTTTACTGGTATATTCATAAAAAATACCATGATTTAGGCTAGTCTACTACAAATTAGATGACGGAAACACCTGTTGTTGACTGATGATAAGTTTAAAAAGTAAAATTGACCGCAGGTTTCTCCCGACCCCATGGGCCTGAGGGGTGCGAAGTAGTCGAAAGAGTGATGAGGACCAGCCGAAGTTCGTCCGTTTTGCTCTACGACCAACTGTAAATTTTTCAACTTTGAAAAATGAGGGACATTCTAACCAACGGTTTACGAGATATTCGCATTTTTCTAGTTAAAAACTGATTGAATGATTTTTGACTTCAGTAGAGGGAAAAGTGACTTGATTTTAACAGAAATATGCTCAAATTTACCGCCGAGAAGATTTCGTTTTGAATCGACAAAGAAAATAATGCTTGTGTGAAAAAAAAGATGCTTATATAAAAAGAAGAGTCACTTAAGTACATCAATGAGAAACCAGCTTTCAGCGATTTTATTCTTGATTCAAAATCAAATCTTCTTGATGGCATACTGAAGGATGTCTCTGCCTAAATCGAGTCACTTTTTTCTCTAACGAAATTCAAAAATTATGCTAAACGTTATTAAATACGGATGCTAGGACTCGGTGAGTTTTTGTACTACCGCTCTCTTTGTGCTGTAGTAGGTAGAGCTGTCGTCAGATACGTTGCATTTGTCTACTTTCGGTTTGCAAGCGTTTTCGCGTCACTGCTAGCGGCAGCGCCAATGATGCCAGATTGCACTGAAAATCAGCACTTTTCTCCATTTAATACCACGCAAAACATTCAAATTATCCTCATGAAAACACCCGACTCTCGCAAACGCAAGAACACAAGCCTAAATAAGTTTGTTAATACTTCCAAACCTTGTAACACTTTAAATTTTAGCCACACTAAAATCACAGCCACATAAAAGTCGCGGATCATAACTGATACGTAGCTTTTTTTTACGAAACGGTCATGAGACGGATGTTCTTAAGGTGGATAGTAGCGAACAACGGTCTATGCAGAGGCCTAAATTTTTCGTCCGCGGTTGCAAACCGAAGTAAACAAATGCCAACTCATCTGACGACACCTCCATCTTTATTTATTTTGCGAGAAAGCTCCGTACTCTTGAAGGATGTCCGTCGTTCTTAATATGTTGGAGCGCCTTCAATTTCGTATGACACTGTGCAACACCTCTGTTGTGAAATAGTTGCTTGGAGCGCCGTGGCACGCTGCGACGCGGCAGGCGGCCGGCCAGCACGAGACGCGCATTGGCGCCTACAAACCTAAGGGGATACTTAAAGCATTGCGCAATGCGTGAAGTATCCCCTTAGGTTTGTAGGCGCCAGTGCGCGCTTCGCGCTTGCAGCATGCCGCTCCGCTCTGTGTTAGGCTCTAATATTTAAACTCGCGGAGTCAGCGTTTTTCAACTCATAATTTTTGAAATGTTCGCACATTCGACATGGATTATTCTCACTTAAATTGATGGAAAAAAATATGTATTTAAAGAAAATATACTTACTGTGTGTTTTTGTAAATATTAAGGTAGTTCTTGGTCAAATTTCATGATTTCCAAAGCACTTAAATGTTTTCTTTTATATTTTGTGCTTTCACTGTGCTGCATCGTGGTGTTTGTGTCGCAGGCATTTAACAATTTTAGGTGAATAGCCATTTGCCTAGGCGAATAAGAAGCAAAAAGCAGCGGCCTTGTGGCAGCCTAGGCAAACAGCAAACTGCCTAGGAAAATGGTCATCTGCCTGGGCAAATAGGCATGATCGCTATGTGCCTAGGCAGATGGCTATTCGCCTAAAATTGTTAAATGCCTGCGACATATGCGCAACCAAACGCTCAAAATTGGACGTACTTAACTGTAAAAGATCGATGTGCAAATGGATGAAAACCAATGATTGCGTGCTTCTTGGTTTTTTTCTTCTTTTATTCAGCTTTCTATAGTTCCTTTCTCATTGAGATCAATATCAATGCCATCGCTTGCAAAAGGTATTACAAATATCTACCGTTTTAAAATTGTAAATGTCTTCAAAATTAAGTAATATTTTCATTAAAAAGAGAAAAGAAAGGTATGATGTGTAAAGGTATATATTATATTCAATATTTTGAGGATGGAAATAAAACCAAATATTCACCAATGACTTTTTGAAAAGATGAATCAAAAAAAGAAACCCATTTAAAAAATGGGTTCCCATAACAACACATCATTCTCTCTCAATTTTCTCATTTCATTATTGTCAATATAATTGTACATACGGACTAAAAAATAACGCTTGAACCAACTCACTGTAGCTTATTTTACGCGTGAGCGAAAACTACTGGACAAAAAGTCGTCGACGGAATGTTCTGAAACCATGGGCAAAAAATACAGAGGAGCTGGATAATTTCATCCCTTTTGCTTTACGACAACCAAGTGAATCCATTTTGAGGCATCGATCAAATCTAAAAGTATTTTTCTAGCATCCACAGAAAATCAATTCTTTAAAGAAGACTTGATAAGTTATCAAGAAAAAGAAAAAGTAAAAGGAGCTACATAAGTGGCTTGGAATAGTTGGTTTTTCTTTACGATAAAAAAACATTTAGGTTCAGAGGCAGGGCGCCCCGAGTTTACAGGACCAAAGGAAGAAGAAAAGAAAAAATACTTAAAGGTATTGTAATGTAAGTATATTTCCTTTAATAATTTTTCTTGCAATGTGAAGTAGCATTACTGCGACGGTAAGTCCAAGGGGTGGGAAGACAGGAAGTTTTCCACTAACTTTACTTGGACACCACTCTTAAATATATGATAAAGTTGTAACGGACTTCCGATTTTGACACTCAAAATTTAGTCAATCCATTGTCTCCCATTTTAGACCAGAGAATCAAACTCATTTTTGACATTTATGCGAAAGTTCCCCGACCATGCGTTTTTCGTCGATTTCAGCCCGATCGCAGATTTTTTCAAAATTGACCCCGAAATTTTACTCCATAGTACCCCTGTCAATTTTTCTCGATTTCGGGGGGGGGGGGGGNCGGGGGGGGGGATAAAAAATTTCGAGCTCAGTGTTTTTGACCCGTTAATCCAATTTTCTGGTCTGAAAAGCTCTGCGAGTCCGCTGGTCCGCTGGATCGGCGAAAACGCGCGGTCGGTGAACATTCGCAAAACGGTCAAAAACACTGGAGTTTTTGACCGTTTCTCGGCTAAGAAAGCTCCGCCGAGCCTCGGGACCGATGGGAATCGATTCTACGCCTCCAACTATGTAAGATCCGACACTCAGCTCGAAATTTTTTTTCTCCTCCAAAATCGAGAAAAATCGACAGGGGTACCATGGAGTGAAATTTCGGGGTCAAAATCGAAAGTTCTCCGATCGGGCTGAAACCGGGCAAGTCCCCTTGGAAATGACCCGCCGAGTCCGATATTCTGGTCTAAAAAGCTCTGAGAGTCCGCTGGTCCGCTGGATCGGCGAAAAACGCGCGGTCGGTGAACTTTTGCAATACGTTTCTCGGCTAGGAAACCTCCGCCGAGCCTCGGGACCAATGGGAATCGATTCTACGCCTCCGAAATGGGGTAAAGTTTCGTGGTGAAAATCTGGTGTTTTTTGCAGTTTATCTCGACTCACAAGTTAGGCCATGTAATTGTATTTTCCTGGAAGTGAATTGCTGTATGTTCCTGTAAGTCTTGTTGTGGGAAATATATTCTTGGAGGTGAAATCAAGGAATTTTTCTTTGATTAGTACCCTTCTGAAAATCAAATTTTCTTAATCTTTCACTGAAGGCCATGATTCCGTATATCGACGGTGAAACTACCAAACCACGTATCTCGTTTGCGGTGTTTAAAAATCTCCGCTCACATTTTATTTTTTTGAAGTAGACCAAATCAATATCATTCCTTGAAATTTTCACAGAATTTTCTCGGCACGAAGAGGAAAAATCACGGAAATTTTCAAGACTGGACGTTAAGTAGCTTTTCATTTAAAAAATAAAGTATGACAGGAAGTCTGCGACGTCGCAAACCGAGATACGTGGTTTGGTAGTTTCACCGTCGATATTGCAGCAACTGATCACTTTTAAAAAGTGACCTTAGTTGAGGTTCTTACAGTGAATAGAACAACAGAATATTCAGCAGTATTTCCGCCCGCTATGGCACAGTAGGAATCCAAGAAAAAAATGAAGGTGCTCTTGTAATGTGGTGAACATATTTTGTGGTTACAAAACTTTTATTTAAAAAAAAACGATCACAGAAAGAACTTATGGTAGTAAAAAAGGAGGTTCAATTTCTTTGGTATGGAGTAATACTTTTGATGTCTTGTAAAAAATTATTTCCACGAATAATAACCAATTCCTCTTGAATTTTGAAGCTCCAGGAATGGATTGAATTGCAGTCGGATAATCAGAAAAATTACTTGCAGCTAAACATAATCAAAATAGCTTACACCTCCGTTTGTTGAAAATACGCTATCCTGAAAAACAAAATTACCTGGTTGAAATTGAGAAAGTTATTAATATTATTGATGCTGTATTGAAAATATTGATTGAAATTATAAAAAAAAAAAATCTTAGAATAAACTACACATCCACTAAAGTATGTGAGCAAAACCAAGGGAATTAATAAATAAGGAATTTAAAAATACTCAAGCTAAAGTATTGTGATGGTAGAGTTAGAAAAATGTGTCCTTCAACTTGAGATGTAGCAAATATTATATTATGCTTAACTTTTTGAATAAAAATAATTCTTGAAAACTCATTTCATTTTCTTTCTCCTTGGGGTTAACAGGTCAGTGGGGCGAAAAATTTTTATTGTTTCATGTAAAATTGTGAAATCAGCTGAGTTGAGAAAATTTCTCAATATTTTTTTTCTGATATGGGATTATGGAGAAGTGTTGCTCTAATACGGAGAAAAAGGACTGTGTGAAAGGACTGGTGTGATGTCATTGAGCAACTTTTTCCGTTTAATTCTGTGAATTTCAACACATTCACATTTCATCATAACTTTTTTCATTTTTCTCTGACTTCAAAAACCAAGGATATTTTCACTCTCAGCTCAAAAGGTAGTTTTATAATTTGACAAAAAAAGTGAACAAACCGACTCTTGCCCCTGATCTATTTTTTCAACGTTTAAAAAGGAAAAATGGCTCATTTTTCTGTAAAATACTAAGACAAGACAGCATTTTCAAAACACTTCAATTAAACTGCACACTTCTTTAGTTCCTATCGATTTTTTTACAGAGCAAAGTAAAGCCTAAAAATGATTAAAGTTAGTATTTGAGTTTACATTTCTCTTCATGCAAGGACTAAAAGAAAAAGATTAACCGAGTCTGATTATTAAAAATGATCAATGATAATCACATCTTAAAAGAAGAAATTTCAAGAAAATTTGTTGATTGTGAGGAATTTCAAGAAGACAGGGGACGTTTGAGGGGCTTGGAGGACAAGGCGCATAAGCTTATGCTGCACTTAAAACTGCGCTTGTGCAGTTTTTGCTATTTCAAGAAATGCGTGTTTGGAGTTTCAAAATTACATGGAGCCTTACGGCGGAAAGAATGTTTACTCATTTTTTGATGCAATGAAGTTGAATTTCGGTTGTGAGTTTTTCACAAAGTATACTTCTATACTAGTTTCAGTTGAGTTCATGAATATCTTAATTTTTCCAAAACTACACTTATGCGCCTTTTCTTCCAAGTCCCTCATTTATTCTTTGATTTTTTCCTTACTTCACTTCTTTAACACAAGAAATTGTTTAGCCAGACCAAAATTTCACGATTCGGTCGACAAGTTTTACTCCTTTGATAAAGATTGCTACCCAGTCATTGCATGAGCTTCAGATGACATTTTGAGTTTAAATAAAAATTGACTGCCGATGTATTTCACTTGCTTTTAGATTAGATCATAAAGTTTTTTTTACAGGGAAGGATCTTACCGATTTCCTCCGAATGGCAACAAAATTGATCACCCATCCTGGGCCAACGCGATTAGCATTGGTTCTTGACTCAACCACCACTTTATTGGAGGTACTGACGTATGGTGCCACTTGGTCCTAGAAAAAAATTAATGATTGTATAAAATTTTAGTGGAAAAAGTTACAAGGGAATACAAGGTGTCCACAGACTCAGCAGAGAAAATTTCCTGGCTTTTCTAGGCTTTCACTGACCAAATAATCAAAGCTCTCTGACTTTTTACGACAACATTTTAACAGGCGTAAATGGACAGAAATAGAAAACATTTTGACATTAATTCCAGTGCAAATGAAAGAAACATGAACCTTTTCCTTCGGGTATTAATCATTTAATGGACTGAAATTGCAATTCCTTATCGAAAATAATTCCTATTTTCACTATTTGGAGTTTAACTCAGAGGATTGAACCCCAAACCAGGCTTATTGTGAGACTCAGTTTGATTGTGTGGACAGGGTTGAAGTTTTTCCAGATTTCAAGTTCCAAGATTTTTCAAGTCTTTTTTATAAAACTCCCTTACTTTTCTCTCACTTCCCTGACCTGATAAATTTTCTGACAATTCTCTGTTTGCCAGACCTGTTGACACCCTGGAATAGTTACTCCAAAAACAAAGGGCACATGAGATTGATGATGGTGTAACCTGCCGTCTTCAATGTTACCAGTTTTATTACAGAACATACATTTTTGCACAGTCACAATTAAGGCCTGAACTACGTAATACAGCCATAATCTAACTATTGTTTTGCTTTCTCTTTTTTTTTTGATTTACAAGGGTTGAAGAAACAAGAGGATATCATTTTCTAGACTTAAAAATTCAATATATTTGGACATTCTTTCACCTTGGAATTTAGGAGCGAGTAACGAGTTTGATGGTGTCTAAAAAATTAGCATAAGCAAAAAAATTGAGCCATCAATTCACTGTTATTGCAGAGACTAAGACTGCTGTTTTGCAACGGCTGTCCGTTCTTTTGCTTCTCGGTCTTGCAATAACAGCAAATCAGTGACTCAATTTTTTTTAACTCTTTTTCCGGTTGAAAATGAGATTGTCATTATTTGGAAACGTCCTAGGTTTTTTTCTAGGCGTGAACTTTTGTAAGTAACGGCAGCCTTTCCAAGGATTATGCAATTATGCTATTTTATTTCACTTTTTGGCTTGATCAGTTCTTCATTCTATAAAAAAGTCATTGGTGAAAATAATAAAAATACACACAAAGCTCAGGTACCAATACTGCACGTTGTGTCTTTAAGCAGGTAGGGTTTTAGCCAAGAGCAGCCTTACCCTCGAACCTTTCGCCTTAGGTGGGCTTGGAACCAGTAGCAATGCCTATAAAGCCGGTACAATCGAAGTTTTCTGTTTTATTTCATCTACTCTTTTAGTAAAACGATGGATAAACAAACAGGCAAGAGGGGGAGGAAGACAAAACTCTATGTGACTTACGTTGCCACAGAATTTTCGAGCAAAGATTTCTTCATTTGTAGCTCGAGACACATCATATATGGTCACATAGTTTGTTGAACAGGTTGATGGAGGTCCCAATTCGAAATCTACATGGAGAAAATCGAAAAAGGTTTATATCAGAAATTGGTGGAATTGAAGGTGGAGAAAAAGTTAAAATGATATAAAAAGAAAAAAGAAACAACTTTAAAATTTGCGTATTGAAGAATAAAGACAGAAATTAAAGGACTCCGTCCCACGGTCTGAAATGAATTAGTGGCGCCCATTTTTTGTGGTTCAGTTCCTGAAAGTACGGAGGGAACCAAGCTTCAAGGAGTTTTCCAGATTTTTTTCTCTCCTTAAATGGCAAAGGAATCCCGTTTTGAAAATGGCAAAAAGAACCCATTTGAAACAATACTTTTGCTGATTCTGGTGACATAACCAGGCAGCAAACAATGTTAGTTGATTCGCTGAGCTCGGTTACAAGCATTGCCCTGCTACATCAATTCGACAGCCGACTTTAGATTGGTCAGATTTTAATTAGCTTTTCCTCCCGTTAGAAATGATTTGTTGAAATTATTAAAGTACTTTTTGGTTATGCCACAAAATTTCACATAGGAAAAAGTATACAGAAATTCATTGCCACTGCTCTAGTCTGCCTTTTAGGTCATAATCCCAGTCGCCTTCATCAAGAGGGAAGAAGGGCACAAATCCAGGTTTGTGCCGCAGAAAAAATGGTTTTTCACACCGATACCCACTTTTCTGGCAAATTTTTAGCAGAGGGGGGGAAGGCTACTTGTAAAAATGGTAAATGGTATGACTTCATAATATGTGACCGCACGTGGGAAAAGAGACCCTGGCATTGAAAAGCTGAAAATCAGGATATTGATATCATTATTTAAAGGAATGTTATACAAAAATGTTGGCATATAAATGACTTAAAAATTTACAGTTCGTGTACAAATGACAGTTCAAAGATATCTGGATAAGTCTGTAGTTTTAAAAAAAGGTATTTTAAGTTACATCTGCAATGTTCAGTGGCCAATATCATCAAATTAAATACAACCATGTGCCCTCTATCGGCATAAACATACACTAAACTGCTTGTAACTTACTGTCCAGGATGCTTTGGTGTTCTTCATTAAATATTTTTAGTCCTCTTTTGAGCCAACTTGATCAAAATTGTCATCTAAAAAAAATTCGGTACACTTAAAAGTCTCTATTCCGGCGGATCATTACTCTCAGATTTAGTTCAAAGATTGAAAATATGGAAGACAGATTTGAAAAAGGTACCTGAAAACTGTAGTTGCACAATATTGCCTTCGGGTACTGCTACGTTCCAACGGCACAAGGAGTCGTTACGGTTGATCTCTGGATAGAAAGGCGATGAGAACGTTCCCGAACTACTGTAGAAAGATCCTCCACAACCACGGCCTAAGATGAAAAATTTGCACTGTTAAAAATGGTTGCTAGATAGGAGAAACTGACAGGCTCCATATATTCTAACGAACATATCTAGAATTTTATCTGACTCTTGTTTGCAAAAAAGAAAAAAGACTGCAATGACAGAATTTAAAACACTGTTGTTTTTGCCACTGAAATTATAAAATTCTTTGTCCTATGATTATGATTTAAAGACTGCATGCTTAAATTACTTAAAGAGTCTTTTCAAAAATGAGTGTTTTTTGGCCAATTTACGATACTTGATTGGATAAATAGTCTGTAGCTCAATTAGAAACTTATGATAAAGCATACTTCTTAGTAGAATTGCAGCTTGAAGCATAATGTTTTTAGGCTACACAGAAAAACCACATTTTTGTATTTTACATGCTAAAATACGAAAATTCTTGTGAATTTGGGTAAAAATTAATTTATCTTTCTTTGTCTGCAGACCCAACAATACTATGCAATAAAGCAGGAAAGAATTTGAAGTTAAAATGACATTTTTACATAAAAAAAAATTGAAAATGTCAATGATTCAGCCTTGAGAATTTTTATTTAAAGCAACAATGTAGAATAAAAACTAAGGTTGATTTTCATTAGGAGAACATAGGAACACAGGAACATACCGTACGTGGACGATGTGTAAGTCAGATCAAGATTCAGCATGCCTGGTGAGCGGGTGTGGTTGTAAATTTGATGGCGAATCCTAACGCTTGGTCCAGTGGCAAAAATGGGATTTGGTACATTGTCATAGGTGCAGAGAGTCCTCAAAAGTTTTGCTGAGGCATCTATACCATCATAAACCTGGAGAAAATATAACTTCCAGTATTTCTTTGTCATATGCTCAAATGGAGAATTTGCATGCAAATTTTTTATTGCTTCATCTGAAAGTGCTGAAAGAGCCGATTTCACAGTATTTTTTATAATTTTTTTCTGATATGAAAAATAGTATCAAAATAGATTTAAAAGTGAGAAAAGGCACTGTCTAGTGACGTTATCTGGCGGCATATCCCATTTACACACATATTTTGGCAGATTAGATCACTTTGTCACATCTCTTCCAATAATTGTTCAATTCATGAACCAAGGGTATCCTCGTGTTCAGTTCACCCAGTAGTTTCCTCTTAAACACGAAATTCATCAAATTGCAGACACCTGCAAATTCTCTATTAGTAAATTTACCACCGATTGAATCAGTGAGATCGAAAACACACCAACTCGAAAAAATGAAAATAATCAAGACACAAGCAAAACAACACAGTAGTTGAAGAAGTTAGCACAAGAAAAAGATTTTTGGTGCCGAAAGACAAGTACTTAAGGACACTTTAAGGGTTCAAGTTGGAACCGATGTGTTAACTTCAATGACCTGTATGAAAACTGACTCTCTTCGATTGAAATTGAGCATTTTTGAGTTACCGAATTGGTGTGTTTTCGTTTTCACTGATTCAATTCTGGGCATGCTATAAACATCAGTATTTTGCGAATGAATGCGTTAAAGTATAGATTAAAATTAGCCTCATTCGACACAACCTGGTCTGCAGATTTTTGAGTAAACATGCATCAATGTTGACATCATATTTTTCTTATATCTAGCGGCAATAATGTCGTTTCGAATTGGCAAATAAGTTACAAAATAAAAGAGAAAAAGTACAATCATTTTTTTGTTACTAAAGTGGCACTTGACATTGCACACAACGCTAACAAACTCGGATTTAAGTGCAGACATCCACAGAGAAGGAGAAGCCAAGCAAAATGCGGAATATTCATCTAAATTAAAAAAAACTGCAATTTATACGGGTGAAAGAAAAAAAGAAGGGACTAAATCACTGTATCACATTAATAAACCCATCTTGGCGAACATTTCTTACCGTAACTTTGTGCTTGGTGCAGTCATGGTCATTATCATGCATGGAAAACCCGTTGAAATAAAGTGAGAGTGTTGCGTTGGGATTGGTACTAGTTATTAAGATCACACAGTCGCTGTACGATTGATAGTACTGGTTATTCAGTTGCACTTGTCCGTTGTCACGGGTGAAGTTACGGCTGCAACCTGAACAAATAAATTCAGTCATGTAAGTTAAAATACTGATGTAATTTTTTATGAAATCGCTGCTGGACAGTGTGGCCTAATGGTTAGCGCATCTAACTCTAGGTGAATAGATCCAAATGGGTCTGCTGGAACCTAGTCCTCTTGGCCCTATTCCCTGACAATTGAAATGTTGCATGTGTGAGGAATTTGCGATTTGACTATTGATTCTTACATAAAAGTTTGCGAGAAACACGATGGTGCCACTGATTTTCTCTGAAATCAACTCCCAAGCTCAAAAAAAGCTCTCAAGTTGAGGCCAAGATGGAGGGGATATCCCACACTATCCTGAGAGTCCACGTCTACATCAAGACAAACTCTCCATGCAAAGATAGGGAGCAAATACATTGATAGGGCTGCGACTTTATTTGGGGACTCTAAAACTGAAAACACGGCAACCTTGCTGATGTATTTGCTCCCTATCTTTGCATGGAGAGTTCGTCTTGATATAGAGGTGGACTCTCAGGATAGCGTGGGATATTCCCTTCATTACAGCCTCAACTTTGAGAGCTTTTTTTGAGCTTGGGAGTTGATTTCAGAGAAAACCAGTGGCACCATCGTGTTTCTTGCAAACTTTTACATAGGAATCAATAGTCAAATCGCAAATCCCTCACACATGCAACATCTCCATTTGAACGGCCTAGGGCATGGATGTGTCTATACCCTCTATATTTACTTACGTCTGTAGGTTCCTAACAGAATATCGATGGTGAAACTGCAGGAAGGCGTTTCTTGGTTTGCTACATTGCAGCCTCCTTGTCATACTTAATTTTCTATACGGAAAACAGCGTAAGGATATTTCTTTTCTGTTTGAAGAATATTCTGTAAAAATTTCAAGCAATGGTATAGATTCAGTCTGTTGAAAAAATGAAACAGGAGCGAAAATTTGAAACCTTCGCAATTGAGATACATGTTTCTGCAGGTCCTCTGACCATCAATATCAGACAAACAGCAAAAAAAAGAAGGTTTGTCAACTCCATACTTTCGAGAAATGAATTAAAAAAATGAGTGCCTCTGACCCGTCAGGCTTGTAACTCGTGTTCCTCATACTTAAAATATTTAAAATGAAGTACTTCTACTTAAATTTTCCTTTTTTTTTTTTTTTTTTTTTTTTTTTTTAACAATGTTCACAAAATCCAACATTCAATTAATGTTATATGTGAGGTACTGGGTTAAAGGCACCATTTTTTTTAAATTTATTTTTTGAAAGTACAGAGTGAACTGAGTTTTGTGGAATTTTTGAAAATCCTAGAGACAAAAAAAGCCCATTTTGTAAATGGCACGAATACGACCAGTAAGAAAGGATATTTTTGGCCCCCCCCCCGAGGTGAGGGAAACAGCATTTGCTGATTGGCTGAACTTAGCTTCGAGCCTTTTGATTGATCCGATTTTGAGTAGCTTTCTCACTGCCAGAAGTGCTCTTTTGAGCTTTTTATAACTTTTTTGGTTTGTTTCACAAAATTTCACATTGAAGAAACTACATTAAAAATGTTGCAAATGTATGTTAAACTATCTATAGAAATTTCTTGCCACTGCCCCATCTTCATGGCAGTCTGTGTTTATTTAAATTGTTTCTTTCCTTTCCTCCCAAATAATAAGCTAGAGGGTATCTCTATCTTGTGATGTCCTTAACGAAGACAGTTACACATTCCGGCTTAAATACAGAACTTACCTGCGAGTCTATATTCTAATCTGAAACCCTTATGAATTCGTGGAGTTGCTGGCGCATTGTTTTGAACTCCTAATGGCGACGAAACGAAGGTGATTTTAGCAGTGCTACCTCTCGAATAGAAATCAGTCAAAGAGGTGGTATTCTTACGCTCACAATAGTATAGAGTTGTAGGCTGTGAAAAAAAGTATGCAAATGTGAATTTAGATGCTACAAGTTTGGCATGATCAATGAAACAGAGCTAAAGTAATGATTTCCTAACATGCTAGAAATTCAGAAAAAATTAGTTCCCTCCAGAGTAAAACTTAAATACGAGGGTCATCCAAAAAGTAAGGTTCCCTACCTTGTATCTTCCGAGCGAAAAGAGATAAATCAAATCGGTAAGAAAGCACATATCAAGCATACTCTAAGCTTAAAAACAAGCTCAAGTTTTTGAAAATCGGTTAAAGGATTCTCGAGTAAACTTAATTTTACAGAGACAACCTCCTGTCGCCGCGTACCCACCTCCGGGGTCAGGATGCGCGGAGAGTCGATTATTGAAGACTCGGGTTATCGCCTCTATACATCACATCAACAAGGAATTTTAAAGTTTTCATTGAGTAGGCCTTACCTTACTTTTTGACGTAGTCTCCACATCTTTTTTTGACACTTCTGGTATAATTACAGCAGTTTCTTGATGCCCTCCGCGTATAGAAGCTTTCGCCTTGACTCTGAAACCAGTCATTGACAGCTATCTGTATCTCTGAATCGGTTGAAAATCGCTTCCATCGTGGAAGTTTTTCCGCTCGGGAACAAATGAAAGTCACATGAAGCTAATTTAAGAGAGTTTGAAGGATTGGGGGAAAATTTTCCTACGCAAAGCAACTGATTTGGAAGTGCAGATCGCTGTCAATGACTGGTTTTGGAATCAAGGCGAAAGCTTCTACGCAGAAGGCATCAAGAAGCTGCTGTAATGATACCAGAAGTGTCAAAAAAGATGTGGAGACTACGTCAAAAAGTAAGGTAAGGCCTACTCAATGAAAACTTTAAAATTCCTTATTGATGTGATGTATAGAGGCGATAACCCGAGTCTTCAATAATCGACTCTCCGTGCATCCTGACCCCAGAGGTGGGCACGCGGCGACAGGAGGTTGTCTCAGTAAAATTAAGTTTACTCACGAATCCTTTGATAGATTTTCAAAAACTTGAGCTTGTTTTAAAGCTTAGAGTATGCTTGATATGTGCTTTCTAACCGATTTGATTTATCTCTTTTCGCTCGGAAGATACAAGGTAGGGAACCTCACTTTTTGGATGACCCTCGTATAAGGAACTAGAGTCAGGACTCAAAGAGAAATTACCGCAGGGCCGTATTCATGGGCTTTCCTTAATGAGCTCCTTTCCTAAGGAGGAACTCATATTGTTAACATTGTGATTACGAGGCGTTTAAGGAAGCCTTGAGTATAGCATCATAAAATAGACGATTCTTGCAAGCATCCAGTAAAATTTGATATTATAGCTCTGGAAATACAAAGGAACTCAGGAAATTCCTCGAAAGGGATTATAATTAGTTGTCAACACAAAAAATACTGAATACGAAAGAAAAATTTCTATGAATTTGACAAAGTTGGTTCCATAGGTGCCAACCCAAGTAGCATTTTTCAACGGAAAAATCGGAATATATTGCAATTTAATCGACGATAAAATCGATAAGATCATCAACACCTGAGCAATTATCCTCGATCTTATTGGGATAAAATCGCGATTTTATCGCTCGGCAATTTATGGCGTTATTTTTGAAATGAAAATAGCGATAAATGACGATTTAACCTCGATTTTATCGACGAAAATTGCGGTGAGTAGTGATGTAATCACCATATATCGCAACTTTTAGGGCAATAATATCTCAATATATTGCCACTGATATAATTGCAATAACCAACCGATAAAATTGCTATTTATCACGATCACTGCTACTTGGGAATCGGCAACTTATTGTAAATTTTACAAAAATCGAATAATATTTCCTTTAGTATTCTGTATTTTTTTTTAACCGACAGATCATTGAGAACACTCGCAAAGATCCATTTCTAGAATTATAATACTGAGTTTTACCCAAGGTTCACGAGAATTGTCTATTTCATGGACTGAACCAAAAGGAACTGTGTCGCTTGCAATCCCAGTGCACATAATTCCTTCTGATTTTATTCATTCTATCGTAGTTCCTTTTAGCATAAATAAGTCTGTTTAACAACCAAACTTAATGAAAATCACTTTCCTGAAAATTTTCTTCTGTGCACTAAGATCCTTTTACCTCTCTTGCCATGCTATGAAACACTGTACGTACGGTTAAATGTTACCAAATTTCATTCAATAAAACATTTATTTTTGGTCGGTAATACAATAATTTCTTGAGATTGGACGCATTAATACTATAAAGAACTAAATGCATAGTTTTTGTAGACATAGTCCTTCAAAACATAAATACGGCCGATTCCTACTCACTTTGGTAAATTGGAGAATGCAATTCTTTGAGTGATATGAAGAAAAATATTCAAGCTTCCCAGAAAAGGCGTCATTAGTCAAAGGAAATTTGGCAATGTCTGAAGGCTCTTATGGCAATTTTCCTTAACACAGCAGTACACTATTTACAATTTGCAAATTTACAACTATTAAAGAAAGGAGCAGGGATAGAGAAAATAAAATAAATTACAGTGAATCCTTCATCAGTGATCAAAAGATAGTCTTTTCTGCAATGCGGCGATGGTTCAATATCCAAATCCAAGATGTGAACGTCGATATAGGTGTTGCCCAGTTCTTGGCTGGATAAATACCACATGCAACGAATGTTTGTTGCGTAGGGCTGTGGCCAGCCTGGTGATGTCAGAACGCTTGTCATATTGGTCACGTTTAACTGAGATGGACCGCAGATTGCTAGAAAAGAGTTTCAAAAGGCTCAAGGCACGTAATGTAAGCACAAATAATGATATAAATTTACTTACAGAATAATATCATGCATTTGAAGTTTTTTTATTTTTAAAAATGAGGAGAAAATAGAATAGGATGCTGATTTGTTTAATTTTATGGTTTCACATGCATGTCTGATCTTTTTCTGAACGGACAAAATTTCAAGACTGGGATTTTGACTTATTTTTGCTTACAAGAACTTTCTATGTTTTTGGACAATAATATCTTTCCATACTTTCTAGTCTCTAGGGCGTTTTTCTTACCATTCATTTGACTAAAAGATGACCAAAATCTCTGAATGTTCCCTGTCCAAGTTGTCATTAACTGAAATCTTCCTTCTGACAGTCATCAAAATTCGAAAGAGAAAGCAGGCTTTAAAAATATTCTAGTCTTTTTCGTGAAATTCCCTCTTTCCCCTTTGGAGGAATTTTCACCTCACATTTTCTGACTTGTCCAAGTCTAGACAACCTGAACTCCTTGAACTGAAATCTTTCTTCTGACAGTCATCAAAACTCAAAAGATAAAGCAAGGAAAGACATTCTAGTCTTTATCATGAAATTCCCTCTTTCTCTTTTGGAGGAATTTTCACCTCAAATTCTCTAGCTTGTCTGAGTCTAGACAGCCTTCGGATGAATTCCACTTCTCCTGCGCAAGTTATCGTTAATGACAGAATTGTATACTGACATGGTTTACGTTCCACCTTGAATGTCAAACTGGGTTGTGATCTTGAGGCTTGTGTCACAGTATACTGCAGTAACAATGAATTTCCAGAGGTTAACAGAGGAAGAGGAATGGATGTCTCATCACAAAATGAAACAATTAAGTTCTCCTGAAGAGTGTTGGTGCCATCAAATACCTGAAAAATCAATTAATACATCAAATTTTTGGTAAATCAAACAAAAAATTCAGTTAATCCAATAGATGAGGTTGTCTACTGTGATCCTCCAGCAAAATGCAAGTCTTTACTTTGGAAATACCACAATGTTAATTCCATGATTCTACAAGGTTCTATAGAAAAATTTCAGAAGATTCTCTCGTTAGATTCTTTCGTAAGACATAAATATTCCACAAAGATTCTAAGACACCAGAAATTTTCGCGGATCTCGGTTTTGATCATTCGTTATTCATTATGTTTGGTAAAATAAGTGTTTTACAGGATACCTTTTACGCGTATTGTGTGAAAAAAGTTTTTAAACATTTTAATAATTTTTATATTTGTGATGTGCGTTTCAGAACAGGAAGGACATTTTTGCAAAACTGACGGAAGTGATTTGATTATGATAAGTTTACGGTCAGTAACAACTGGTATGATCTTCACTGATTTTAGTTTGTTTTTAGCAAGCGAGAAGGTTAAACTGACAAATCTTCATACAAACAATAAATGCTGATATTTAAATTACCAGTTGATTGTGTAAATTTTCTACGTGTTTATTGTGCTTTACATGAACAGAAAATATGTTAGGAGATGCTCCAAATTTTACCGTATCTGACAAATGGCGAGCTAACTAACCGATAATCTGTTGCAGCTGCAACTCTGGGCTTCTCCTGTTGAATTGTCGCAAGCTCCAAATACAACTGAGTTGAACGTAAGCTGAATTGTTTCATCCATTGGAACAAATACCTTCCACTCGCAACTTAGCGGTAAAGATTGAGAAATTCGCTCAGGCGAGAAATGTACAACTTGTGATTTCGAGCTTTCAAGCGCAATCCTTCCACCGCATCCTTTCCTCTCTCCTAGATTAGGCAAAAAAGAAAAATTTATCATAAAGATCAAGTGCGCAAACTGAAAAATAATTGCACATAAACTAAATGCTGCTCCTAACTCTAGAAGCAAACTAGGATGTTGCCAAAAATTTCAAATTCTGGTAATTGAAGAATCTTGATACTTCCTTTTTCTTGAACTGAAATATTACTTGATAAAGGACAAATCAAATGAAGTTTTCATTGGGTCGAAAAAAAATAATAAGACAACCCATAGCAAAATGGACTACAGGGCTGACAAAATCAAAATTTAATTATTGCTACTGTTGTATAGCGAATTGTTAACAACTTCGACACAGAAAAAACACTCGAAAATATTGAATCAAACCGTAGGGAAGATACAAACATATTTTCTTGCAAAAATCATATACTTAATTCGTGATTCTAGCTACATTTCAGCTTTTAAAACGAGTTCAATTCATAATATTGGAGACTAAAAATGGTCAAATGAAAACGGAATTTTATTGGCACTGGATAGAAAGAACACCTGAAATGTGCAAAATGGGAGATGTTTCCCATGCCAAAAAGCACTATCTGGATCTGGTATGATCTGATTCCAGCTAGATACTTCTGCAAATTAGCCAAAATTTGGCACTGGTAAAATACAAAAAATTGGTATCTGTACCCAGTACCGTGGTAAATTCATTTCAGTACAACTTTGATTGGCACAAAATTGAACTTAACGGCTTGCAGCTTCAAGGTTTCCATAATTTCTTCATTTTCCGACTCCCAGACTTTTTTCTGCTTTTCCCCGAGTCCAAAATTTCCACATTCTTTGGCTTTCCCTGACTATCGTACAAAACCTCTGCTTGGATTTTATTTATTTTAACTATGCTGACTTTTGCTAAACTAAGGGTAATAAACTTCTACTTATTCTAGGATGAGCCTTAAATTCGGTAACGCATTTCTTATCAGCTCAATGACCACGCAATATGATGCAAGGAACAGGAAAAAAATCATGTTAGTTTTTGGTGATGATTGTGTAAAAATGGTTCAAGCAGTTTAGAAATACCAAAACTGCAAACAAGTTTTTTTTCTTTTTTTACCCGCAGCTAATCAACTCATCCTGTATTCATTTAAAATTTTAAATCGCTTTCATGGTGAAAGTAAGTTATGAAGAACCAAATAAACAAAATTTAGGTACCTATACTAAGAAGTAGAACTTATCTGAAGAGAAAAGGAAACAAAAAAGAAAGAGAAGGAAATAAAACGAGAAAAAAACCTAAAGAGGGTGAATTGTGAATTACCATAAGTGAAGAAAACATTGGCCTCGAATCCTGTCTCTTGCGTTAAGCGGCCAAGAAATGAGACTGACATTGTATTGTTAGTAGAAGTGAAAGTCCTGTAGGTTGTACCAGTTTCGTCACAGAACCTTGCAATTTCAGTGGCATCTTCTCGTGGCCTCAGACCATCATAGACTCTCAAAGTGTGAGCAAAGCAGGTTGACGTCTGTAGCAGATTTACTTTTGTGAACCTGAAATCAAGTAACAAAGATATATACTCACAAAGACTTCTTTGTTGATGTAAGACTTACATTGATACTGAATAAGCTCTGAGAGGATTAACACATATTGACAGCGTAAGTCCGCAATCACAAAACTCGTTTGAGGTGTCTGAAAATCTCCGCGTCTATGTTATTTTTTTTTTAAAGGAGAACAAATTGACATCATTCCTTGAAGTTTTTGCAGAATTTTATTTGCACAGAGAAGAAAAATCACGGCAGATTTAAAGAGTTGCCATTGAGTAGTTTTCCATTTAAAAAATAAGAATGACAGGAAGTCTGCGACGTTGCAAACCGAGTTATGTGATTGCCCACTCACACCGTCCATATGTATAATGAGGCTCCTCTAAATATGCTGTTTGGCTGTCAGAATTGCGACAAGGTGTCAAATAATCAGATTTCAAACTTGGCGAACTTTTCACACTCATCATTTTTCCTTATACTATGTTTCATCCATTAAAATTACTATACATTTCCTAGACGAAAAGTATTTGTCCCCGAGAGGAAGAAAATTCATTCACGTGACAACAAAAAACATGGTTTTCGATAACCTGATGTCAGAAGTGAAAATCTTTTCTAGGTTCACAAAATATTTTTTTTCTTTCATCGAAAGTACCTAGATCAAAATAAAAGAACGAATCATAAAATATAAATGAATTGATTAAAATTAAATTGAAATAAAAAATAATAAATTCAATAAGGTAATTATTGCAAACAATTAAAATAAGTACCACCCAATCAATTCGATCATGCTATTTCATGAAGGCTTTCACAGCAAGTCTTAATCACTTGCGAAGCAGGCGACATTTAAGAGGATGCACAAAGCATGCCCTAAACAGCTAATGCAGCTGAATATAAATTCAAAATGAAATATAGGAGGTAAAATTTGAAACACTATAATCAACAAACAGGTTTTGGTAGTTTCACGTCAAAATAGAGGATCATGGCCGGAGCAAATAAAAACCTCAGTCTCAAATCAAGAATAAGGTACATCTAAGTAGCAACATAATTTTGGTGCTGATGAGAATTTTGAGGCTTTGGACAACTGACGGCCTCTTCAATGGCATGAATTAATAAGTAAAAGAATATGGGCACTTACTGCAAAAGCACTATTTGGCCGGGAGGCGCAGTGATATTCCAGTCGCACCTGCTGATATCTCTAAAGCTGTCTTTGTATCCCGCTGCCAACTTTGATGGAGCACTTGTGATGGCACCACCACATCCTGTAAACCGCAATAAATACACCAAATAAGGCTGCGATAAGTGAGTGCCTTGAAGCTTTTTTTCAGAGCAAGGAGCATGTAATCCTATTTAAATTCTGATAATATTTTTCATTCTAGACAAAATAAGATCTTAGGTTTAAGATCGGTCAGGCTCGGACCAATTAGGATTTTTAAATTAGCTTGCGTATTAAAAGCAGATAGCAGAGAGCACTTAGACTGCATTTTGTAGTCAGGAACTAATAATTTTGGTTTATTCGTAGAGGAAGTTTCAAAACCTCGATTTACTGGATGGGTGATGGGTGTCAGGAAAGTTATTGAAGAAAATTGCAACAATTTGCGAGTGGGGTTGGTTTCTTTCCAAAACATTTAAATATGAGATGATATTCTGAAGTAGTGCAATGTATATGTGACTGTTTTGCTTGGCTCTATTAAGTTGTAAAGGACTGTATAGTTTAGATCTTTGAAAAATCATGCTTGAAAAACAAAGAGAAACGGGAGAGATTTAAAGATAAGTTGCAAAAAGCAAAATTCCCCTCTGAGTAGTCCTCCTCTTGTGTGACTGTTATCAAATTTTTGATGTTCCTGAAAAAAATTTTGATAAAGCTGAACCCAGGGTGTCTACAGACTTGGCAGGCAAATGTGTCCCGAATTATTTAGGTTTGCCTTAATAAATAATCAAAACTCCCTTACTTTTCACATAAAAAATTTACACACGTAGAACTGAAAATAGAAACGTTTTTGCATTAATTTCACTGCTCATGAAAGATACATGTGAACCTTTTTTCCTCAGGCATCAATAATTAAATTAACTAAAATTTCAGCTCATTGAAAATGATTCCTATATCCACTATTGAGGAAGTAACTCTGAGCACTGAGCACTGAACCAGACTCAGTTAGGCTGTGAGGACAGCGATGATTTTTTTTTTCAGGTTTCAAGTTTCAAGATATTTCCAATTTCCAATCTATTTCATAAAATTTCCTGACTTTTCCTTCATATGCCTCACATGATAAAATTTCCTGACAATTCCTTGTTGTTCAGGTTTTAAAAACCTGAAGACACTCTGTGCAGCAGCTTTCTAAAATAGTAATAGGTGAGTCATACACTCAAGACATACTGGTTGAGCAATATGCGACTACATATAATCCATGAACAATGCTTATTAGATACGCATATCGTCGTTTCTCAAACGAACAATTTTTGTCCAAAAATTTCGTGATACTTGCATAAGATCAAAGGAAAACTCGGTAAAATTTTCAATTAGAAATTCCAAAGATTCTCCTAATAGAAATTGAATTTGTGTAGGGGAATTTGGCAACAATGAAATATAGTTACATTTTATTGTGAGGGGAACAACGATATTGATACTAAACGAGGATATTTTTTTGCACTATTGATAAAAGATTTGTTTACCTAATACATGATACTTTACGACAAAGCCGAGATTATTTTGGACGTAGTCATCAGATTGCAGAACAAGTGAAACGATGGACTTGAACTCCTGTTTTGGCGGGAGCGTGTGTCCGCAGTAAACCTCTCGCACGCTTAACTGACGGGACCAGGAGGACTCGAATCCGTGGAGCGTCAGGTTGTGATAGGAACAGCCGCTCGGACCAGCTGTTGAAAAACATTACTTCCAATAAATGAATGAAATGAATAGAGACGGCCCAGTTTAACAGGGTTTATATTGATAGGTACATTATCATCTTAAATCCGAGCACTTTCATTAGCTTTTTTCATTAGCATGCTTCCCATAATTCCTTTTCTCAGACCTTTCCAGAAATCCTTGCTTTTTCATTGCTTTTTCCTCACTTTGTCTTTACCCAATACCCATTTTGAACTCTGACAGATTTTAACAAAGGTAGGATGAATTCGGATTCAAAAGGTGGAGATGTTAGAGAAATTAATTAAATTACGCAGCATCAAGCTGAGATTTTGCTTGAGAAAAGACGGGATGAGATTAACTATGTATAAATATTGCATAGCTCATCGGCTCTTTTATTTCATTTATCACAAAAATCTCTACTTTCCGTACCTTTTACGTACTTCAATACCAACCTTTCAAAATCTGTGCTTTTTTACTGTATCGGTTCTTTTTTCATGCGTCAGACTCCTTGTTCGATGTTGCATTAGATTTTGGCTTTGATTTTGTTGTACTTATATTTTATTAGATGTTGGCTATGTTAAATCCTACATTTGTCACTTTGGTGTGGTAAATGATGTTGCGCATAGCCTATGAGAAAATTGCTCCATTACGATAAAAAGCTTTTCATTCAGTATTAAACTATCTCTTTGTAGACAAATGAGATTGTTCCGGAGAGAAAAGCTCTCAAATGAAATTATTAAGGATAGTGGTGTTTATCTAGTTGGGTCAAAACCTCAGTTTTTACGTTTATGACAGAAAATGTGCTCTAGTGCTTTGAAGAAAAATATTTTAGATTCTTGTGCCAAAAAGTGTAAAAATACATTTTGCATTAATTCCTTTTGCTCACAGCTAAGTCTTTTGAACTTGACATTTCAAACGTTTTAACTCCAGGTAGGTTAGACAATATTGAACATCTTTGGGTAAAAATGTTTGTAAAAGACTCGTCTATGAAAAGGTGAAAAGGTTAAAGTCACTTCAGCACTAAGCAAAGTTTTACGCTTCTCAAAATAAGATTGGACTTAAACCAAAATTGCGAAAAAAACAGCTGACAGGGAGTCAAAGACTAATAATAAATTTTTGCTGCTTTTGGGGCAACAATTGAAAAACTGAATTATTAATAAAAACTTCCACCTGAGGGAATTTTGTTTCAGATTTACGCCAGTTGGTATTGTAAATCCTATTTGATCCCAAAAATTTGCGAAATAAGTTACTGTGAGATCAAAAATGTAGCTTGTCAAAAAAAGAATGATGTAGTCAAATTTCACAGGAGCATTCAAGTAATTTTAAACTACTCAAAAATATTGAGACAGAATTCTTGATTCTCGAAATTTTCAGCGAATATTTTTCACTCATGATGGAAAAATTGATTGTTTTCATTGTCTATTCATGTCGAAAGATTTGCATGAAGCACATAGAGAATATTATGATTGATCAGACAAAAAAAGGGTATTCCCACCTTATCGGTGAGAAATGTAATTTTAACGAGACTTACCTACTTCTAAATCAAACTTCAAAAACTCAAGGGAGATCTTTTTGCCAGGTGCAAAAATAGTGTAATTGCAGTTGGCCATGGGATTGTAGTTATCAGGATAGTTCGGTGAGACAATTGTGCCGGCCTGGGCCGTGAAAACTCCTCCGCAGACTGCTTGCCATTCAGCCTGAAAGTTCCAAGAAGCTTAAATAGTGGCATCTAAATAATTGTTTGTTAAGAGTTTGATATTTGGTCGACAGGAGGAAAGTGACAAGGCTTTAGCTGCAGGTTTTTGTAGCTGGAATTAAGAACATTATTCCGGCAAGATTCTCAAAAGCAAAATTATGGACTTTTGAGGTCTTTCTATAAGTTTCTGAAACAATTTTTTTAAAATTTAAAAAATGATCTTAGAGGCCATGAAGAAAGGTTGAAGCTGGAAAAAATCTTCTTCTTAGACTTTTGAGTCTCTACTACCTACAAAAAAAGGTGCTTCCTTAGTACTACAGAAACATGTGCATATTTCAATTGTTTGGTTTCTAAATTTTAACTCCAACTTTTGCTTCCCCAGAATAAATATTATTGGCGATTTTTGCTTCCCAATTTTAGAGAATATTCTTAAAGTTACCAAGAGCAGCAATTCCAATTGCGAGCCGAGTGGCAACCCCTACTTTTAAAAGTCGTCTCGGATTGGCTGATCCGCCTGGTGCCTATTTTCTAGGGCTCTAATGGAAAACAACACAGGGTTCATTTTTCATTCATAATATCTCGAAAAGAAGGAAAACTTTACACATCAGAGATTTCAGGATTCAACTCTTCAGATTTTTCCGAAGAGGTTAATGGGTATTACATGACACTTTTTTCTCAATAACAAAGATCGTTCTACCTGGAATTTTGTTTTTTCATGACACAAAGTGTCATATTTCCAGTTGAAAAAACAAAATTCCAGGTCAACCTGCACGGTGTTTTTGAGGAAAAAGTGTCTTGTATTACTGATCAATCTCTTCAGAGAAATCTGGAGAGTTAATATCTAAAATTTCCAACGTATAAATTGCTCCTTATTTTTGAGATATTTTTGATGAAAAACGAACTGCACGTTACTTTCCATAAGGGCCCCAGAAAGTGGGCACCAAGGTAGATGAGCCAATCAGAGACGACTCATAAAAGTAGGGGGTGGCACTTGGCCTGCAATTCAAATTGCTGCTCTTATTTTCTCTTTGAAAACAACTGGGAACAATTTGCAACTTTCTAAAATAAAGGTAATTAATCATCCTTCCGCACAATAAAATTCACAAACTGAAGAACTTAAGTAATTAATTTTGTAGTTCCAAAATTGGACATATTTCTGCCAAACGGAACGATGTGCATTAGGACATGAGCCCTGCGACGCATAGGAATATATGCATAACAGGGCTCTTGTCGTAATGCACATAGTTCCGTTTGGCAGAATTAAGTCCAATTGATTGCTGAACTCAATGAATATTCAAATTTCAGTTGGTTGTTTTGTGCCTTGAATTGAAAACCTTGATTTTTTGTTTGGAACGGAAGAGAAGAGAATTACCTTAAAGCCTTCTCCGGCCTTGTCTGAATCTGACTGGAACCTAAGAGTCATTCGGCGGTACATTGAGGTGAAACTTGGTGGATGGTTTCGACCGCAGAACTTCGACCGAGGCGGACTCCCACCTTCGAATGCCGTTTGATCTTCATCTTTTTCACTGTGATTGTAAACCTACAATGAAGTGACAACATAAAATTCTTTTCTTCAATATTACACAAGACAGAGACTGTTATTGATGACAACATTAGATGTATAAAAGGATACACATATCCACTTTGAAAAGAAACATCAGGAAAGAGTATTTTCTATGTGAATGGTAGTAACAGTGAAAAAAAAAATGAATTGCTTACGTTGGGAATCTAAATCTGTGTCGGTAAAATCTCCGCTATAAGTTGATGGGAAAAGTTTAATTAAAATTAAAAAATATTGAGTACAGGTGAAGGCTAAGTTTTGCCATGTCTGTGCCCCTCTTTGATTGTTTTGTAGGTAGTATTGAGGTAGCATATTGTAACTGAGATACTGCATTATATTGAAATACTATTGTAAAATTATTACGATATGTTTGCAAGATTGTTGATTTTTTTTTAAAAAAAGAAAGAAAAAAACATTTCTTTATGGTCTAAAAACAGAGGATCAATTAAAGATTTAGCAATTCTATTACAATGGCCATTGGTCAGAAGCTAGAGAAATTATGATAAGATCATACTTGAATTGCAATTTTCTTTGAACAAAATTACAATTGTATTGCGACAAAATAAAATTACAATTTTCTCGTAAACTGTAATAAATGTTACTTGGGAATGATCCACACAGGAAAAGTGTAAGTCTCCGCAAAAATAGTCATCAAAGTTATTCAGAACTTATTTCAGAAGTTGGATATGAGAAAATCCTTAGCACGTCTAGAACTCTGTTGCTATGTATCTTGTAACTTACAGGGTTGCCAGCCAAATTATTTTTTTCCATTCCCTGACTTTTCCCTGACTTTCCAATATTTTTCCCTGACTTTTAAGTATGGATCTGACGCAGTCTGTTAAAGTGAAAATGAGCATGAAAATCCCGCAACGCGAGCCCGAGACCGCCCGCGCCTAATTCCACGAAAAATCAGAAAAATCCCTGACCAACACCGAAATTCCCTGACTTTTCCCGGTTGATTTTTTTTCCCTGACTTTTCCCGGTTTTCCCGGTCGCTGACAACCCTGAACTTCATCCTAAATTACGAACAGAGGAGCTATTATGAAAGTCTTAAACTTGCAGACCAATTGGAGAGCTACCTACACACTTTTTTTTTGTAATAAAAGGGTTAAGATAGGATTACCTCTTCTTAAAGTGTACGTACTCTAAAGAGATAATCACAATTTATGTTTGAGACATCCTATTGCACTCTACCTTTAAATCTTAGAGGGCACGAAAGATGTCTGGACGTATTTATGCTAAATGAAACTATGTGCAAGTGGGAAGATGGGGTGTGCTCGTTAGGGGTTGCCATAAGAAAGCACCAGTAATGTCAGCGGCAACAAAGCCGTCTCCGTTTTCACTCTTGCTTGGCTTTAACTTACGAGCCCTGTCCACAAGGCTCTTGTCACATGCCCACGGCTCACAAGTTAGTGCTCAGTTCCTTTTGATTTAATTGAAAATCCCGCTTTCCCATTTTCTCAAAAGGAACTATATCCATTGACCACATTGTTTCTTATCCAGCTTCCTTGAGCACACCCCATCTTTCCACTTGCGCATAGTTCCTTTTACGAGGGGCGTTCAATAAGTAAGTATCCCCCCTCTCTAAAATCAATAAGAATGTACCAATTTTCAAAAACTTGGGCTCAAAATCTTTCTTAGGATATACTGAGTTCAACAAAACAAACTGCAACAAAATCGGACCATGTGCGGCCGAACGCGAGCCGTTTGAACGCGCCGAGGTGCACACCGCTCCCGCCAAATCCGCGGAAATTTGAAGTCCGCGACAAGAGAAGAGATTCTCTGCCAACGCTTCAGTCGTTCATCACTGACGAAATATACGGTAATAAATGGCAAAAAAGACCACTATTTATTCCCTTTTCTGAAATCTGAACTGGGGGAGTTCATTTTGAATCAGCGGAAGAGGTCAAAAAAAAGACCACTATTTATTCCCTTTTCTGAAATCTGAACTGGGGGAGTTCATTTTGAATCAGCGGAAGAGGTCAAACAAGCCGTCAACACTTTCATCCCCAGCCAGTTGAAAGACCTCTACACGCGTGGTATCCAAAAGCTGTTCTCTTAGTCTCACAATCAGTATCAGACCTGCTTGGATCGAGCTGGTTATGTGGGGAGGTGAGGTAAGCCCTTTATTCTACAAAAACTTCTTTGATTTTTCGTCAGTGATGAACGACTGAAGCGTTGGCAGAGAAGCTCTTCTCTTGTCGCGGACTTTTCCGCGGATTTGGCGGGAGCGGTGTGCACCTCGGCGCGTTCAAACAGCTCGCGTTCGGCCGCACATGGTCCGATTTTGTTGCAGTTTGTTTTGTTGAACTCAGTATATCCTAAGAAAGATTTTGAGCCCAAGTTTTTGAAAATTGGTACATTCTTATTGATTTTAGAGAGGGGGGATACTTACTTATTGAACGCCCCTCGTAGCATAAATACGTCCAACTGTTGGGATAACAACTTAAATGAGTTTTAAAGATGAAAAATACACACCATGATAAAATCTTTGGTGCAGTTGTCACTTTCTTCCAAGTAAAATCTATCTGTGAATTTAAGATTGACCCGGTAACCCGGAGGGACATTAATCGTCCAAATACAACTGGTTAAACTCGGGTACATGTTTGGATAGTTTGGTGATGTTACTACGCCGTTTTCCCCAACCAGCAGTCCGCTGCATGAACCTACAGGAAAAAAAATCCAACTTATTAAGCGAGTAAAAATAATTACGCAGTGATTAGTCAAAAAGATAAAGATGTGAATCGACCCTGGATTACCTCAATACAATTTATGTCACAAGTTTGATAGCAGCAAATACTTCTATGTTACCTCAGCTTTGATTTTACATCGTAGTTCTATCAAAATCGTATCAATGGATTCATGCAAAAGAGGACCAACTACATTGCAAGATTTAAGAAAAACCCAATGATTGTTTTTCTTGAATCTTGGCCACGAACATGTAATCTCAGGTTTTTTCATCAATATTTTTTAATTTTTAATTTACTTTCTGACTGAAAATGACTCAGTTTTGGGTTGAAACATCTTGAATGTTTTACTGTTGTATTTTAGCCTTGTTTCCCGCCCCCCCCCTTGTTTTTCTCCTGTTACCATTATCTCAGGCTGCTTCGTAAAAATTTGTAACAATTAAACTAGAAAATCAAGTCTCTTGATTACAACTTCTTAAGATTTATATTAAAATTTCATTACATCAAGAAATTATTATTTAAAATTTGTGTACAAATTTTGGGAGAAAATTCTTGAAAAGACAAAAAAAATATAACACCAAACAGCCTTTGTAAAAAAATCATCCCCAAAACGCTATGCAAAAAAATACTTGAACTTCTTAACTTAAAAGATTTACCAGTGTTGGTGGGTGAGGCACGGAGACGAAAACCTTTCCTGCTGTTTTTGTTGGATGAGCTATGGAATTCAATAAATGTAGAGGGGTGAATGATGAGGACCTCGTTTGTAATCGGACCACAATATTCTTTTTGGAGTGGGTCCTCCGTTGAGCGTCCATTGTATATGCGCAAGAAGTTGATTTTACAGTCAGGTTCTAGATCTACTGACTCTACTGTAAGCTGGAACATTTGGCATACGATTACTAATTTTTGTCTTCAATTTTCTGAAAATCATCTTAAAAAAATCTAATCGATGATTAATGAATCTGGGATTGAAAATTTGTTTTCCATTGAGATTTTACCATGTTCTGATTGCTGTAATTGAATTTATTAAAGCTGTTACATGATTTTCGAATAGTGAAATTTGAATTTGAATTTGATTGAATTTTTTTGTAGGAACTTTGAGAGGATGAATTAAAAAACATATGAAATGACATGATTCAAAACAAAATGTACCTTAGCGTAATTCCCATAATCCAGGTACCAAGCACAGTCCGACTGACCATCATATGGATCTGGCGCATTTGGGCTTGCGATGATTTGGTTTACGTCTTTGACCACTCCTCCGCAATTCGTCGTTCGAAACGAGATGGTGAAATTAACAGGCACCAGAGTGGACGTTGACCACCAATCCTTCTCTGAGGTTATCGACTGAAATCCAAGAACAACCCCAATGACAACAGTTGCTCAAAGCAAATTTTCGTCGATTTATATGAATCACTTTTGTGAAAAATATTACAACCAAGCACTCTTTGGTTAAGTGTAGAAACTTCCCAGTCACCATTTTTATGTCAGTTAGAGTAATTTATGGATGGCCTTTAAGAGACACAAGGTATCTACAGGTCGAGAAATTTTAAACAAGGTTTCCATAATTTCTTCATTCTCCAATTCCATGACTTCGCTGACATTTTTTTGCTTTTCCCCGACTACAAAATTTCTGAATTCTTTGACTTGTAATCAAAACTTCCTATTATAATTTTTTCTTTTAATCACACTAACTTTTGCTGAGCTACAGGAAAAATCTTCACTTCAAGAGATTCAAATTAAGAAAAAAGAGACATGGTAGTTATTCAAGTACTTTCAAATGGTGCCCATTGAAGTTGCTGAACCGACGTATTGCTGGCAAAATTCCCTGGTTTTTTTCTGAGAACTTTCTGACTTGCTCAGATTGCCGTAGATTCCCTGACTTTCCAAGTTTTTACGACCATCAGAATCCCTTACGGAAAAAATTAAATTTCTGATTTAACAATTCAATTGCTAGAAAAAGTGATTGCAATGTTTCAATGTAGATTTTACAACACAAAAATGCTACTTTAACCATCCCCGTAGTTAAATTAGCTTACAATGGTGGTTAAAGTAGCATTTTTTTGTTTTTAAATCTACACTGAAACATCGCCGTCACTTTTTTTAACAATTGAATTGTTAAATCAGCAATTTAATTTTTTCCGTGCTTATCAGACAATTCACATAGATTTTATGCTTCTAAAAATATTAATTCAACGTTGAAAAACACGGAAATAAAAAAAATCTAACTTCTGAGTTCATTACCTTGATTTTAACTTGCGGAAAAGGAACCCGCACTGTAGCACTGGTTGGTTCATTGGAACAAAATCTCTTCAATATTTTTCCAGCTGAAAATAATAAATACCCACATTAGTAACATGGAGCTACTCACTGAACATTAGTCTATATGAAGTTGGCATCATTCATACACAAAATAAGTCTGTCTGCAATAAATTCTTCACATATTGAAAGACATAGTGCAAAACGACATATGTACCTCCCGTTGCAACGTAGCAGACTTCCTATCATACTTTAATTTTTCTTGGGAAACTAGTCTACATATTTTCTTGAAATTTTCCTTGATTTTTCGTCTTTGTTAGGAGATTCTGTATATTTTGAACTATGTAGTTAACTTGTTTACTCTTCCAAAAATTAAAATATTGGCAGAAATGAAACACTGCTATAGAGATACGTGGTTTTGTACTTTGGCCATCGATATCAAGATGCACGGTTGTTGTGGAAAATTCATCCAATTTAAAGGATTAAAATAAATGACAACTCTTCAGAGCATCTCTCTCTTGGCTTTGTTAGAATGAACATACATTCTTTTTTCCCTGAAACAAATATTAGGCCAAGAGGAATGCTGGAGAGAAAATGAAGTTTTGGTGAACCATACTTTTTTGCTGATCATACAGTTGAAAAATCCTTGAAAGATGAGGATTTATCGTCTCCCGCATGAAGGAGTGTACCTTGTCTACACTGTTTCAGTATTTCTGAAAACACTATTTTTTTATCTGAGAACCGTCTCACAATGTGTCTGTAAATGTTAGGGTCCTTTTTCACAAGTGCCAAAAAAAATGGAATGCTTGTAAGAAATTTTGAAACAGCGCAACTAAGGTACAATCCTTTGAGCGGGAGAAGATAATGTATAGTAGAGATAGTAGGTAAATAAGGTAAATTTCCTGTAGAGATAAGAATATATCTTGTTTGTTCTCCTAACAATTCTCCCATGTTTTACTCATAGAAAAGAAACAAGATAGAGCTGCCCCAAAAACAGTTCTGGTTCTTTCTTTCATTTTTGGTATGTATTTGTACTTGTCTCGCTCAACCAAGTTGCATAGTGCAGTTGAAAAATGAGAGGCTGTCAAAAACACATAATTTTCTTACTTGATCTAAAAAAAGATTACAAGAGAAGAGTAGGAAGTAGCGGCCAACTAAGGTTCAAAACCATCTGGAATTTTTGCTGACAGTGTCACTGAGACAGGCTTAGCCAAATTTCCAAGTATCAGAAAAACTTTACAAAACACAGCAAGACACTGAAATTTTGGCCCCTTGGAACCGCAAAGTGCTAAACTAGTTTAAAATTTACTTTGCTCAACAGTTTTAATTTTTTTAGAAATTAAACTATATCTTGCAGTGCAAAACATCATGTCCTTTTAGTGTGTGGCTTTAGCGATTTTTAATGCAATTTCTACGAGACATCCATGGGTGCTAGTCTTAGTGTGAGGACCATCTGGAGGAAAAATTAAGGACAGAACCAACTTACAATCACCAAAAATTGAAAGCGCATTGTAAGTGAAGCACTGAGTTCTATTCACCGGCGCCAATACGCCAGCTACATCTAGGACAAAAGTGGTGTTTTTGTCTTCCTTTGTCTTTTCCCATATACAGAAGACGGAGCCATTTGTGTTGGGCGATGATACCGTGCCAGCAGCTTCCAAAGGTCCGCCACAGAGCGCTTCCTCCGTAGTCGTGAAGTTAAGCATGAATCCTCTGTTGAAGTTAGCCTTACTGTTTGTCACATATGAAATAAGCATGTAATTGGCCGAGGATTCAATTTTCGTCCCAAATGCGATTGGCCCAGTTAATGTTGTGATTCGACTGCTGTAGAAATTATCATTGTAAAACTGAAAGTGGAAAAAAAGAGACATATTTTCCTGAAACTGTATTCTGTATTCTAAAATGGACAAAAATAGACTTAAAGATAAGATAAGAAATTAACAAATAATCCCCATCACGACATGTTTAGCAAAATTGTCTTTCCTTTTTCTGACTTTCTGTGTCTTTCCTGACCCTTGGATTTTTCTTCTCCCTGATTGTCACTGATTCTCCCCAACCTTATTTACCAAATTGGAAAAATTGAAAGTGCAAAAATAAACAGAGCTCAGTGCAAAGCACCGGTGAAAATTAATAAAACTTAAAATTTCAAAGAGAAAAATTCAGTACAGAACAGGATGGAGCACTGGAGGGCTCAGTATCAATGTGCTGTGAAACTATGTAAAAAATCGCAATCTTGGACAAAAGTTTGCAACTCCTGGTTATGAGTTGATCAATATGATCTAAACGGAGAGGGATACCTATGCGACAGAAGTGATCCTATTTTCCGACTGAATCACTCAAATAAAATCGGGCTAGCAGCATTCTTTGACTGTGTTTGAACAGGGATGGGTTTCAATAGTAAAACCACAAAATCACATTAACACATTCCTGTCTTCGAAATTCTCATTCATATTTAATTATTTTAAATCATACTACTTGACATTATTGTACCAAATTATCAGAACATGTTCTTGCATAAAAAACTGCACGGAATTTTGCGTAAGAATGATGACCTCTTTTAAAAATTGTAAATCTGATTGAATGAAGTTCACCATTGAAATGCCATTACCTTAAGCCGTTCAGCCGATGATGATTTTGAAGCTGAATCTGGAGAAACGAAATTTGCTCTCACAATGGTCGCAGTGACCCGGCGACCTTTCGGAGCCTCAATCCGCCATGTGCAATGATACAATCTGTCCGGTTTCAGTGGATAGTTTGGTGAAGAAACATTGCCGAATGGGACGGTGAGCGTCTGATCACAATCTGCGAGAAAATCATACTGCATGAAAAGGTACAACTGAACAGGTCATTTTCAAAAAGACTTTAGCATTAAAAAATCAAAAATTAAGTTATTTGTAATGCAGTATTACAATGGCATGGATGCGTCTTGTAGCAAAGTGGCATATAGAAAAACTGATTTTTAGGGCCTGGAAAACATCGGAAAGTCCAGTCATGCTCAAAAAGACTCAAGTGCCAAAGTGCTATACATAAATGATGATTGGATCCGACTTGAATCCCTCATGCTGTTATTTAGAATTTTTAAGAATGAGGGGGATACATGTTTGTTCTTTCAAGCCAAAGGTTTCCTGTTTTTGAGATTTTAGTGCCTAAATTTTTGCACTTATAATGTAAAGGATCACTAGTAATGTAATCAGCAGTCAGTAAGTCATCATCGTAGTTTATATATAGAAGGAGTAAATGAAAATTTTGTGTGCATTACGGCTGAAATACTAAATATTTGACTTTCAGTGGGGAAAGTATGCTGAAATAATTCTGTTCATTCTCAAAAAGGCTTAAAAGCCAATTTGTTTGTTCCTTCTTTTTCCCTGCAAACTATAGGAGTATTTCTGTGACAACTATGATCCAATTTTAAACTGCAATATTCTCCCACATTCAGTTTTCTGACCTCCGCAATTTAGAACAGGTCGATTACAATAGTTTTCACTAATATTCTTGAATTCTCATTTTTGGCGCTTGAATCTTATGAGAATGATCAATTCAATTATGATTGCCTTAACATGGTTAGCTTGTGATTGTGATTGTACACTAACTTTTAGCAAAAAACTTAAAAGTAAAACACCCGATGCACAAAAATAGGATTTATAAACATGCAGTACTCTTTCTCTGTAATGAATCAGCAACTGACCAAACGATTTTCATTTAAAAGAAATTTTCATCACATGAGCGATACTGAAATTAAGGAAGGAAGTGGACCAAACGATTCCTTTCTTACAGAGAAATTTTTGCTGTAACGGGTGTTGTTATAGAGAGAGAATGTATACCAAGTAATCACAACAAATTTTGATCTACAATTGCACATACTTGAAAACTTTGCTGTGTAATCCAAAACAAAACCAGCATGAAAAACATCCGAGTCGGGCCCATTTGAGTTACTTCCGGAGACAAAAGACACCAACACTCGGTTGGAAACTGATTCGAATGTTGGTGGGACATAATGGCGGCAAGCTCGAGCTAGTTCCGTTTCTGCACACACACACAAAATAAAATAGATAAATTTTACAATAGGACAAAACCATGATAGTTTGTGTAAATACTATCTCAAAATTTTTAAACAAGATCAATTTGATGGAAATTTAAGTAAAATTATGAAAATTTTACTGATTATGTTCACACTAGGTCACACTTACTTGAGCAAATGTTGCATCCAAGAAACATTTGCTCTTTGCATTTGCGGTGTGTCAAGTTTTTTTATCTGAAGGTTCTAATTTCTTTTCTTTTTCTTCTTCTTCTATTTTAATTTAAGAAATTACTCATTTTAATCATTATGAAATTATAGAAAATAGAATGATTTTGTTTATTCCTCTTTTTTTTCTCGAGTTTTTGGTTTGATTAATAATTTTAGTTTCGACTTTACTTTCAGTTCATATACGTCTACAGATGCTCTTCTTCATTACAGTAATGTTTGGTCGGTGATTTAAGTGATATAGTAATGAATTCATTTAAGTTTAATGTAGTGAAATTGATATTATTTATAGTTAGTTGATTTTTATTTTTATTCTATTAAAATTTTAAGATAACTACATATGACTTAACTTTTTTACTTTTTATTAGCAGCTTGTTACTTTCATCAAGTATTCGGGATTTTCCTGGCTCAAAGAATGTTTGATGGTACTTAGTTAAGACGAGTTGAATTTTTTGTTCTTTCTTTCTTCTCTTACTGAAAAGTAATTTTTTCAAAATTACAAGCTCTTCAGCCATAGTTATTTGCCAAAATTCAATGAAAATTATACATAAACTTAAGGCATTAAATGCAGAGGACAATAAAATTTCTAAAGTTCTACGGATGGATTGACAAATTTTGAAAGATCGAATGTCTCAGCTATAGGTAGTCAGTAGTTTCTGGTATCAAGTCAAAAAATTTAGAGGAATGAGTTCCAAATTAAAAAAGTTGCCATGTATTTGCAATCAAGGATGAATCTGAGATATTAGAGGATCTTTTAAAGGGTATTACGCTATTGATAAGGATGAGAGGAAAAGAATGGATCATTGATCAAAAAGCATTCTCAGAAAAAGTTTGAAGTTTTCTATGAAGACTTTTCTTCTCAAAAATCTGGAGGAAAAGAGAGCAAAACAACAACAAGTTTGTATTGTCCTGAATGCCACAAAGTTTGGGTTTTTCAGATAAGGTAAAATAAGAGACAAACAGGAAAAAAACAAAAACAATGAGCCTCGGCTTACAGGTTTTTGCAGTCAGATCCCACTCAAATAAAATTCTTGAGATTATTCTTTGAGGCAGACGTAACATCGAAACTTCTCATTTACGGCGAGCAGACACCCATCTTGGGAGGTTCATTTTGAAATTACTGTGGGTACACATTGATGCATCTTGAAGGGCAAAGGGGGGGGGGGCGGAGCAGTGATCATACCCCCTCTTTGCATCACGAGAGAGAAACAAAAGAAGGGAGGAAAAAATGTAAAAAACATTAGTGTGGAATGCTAACCACCACCCCCTCTTTTTCATTCCAAGCTGCTGCGTCCGCCTCTGAGAGTACGTAAAATTCCTCCACTCAGTCGAAACTCAACATTGCGTAAGCAGTCACAACTCAGACGCCATTGAAGCCAAAAATAACAGGAAGAAAAGAAAAGCCATCATAAACTTAAAATATCTAGCTTTGTTTTGTCAACAACTGGTCCCAGTTCCGCAGAAAAAAGGCAACTCTCTTAGCTTATTTCAGAAACGACATAATCTCTATCTGCCTACCTTTGCAAATGGGAGCTTATATACTTGTGTCCACATACTCACTCTGTTTCCTTCTACTAAACGTGATCCGACTAATCTGCAATGCTACGGAAGGACGCCATATGAGCATTTCCATGGTGCCAAATTTTGTCCAATTAAATAATTAACTTTAAAAAGAGGTAAAAAAAATTTTCCCCGGAAATTTTAGGCAAGTAGACAAGATTAAATTGCAAATTATTTTCTCTGGAAATTTCGAAGAAAAAAATTCACAAGACTCCCAGAACCCCCTGGTACCACTGGCTGTTTAAAGAAAATTGAAAGCCTGTAAGTAAAACAAATTCTTGAAAAACTGTTAAAATATCCAAGTTTAAGGAAACTCTTTAGGTTTTTTTTTTTGAAAAATTGAGAATGCCACCTTGCAATAATATAATTTTTTTATCACCAAATTTTAGTAAATGTTAACAAAAATTATACATAAATTTTTCAAAAATATTTAGTTTTTTAGGTTGCATATCTTGTAGTTCATCTTGTGTTTAACATTAAAATGGAAGATTTTTACAATTTAACAAAATTTTAATGCCAATTGGACTGAGTTAAGCAGAAAGGAACCAACCCACATTTTGGAAAAAATTGAGTTATGAGTGGTTTTGAACTTAACCACTGCTCTACTATCTATCGCCAAAAATGCAAAGTTTTTGTTGGAGCAAATTTTGCAGAAATTGAACTTGAAGTTTATATTTTACATTGAGTCTTATGCAGGAGCCAAACTTAAAACCTCTTTTTCTCGGCTCGATCCCGATGTGGCTTGGTTCCTTTCTGTTTAACTCCGTCCAATTATCCTACATGGATTTTCTTTACAGTTTTCACAAAAATTTTACTGAAAGAGCGAACAAAAAGGTCAAACCTAACTTGCACATAATAACAATTCTTTTATGGTTTTGGTTTTTTAAGTCCAAAATTTACAGTTAATGCTACCAGAGAATTGATAAATATCTTTCTTTAAAATTCCCTAAAACTTGGATATTTCAACAGTTTTCTAAGAATTTTCTCTTCAAAATTTACCAGTTCGTTAATTTTTTTTAACAGCCAATGCTACCAAGATTGCAACTCAAATTCTCTAAAAATTTCGAAGAGAAGTATTTACAAGTTTTTCACAAAAAAAAACCCGTATTAAGTGAGAGGAAATTTGGCAACATTCAAAAATTGCAGTCACATGCCTGCCTGCCTGCCTGCCTCCCCCCACCCAGGTCAATTTTGAACTTCGCATCCTGTCCACACTCTACAAGCCCAATCACAAGATAAACAAAGTGAGTTAATAAAATCTCTGGGCAAACAGCAAAGACTGAGTGCGACACCTAGGAAGAGATAAGGGGAGGTGATCAATCATTGTGATCCTTGATGTGTTGAGATAAGCTCAGGAACTGCCACTGGCATAAGACCACATCACTGTGATCAGGGGCTTGCGTACGTGAGGATTTGGATAAACAAGTGAAATCAGGGTCAAAGAGATTTGAGGAATTACTTGGGAATTATAAAAGGAGAAGTTGTCTCTGAGTGTAGTAAAGTGGTGTTCGTTAGTCTTGACATTGCGTTTGCTGGAATATACGTCAAAATGAGGGTGAAGTAAGTTTAAGTCTCTTATTTATTCTTCAGTTAATGTACATTTCATTGATACCATAGGAAAAGCGATGGGCTATTTAAAAAGTTTTCAAAAAACAAAAGGAGAGTATTGACACATTTGTAAATGCATCAAACTGTATGTTACGATAGAAAGTAATGCTAAAATTTGGGGGAGGCTAAAGGTAAAAGGCGTTAGGACATTAGTACTTTTACTATCAAAACGATAGTTATTTTTTTTCTTTCCTTTTTTGTTCACCTACAGAGGTATTGAACAGCTTCCGATTTTGCAGCTCTTCTCTGTACACTTGAAAGGCCAGGGTGTCTGTAGACTTGAGAACGAAAAATTACTTTCTTTTTTAGATTGTCCATAATTAAAACGATATAAATTCCTTTTTCCTACATCAACAATCTACTAACAAACATTTGGACCTTCAGCTTTAGCGCAATGTATTCTCGATATTCTATCAATATTTCTCAAATTTTAACAATTTTCGTGGCTTATTCTGGGGAAATGAAAAGTTCAGATGGTGGATCAGCCATTAAGGAATGTTCAGGCCAAAAATCATCTTCTAAAATCTTAAAATAAAGTCAAAAGAAGTGATGCTATTATGCAAGCAATTTCAATATATCGATATCAATGGTTGATTGTAAACCGTACTTTTGACTTTGCTTCAAGAATAAGGAAGATAATTTTCGGTTCGAACATTCCTCAATGATTTATCTATGACTGAACTTTCGATTTTCTCAAGATAATTAACCTGTAGGTTAAAATATGGAATATATCAATCGTACCCCATTGCACGAAAGCTAAAGATCAACCTTAGGGTAAAATTTTCTCAGGTGCTGGATGGATTTCGAAAGACTTTTTTTTGTTTTTTCTTGACCTACTTCTCTAACTACAAAAGTGAAGGGTTTTCCTGTTTATTCTTAAAAAAAGGCCTAATTTGCTATATTTTTTGCTTATTTTTATTTTTTTCAAAACTCATACAAATTTCAATTTTCAAAATTACAAAAATCCTCTCGTCTAGAGCTAGAAAAAAGTCCAAGGAATCAAACAAAAAAAGTTTTTGAAAATTCATCCGGTAGAACCTGAGAAAAGTGTACCTTTGCATCAGTAAATTCAATGTGATGAGGATAGGGATTAATGTCTCTCCTTAAATGTCATTGGCGGATCCAGCAAATTGGCAACATTGTCTTTTCACCATTTGAGCCAACGGAAATGTATCGTTTCGTGGAGGGGCCAGGTGCTCTGACACGAATCGATAATTTAGTATAAGTTAAATGGAGGCAATCCAGCGTTGCTAAATTGCTGGATCCGTCTCTGTTAAATGTGTATAAAACCATCTCATTTATCCAGGCAAGCTGCCGCACCTGAAAATAAACATTGATAATTGATTTAAGTGAATTGAAGACGGTGTTACCAACTTAAAAGAATCACCACTCCTACCACTCTTTAAACATCTTTAATTTCAGAAAATGAAGGGGAGGGGGGGGGCAATTCACATTGACTTGGAATACGGTATGAAAGGTTATAAAAAAAGGACGGAAGTGGCTGATAACTACCTTCTAAATGAGGAGGGAATATTTATGGCAGGGAGAGAGGAGAGAGAGAAAAAGAGAGAGCAAAAGCAGAGAGGAAAGAAATAAATAAGAATGGATCTATATGTATGAAGATTAAGTGGAGTGCGTACGTACACGAACAAACAAGTTGTTGATGTGTGTATAAATTTAATCAATCATAAACTGTCAAAGAGAATATTTTTGGATTCCATAGCACTAGAGGTTGCTAAAAAATTTACCTGATCAGTTTTCACAGATGTTTGATTTGCAGGATGATTACAAAGAGTCAAATTAGATTAAAAAGAGTCAGAAGTAAACTGTCATTTGAAATCTGAGCATGCAACACTGATACGTCAAGCAATTTTGGAAGGCGAAGAAAGGCGATTTTGCAATTTTTCCCTGGTGCTTTTGTCATTTTTCTTAATATTACCCGGACTTTAAAAATTTCCATCATTCCTCAGATTTCCATAACTGTGACAACTTTGTTTAGTCTAGATCTGGCTTTATTGAATTTCAAATTTGATGATTTTAACACTCAGGAAAAATTGAACAAAAGGATCCAAATTTTTAAGGGAACTAGAGGTTGTCCTATTGATAGTAGTTGACCAAATTCTGTTTTTTACTCTCACTTTGAATAATACTTAATTAACATAATTTAAAGCATTTACATGCTTTTTTCCTTATAAGTAGTAGCAAGGAACTTGAATTTGGTCAAACAATTGTAATGAATTTTGTGTATTTCGTTGCAATCAACGAAAGGAAAAAGACGTAGAAAGGTTCCTTTCTGATGTTCTTCCTTTTTGGAACACTGACTATTAAAAATATTTTTGAACCACCTTCCTTGCATCCTCTGTTTTAAAGGCTTATCTCAGTTCCAGCAATATTTTTTAGGACTTTTCTTGTCAAATTAAGTGCTTTACAACGATATTATAAATAAATTATTTTAATTTTCAGCATATCTTTGATGCTCTTGGCATGCGTGCTGTTGGCGATCTTCTTCAGTGAGACAGTTGAGGCTAAAAAGTATGAGAAAGGAGGAAAAAGTGAAAAAGGAGAAAAAAATAAAGAAATAAAATATAAGGAAAAGGAGAAATACAACAAAAAGTGAGTATGAGCTTTAGTTAAATGAGAGGAGAAACTTCAATTACTAAAAGCGTAAAACGCATAGCTCAATTGAAACATTTAAAATTCTCCAATTATCTTTTATTTTTTCCAAGAGAAACTCATCAAACTGTTTCCCATGATTTTGGGTGCTTTTTTTTAGAATAAGTAAAGAAAATCCATAGAAAACTTCAATGATAACTATTGATTAGTTTTCTATTAAAAAGATAGGGAATGAGTGGAAATTTACTATGTTGCAATCAGAAATGCACAATTTTTTTTTTTTTTTTTAAATTTAGCCATTGAAATTTTGATGCACTCAGTTTCAAAAGGAAGAATTTCTATTTTGCCTAAGCAAAATTTGTGAGCCCCTACCTCTTAAGCTTGCATTTAAACTTTTTCCTTGCCTCTAAAGTTCATTACAAAGATAGCTTTAGTCTGTAGAGATGAAACCAGACATTAGGCCCATTTCTTGTTGGGCATAAAATTTATTTTGACGAATGACATGTTTTAGGTTTTTTGGGACGATTTACAAAAAAAAAACCAAAGAGACCAAAAGAAATACTTGAACGCGTTAGATCAAATCTTGAAAATTAGTTAAATCGTACAAACGCTCAAATTTTTAATTCTTATTTGTTCTATCTAATTTTTATATTTGATTTTTTAAAAATTCTGTGGGTTTTGATGTAGAATATAAAATTCCTATATAGTGAGTTTGAAAATATAAATATTACTATGATTATAGGCGAGCAACCGAAAAAATGTTGCAGAATTTTATATTTAGAGATCTTTAAAATCAAAATTTTCCAGTGAAAAAACACTCCATACGTAACAGGCAATTTTTCCAGCCATTAGCAGCAATAATATTGACAAAATCTTGATTGGTACTCTTAATTTTTGTACTTTCCTTTTTTTCCAGACATGATAAATCTTACGTCGAAGAAAAGAGCAAGAAATACCTGAAGGAAACCAACGAAGCCGGAAAAGTTGATCACGGCAAAGACGCTGGTAAGATCAAGGACCAAAAGTACAAGGAGAAGTCAAAAAAGGCAGACAAGAAATCAAAGTACGAAAAAGACGTGAAACAGACATCAGAAAAGAAGCCAGAAAAGACGAAGGAGCCCAAAAAGGAAGAGATCAAAAAGGAGAACGTCAAAAAAGAAGAAGAGAAGCGGGAGAAAAGGTCGGTGCCTGAGGAACAACTTCTTGTAGTTGAAGAGGAGGAATTGCAGCCGAATGAGGGTGCGGCTGTAGTCGCAGAAGTAGTGGCCGAAGTTGAAAAAGAGGCCGCGAAAGAGGCCTCATGCGGAAGTAAAGTTGACGAGTTAACGGAAAAACTTGGGGAGCCAGTTAAAGTCGAGAAAGAAGTTATAGAAGAGGCCAAAGAGAAACTGTAAGCTTTAGGAGAGGGATTGTAAATAATTGTAAATGATGTACATACATTTGTAAAAAGTCTTTCTTCGTCACCAATTGAAGTAAAAAAAATTAGCTGCGTTTGAAAAATTCAGCCTTTAGAAAACCCAAGAATTTTTACTTAAGTTTAAAATAAAAATATAGTAATGACTTCATTACATTTTTATCAAAATACAATTTGACATAAATTCCTGTAAATGAGTGTGATTCAGCATATGCTGAAAACACACTCTTTTTAAACGAGTAACTTCAATATTATGAGCCACAAATTAATGGAAATTAAAATAATTCGATTTTTTTTTTTTTTGGAACTTCCGGGCAATTTGGTTACAATATCTCAGAATATGAAATTATGATGTTGAAAATATCGCCAAGAACAAAACCAAAGTTACTTTCCTGAACAAATTTTTATTATGCGACACCGAATAAAGTTTCAAAAGATTTTGTATCGTAAAATGTTCCTCTTCAGACTTAATTTATGAGATATGAAAATAAAAGAAATTTTTCTGCTCAAACTGGACGTAAAAATTTAATTTTTCCTGGTTACAGAAACAACTCTCAGATTTTCACTCCTTTGGTTATGAATAAATTTCATTAAATTTAATTTTGATAAGACAGTTCATTGAGAAAGCGACCTTAGTACATACTTGGTGGGATATTTGGACTACATTTTGCGATTGGGAACTGGCTTGTTTTGGAAACAACATGCGTCCTATTAGCTTCTTTCTGCAGATAGGTGCTTTTACTGAGCACACAATAAGCCAGAGAAAGTAATTTTTCATTCTAAAATGCAGCGCATTTTTCAAGAGCAACTTTGGTCCAGTTAAGTAAAAAAACCGAATCTCTGGTTATCAATGGAAAACACTCCAGTGTCCTCCAGAAATAATTTTGGACAGTTATAAAATTTTCGTCCCGGAATACAGCAGATCAAAAACATGGATAATTATTCCTTAAAACTCTACAATGCTAGTTTGATTTGCTGTCCTTGAGTAATTTTTTACCAGAATGGTCATAAAACACTCCTTTGAGCAACTGTACCAATATTTCAATTTTGAATTTCTCAGTACTAAGGTCTCATCTGCCATGGATGGTCACACATTGAAAATAAATTGTGAGGAAAAGAGTGGAAAGATAATTTCCTACCACAGAAAATTGTCTACTGTATAGGTATGAAGATATAGGTTCATCTGAAAGACATGCTTCCGGTCGATGAAATGTTTTTGAGTGAAAAATGAGGTTAAGGAAACAACTGAAAAAAATTTAATTTTATTACCGAGGAAAGATTGATTGTAAGAGGGTTTTTGGTCTTATAGCCTTGCGGAATTTTGATAATTGTTTTTCTCTTTCAAATTTCGGAAGGTCAGACGAGCCAAACTTTCGATTACAATACTCAGATAAAACTCAGACTAACTGTAGAGTGGAAATGCAAAATGACTTAAGTACCATGAAACTGTTTCAGAGTTATTCCGAGGAAACGGAAATAAATTTAACCGTAGACTAACCACACACTCTAATGACCCGCTTTCTAACCTTTAAAATTGAGGTAAGAGTTTTTCCATTTTCTTCAAACCCCCGAAAATTTTTCCTTTAACATTCAGTTTCAAATGACGTTTGGCGGAGTCAAAGATTTTAGTTTCCAGAAAAAATTATAACTTAAAGGGGGAAAAAATATGCACAGTCTGTTATTTGGAGAGGAAATTTACTCTGAATAATTGAATACAGATGCCTAGAAACGAAAATGGTGAGATAAAAATCATACTCTATAATATAAAATCATAAGAGTAACGTTGAACACATAACGCCTGAGGATCGGCCTGTGAAGCGGTTAAAGACATAGATCACTAATGAAAAACAAGATTGCAAAATTAATTTTAACTAAATACTTTTAATGATTTTAATTAGTAATGAAGTTACCTGATATGAGAGATTAAATGAGATTGATGTTAGAAGATTTCTTAAAAAAAAAGTCCGAAAAACTGTTTTATCTGATTTTTTTCATTATTTGAATCAATTTTTTACAGTAGAAGTATGAAATGTCGTGAGATTTTCCCAATTTTTCAGGAATGCGGACGATTTTTCCTAAAGCCATTTTGCATTTCCATTCAGCGCAGCGGACTCAACAGCCATACAATCAATTCCTGAACCAACCATTTTTTAAAAGCTTGACTCCATTGTTTCAAATTTTTTTAAAGTTATATTTATTTTTTCACTGAAATAAATTTTTCATCTTTGATAGATTTCTCTAGCATATTTTAGATTTGAGCGTCTGAGCAGAACAGAAACCTGATTGTGACATGAATCCTCAATTAGACCTACATTGAGGGGAAGACGCTCAAAGTAAGTCTATGAATAGGAAAAAGTATTTGAGATAGCTCCAACATAGAACATAATCTACTTACGGTGGTAGGTGACAGGGTTGACATTGTAAACGACGATAAGATCATGACCGCCACTAGTACAAGACGAGTTAACCTTGCCATCGTAAGCGGGGCCGTCCCCATGGAAGAGGTTAACTGATGAGAAGTTGAACTGGAAGTAGCTCTCTGGACCGGTTATGAGTGTTGTGTTGCAAACCTGGTTCGATGGGTAGCTGTTTGGAAAACCAGGTGATGTCACTTTCCCTTTTCCATAGAATAGTCGGTAAGTTCCACCGCAAGAGGCTGGAGAAAAAAACGTACTCTTAAATTGAAAGCAGAAAAAATAATTGTGTGAGGGCCAGCGACTAGTTTGGAAACTACAAGACTCAATTGTAACCGTATATCAATGGTGAAACTGCAGGAACACGTATCTTGTTATAAGTGTATCAAAATCTACGCTGCAGTTCAATTTTATAAAAGGAGAGTCAACAAACGCTATAGCTAAAAATTGTAACAGAATATTCTTCATACACAGAAGAAAAATCAAGAAATGACATTGAGTGTTTTTCAACCAGAAAAATAACTTATAAAGAAAGTCTGCAACATTCGTTGAGATACATATTCCTGAAGTTTCATGGTTGCTATGAGAAAAGGAAGTTTAGTATACAAAATCTTAAAACTGAAAAAATGTCACCATTACACAGAATGATAATTTTTTCACCATTCAGGCGCAAGACACCAGGCTTTGAAACCAATGCTGCATAGTAAAAGTTAGGATCTCACAATTGAAAATGATCATTTTGACAGAAAGACATGAAAAGCTTTGCATCTCATGTATGAAGCTAGGAGTAGTTAGAAACAATACAAACAACTTATTGCCTTTGAATACGAAAAAATAAACAAATCAGCTCTCAACTTATTCTCTGGAATCCAAGAGGAAACTTCCTGTCAAAATTCAAACTTAGATTCCTCCTCGCAACTTCACAAAAATACCTATCCTGAGGTTTTTCTGCCCGCAAAGGACTAAGTTCTTTTTCCTAGAGGACAGTCACATTAAAAAAATATAATTTAACTATGGACACATTGCCTAACGATGACAAGTATGCTTATGGCCGCTCTGAGACAGGTAAGGAATGACAAGATACTTCATCATGAGACCTTACGGAAATGTTTTCATTAGTTCAATTATTCTTTGAAAGCACACTTTTGTAGCACATTCAATGGTGAAACTGCAAAAATGTGCATCTCGGTTGCAGTGTTTCAAAATATCCGCTCCTTTTTAATTTCTTAAATGCAGACTGAGCCAACATCATGGCTTGAAATTTTCACAGAATATTCTTCACATAGAGAAGAAAAATCACCAAAGTTTTCGAGAAATGAAGTTAAAGGTTTTTCGTGCATAAAAAATAAAATGTGACAGGAACTCTGCAACGTCACAAACCGATACACGCATTTCTGTAGTTTCACCATCGACTTGTAATACATCTTGTAATCTACACTTGTAATAATAGTAACAAGACTAGCTGGACACATTTCCATTCGGTATTTTTTCCCATCTGATCAGTACTTTGGCATTATCATACACTATAATTAATCTAATCTCATTTTTTTCTGCATTATGACAGTTAAAGTAAGGAAAGTAAAAGCTGTATAAAAGCTGCTTTTTAAGTTTTCTGACAGAGTGTAATTTGCATGGTATTTTAATTCTTAGCATGTTCAGGTGAGTTATAGGACTGGTCAAAAGTATCCAAACAAAGTTTTGAATTTTAGTCGAATTAAACACTAAAGCTAGGCACGAAAGGTAAAAAATGAATCTTAAGGCGATGTGTTAAAAAATAGTACCTACAGCAGACTATAAGTAACAATGCCTATTTTAAGGATTAAGAAAATTACAAACCAAAGTTTCTTTGAATGTAAAACTTCTAGGATGCATTGACTTCAAAAATACTGAGCGAAAAATCGAGTTATATGAAAAACGGATTGAGTAAATCAGAAATATAAAGATTCTCTGCGCTCTTTTAGTGAGTCTTACCTAGATCAATAGTGGCAAGAAAGCCATTTTTGGGATTTTTCACATCTGTGAAATACTTCACGAGCATTTGGTTTCCGGTTGAGAATAAGGAGTTGGGCACATTCTGGTCGCAAAATCTGCCAAGGACCCTCGAGACTTCAGTCAGACCATCTCGGATCTCGATGTAATCATCTTTACAACTGTAAAACCAGGATACGAGATAAAAATTCATAGTTCAGAAAATCATGAAATCAGCCAAAATCTCAAGAAAATAAGTCATACAAGGTTTATTTGGGTACATTAAAATGAAATTACTGTCGTTTTTGTGTGTTTCCTTCGTTGTTCATATATACTGTATTCCAGTGTTGAGGCGTGAATGATCAATTATCGATATTCTCCCATTTGAAGCTGTGGTAACGAATTTACTATTGAGGCATTCGTTGCAAACACCTTGTTTATCAATCCTTTTCTGCAGGTATAAATGATAGATCAATCGATCTATCGTTGCAAACACCCTGTTTATTGATCCTTTTCTGTACGTATAAATGATAGTTCAATCCATAGATCGTGAAGCACGCCACACTTCTGCTGAATTCCCCCTTATATTAGGCTTGTCCTATGGCTGTTTTGGGGCTTTTGGTTCCTTTCGTCAGGCCCTTGTCAGTTGTAAAAAATAGAGAAAAAGTTTGCATCACATGTACATTTCTCGTTTATATTTTTTACAATTCATCCGGACTGAATAATGGGCCTGAGAGCCTCAATAAAGCCATCGCCTGATAGCCTAAAAAAAGCTGAAATACAGTAACAGAAAACTGAATAAGAAACACAAAACACCATGGCATTTTTCTCCCTGATAAAAAAGGGAAAACAATCCATAAGTAAAAATAATTATAATTAGTAGGAAGCTACACGGCTTTAATGACGTTAGGTTGATCTCTTTTTGCAAAGGCAGGTTGACAAATTAAATTATCTGTTAGAAAACGATCAATAATATGTGAACAGTATCGTCAAGCTACAGGAAAAAAGACACGCATCAAAATAGCTCTAAATCGAAGGGCCATCCATAAGTCTATCTTGTTCAAAAAAGTCAGTGGATGTGTTGAATTGTGTTCGTGATGCAAAAAATGACCAAGAATTATTACTAAGAAGACTTAAAAATTACCGTCAAGCAATCCATACCCGCCTACAAAGTCTATTTAAATTAGTTTTACCTAAGTGAGTACGTGAAATCAAACTGCTCAGGGAAAGTGATGCGGAGGCTTTGATGGAGGGGAGCAGAGAACTTCCAAACACACTCAGTGTGCGGAGGTGGTGCGTTAGGATACTCAGGTGAAGAAATGTTGACAGAGTTTACCGAGTCAGACAGAACGAAATTTTGGTTGCAGTCCAGTGAAACTTCATGAAAGGCTAATTTTAGACCCTAAAACAAAAGAATGGTCACATTGGGTTACTTCTGAGTAAAATGTACTTATGCTTCAAAACTGGACGCAGCATATCCATGGTTTAATGCGACAAATGCTTATATTTATGGCCATGTTTAAAAATTTCCGATTATGTTTCATTTTCTTCAGAGGAGAATTAATCAAAATGTTTCCTCAAAATTTTGCTTAGTTTTTTTACGACAAGTAGAGAAAATTCCTGGGGATTTTAATCAAAACTTTTGGTTTGTTTTCCTATGAAAAAAAAAAAAAATCAAACATGAGCGGAGGTTATAACATCACAATCTAGTTAAAGTAATTATTATTGAAACTCACTAGCACACTGTTTTTACATATTTATAGTATAAAAACAACATACACGTGAATTTCGATAATAACTTTAGGTATAAAGTTCTTGTACAAACTCGACCCCAACATTTGATTACAATCTAGGATGCACACTTTCAATTTTAATTACATTGTCAATTCGAACATTCTCTTTTATCAGAGAATTTGCCTGCCTGCGTCAGGTATACCTGAATTTAAGTGTACCAAACCACATATTTCGCTACATGCCTAAAGGCCTTTCTTTGTGTGCTGATTTTTAAAGGACAAGTTAAAAACAGCTATGTATCATAATAAAAATGAATATTCTGTAGAGTCGACCATAAAATCGACCCTCAGCCAAATTTCCAAGCATAAGAGTCTGTTTTCAGTAGCCAATTTGACTTGCATTGCTCTGTAATTTACTTTTGCAAGCTAGAAATTTAAATTGACTAATTGGACATATTTTTATCAAACGGAACTATGTGCATTAAGACATGAGCCCTGAGACCCATAAGAATATGTGCATAACATGGCTAACGTCATAATACACATAGTTCCGTTTGATAGGAATAAGTCCAATTTTTATTAATGACTCACTTCATTTGTTGATCATGAAAATTTTCTAGGCGTGAATTGCTATCCATAAAAGTAAGCTTGCGATCCTATCGATTCTCATCTCAATCAGTGGCTCATCAATATCTAAAATTGAGGAAGACAGTTTTGCAAATTTAAAAAGAAAATAAGGTACTAAAATTAAAATTAGCTTACAACCGGATCTGTGCTGGAAACGACAAATCTGACAAACGCCTTGTTACCAGTTGTTTCTGGTATGCTGACGTGCGTACTGTTACAATATTTACCGTTACCTAGGGGTGGATAGTCATCGTCTTGTCCGTTCTTGATCTGCAAAAATAAAATAAAAGTTTGATTCAACAACAGACCAATAGAGGAAAAAAAAGAGGAGGATCAGTTATTTAGAATAAAAAGGACAAATCTATCGAGAATCAGTTTAAAGTTGTCTAATTTTCTTTGATTTTTTTTTTTTTTAAAACAGAATACTAAATGACACTAAAACTTGAAAATGTGTGAGTAAATTTTTCATAATGTGGAGTAAATTCACAGAAAGTTTCAAGGCATTAATTAGTTGAGTTCTCTGTTCACAGAAAACGTAGCATGTGAGAAAATTTGATAAACGATAATAAAGATAATAAGAAAAAAAGGACGATTTGACTGCGAGTTCCATTTCTACTTTTTTTTCCACCTTGCTATAGTTTTGGAAAAAAAAAGAAAAAAAAAAACCTGAGCAGATGATGAAGAAAACGTAAAGGAAAACTAGGATAAAAAATTCTCACAAAAATTAGATAAACCGAAGGCTTTTATTGGACAGATTTAACCAGTATAAGTTCAACTAAATCAAAAGATGCCTTTTCTCTCTGATGTCTTATTTTTTAAACAAAACTCTAGGCAACAATAAAACTTGGAATTTTGTGAGAATATTTTCCATAATCTAGGGTAAGTTTAAAGGTATTAAAAGTTTAGTTCTCTGCTAAAAAAAACAAAGCTTGAGAGAAAATTTGGCAACGTGAAATGGAGTTGGACTGATTTTCGTGTATACCATCAAATTATGCTAAGATCTTTGAAGTTGAGGGCAGGCTACAATACGTCAATGTTGTACAATTTTAGTTTGAATTTTATACTGTGTTACCAAGCAAGATTGAGATTAGGAGAGAATCTCCTGTGAGATTACAAAAAATCGACATTCTCATTTGAAATTTTTATTCAAACTTTTCACGGGCAAAAAGGAAAGAAAGGATTCGACAGCAATCATTTAGTCGGTCAAAACTTAAAATGTTCTGTGTCTCCTCTGTTTTCCCGGTTGCTAAAAACTTAAAAAAACTCACCATGACATACGCACGATCGCAGTCTTTCACATTTTTGTTAGTTTTTGCTGCCGATGAACTGAGATCCAGTATTTCTGGGTAATTGAATTTTATTGTTCGCCCTGTTTTCACTACAATGGTCCACTCACAGTGCTGTTGGTAAGTCAAAATCTTTGAAAGTTCGCGGAGCATCTTTGTCTTTTCTGTCACAACTAACTCTCCGTTGGGACCATTAACCACCCCTCCACAAACTGAAAAGATAAAAGGCACGAAAAACACATAAAATTTAGTTTAGAAACTATAAGAAAAATATCGGACTTCTCTTTCAGTTTCAACAGGGTGTCTAGTTTTTATTCTTTTGGGGAAATCCTAATTTTTCCTGATTTTTGACTGCTAAATCCTGATTTCATAATTTTTTCAAATCCTGATTTTTTGTGGAGAAAAATTAGGCAAATGAAACTTCACAAAAATAGCTCTATAAAAAAAAAAATCAAATCAGACGGCCGACTTTACTCAAATCCTGATTTTACGACCGATTTTTCCGCAAATCCTGATAAAATCGGGGTTAAATCATGATTGACCTCATTCCTGATAGAATCGGGAAAATCCTGATGCTAGACACCCTGTTCAATTTGGCTCTGAATAATAACGGTTTTGATTGAAATCAGCTTAGCTGCATTTGGACCAGATAGAGGAGTGAGAGACCAAGCTTTTTAGGAAAACAATTGGACTTCATTTTGCAATTAGGATCTGCAATTTCAGACTCATCCATAAAATCACCTACTTGCAGGAGGATACTTATGGCACATTATGCTGTTTCTGAATTGAGCCAGAGATTATAGTTCTTAATGATTGCAAAATAAAGTCCAATTGGTCTGCTTGTTGTGGAATTATATTTTAAATCTTACAAAGAAAACATTCCATTTCATAACTTTTATTTAAGGAAACTGCAAGTTATTTTTTTGCACAAATCTGGCCAAGAAAACCACATTTACAAATTTTTTTAAAATTTTAATAACTTGGTTCCTGTCTCCGGAATGCCAAAAAAAAAAAAAAAAAAAAAAAAAACCAGAAAAACAAACAGAATTAGTTCTGAGACACGAATTAACTATAGAGTGATGCTTGACGCATTCTTTTACGTAACTAATGAGCATGATTTCACCCTTGTTTGATGAAAAGGTTGGTTTTTTTCTCTTCCATAAGAGTGGCACAAGTCAATCAGAACCGTCAATAATTGCCACACACAGTTCATTGTGTAGATGGACTTCTGCAAGAATTTTCAAGAAACTTAACAGTATTTGATTGGTTGTAAAGAGAAGATGAGAAAATTCTCCACTTTCGATCAAGAAAATTTGTTGACTGTAGTAGTGGTAGTATGATTAGTGCTGTAGGTGCCTGTAGATAAGCTTCACTTTTTCCTCTGATTTTGTGGGCTCAAAAAAGGGCTTGCTCTGCAGAACTCTAAGAATTTGCAAACTATCAAGGCACTTAGACTCAGTGTGCGCTTTATATCAGGATGAATATGAATACTAAAAGGAGGTACTTGTTATAAGAGCATGGCACAATTACTTCCTCCGTAGCACTTGCCTGGAACTCAATACAAAAATCTGCCAAAAAGGAGGTTGGATCAGAAGTTTTTCAGTGATTCTGGTTTAAAAATTAGCTCATTAAGTTATGTCACTTAATTTTCTACTAAAACTTACCAACTGAGGCAGTGACGATCAAGCCGTTGCTATTAATATCCCTGAAACGCTGCAAAGTTATTTCCATTTTCATCAAGTTTGTGCCTTCTATGATACTGCCTGTTGCGTTTGGTTGACACACATTTTTCACAAATTTCCATTCGTTTGACGGAGAGCCTGCAGATAAAAATCAAGGAGTTGATGACTCATACATACATTAAAAATTTGACCACTGTAAATTATAGTTTTGAATGCCTAGTGTTACAGAAAATCTCTAGAAACTTTCGTTTTGGATTTTTTTCAAAGTCTGTTAGAGGTATTTTTCAAGGAAATGTTCTTATTAAAAAATTGTACAGCAACGAATCTGTTAAACACAAGAGATACCACTAATTGCTAGGGATGTCGATACTCTGGAAAGTATCCATACTCGGTATCAGTACTGGTATCGACTCTAAGCATCGATACCGGTATCGAGCATCGAGCTGAAGTATCCATACTTTATAGGTATCGATACCATCGATACTTTTTTGAATTATGCCATAATTCGGAGTGTGCGTATGTCTGTCGGCCGTTAAGTTCCGCCAGATTTACGACTCTCTCCAAACCGCCCTATATTCGCGTGCTTAGTCAACTATTTTGAGCCCTTTACTACCGTTATCGAACCGAGCTTTTAACATTTTTAACGAAAGTAATCATCTTGAGAAACTTGATTACTCCGTCGTTTGTCACAGTGCATAGTGAAGGTGAAATAGAAGGGAGAGAAGTTTTTTAAAAAGAAAAAGAGGCCTTCTTCATGACCAAGTTAGATTAAGTATCGATACCATCGATATTGGGGTCTGAGGATCGATACCACATGGTATCGATATCTTTGAGTATCGATGCCAAGTATCGATGAGTATCGATCAAAAGTATCGATACTTTGGAAGTATCGGTTAAGTATCGACATCCCTACTAATTGCACATTTGATAAGTAATATTGAACAAAAATTTCATTGCCTTCAGCAGGCAATTTCTAAAATCTACTCCTTAGTGAACAATTGCAGCTTTCAGCCTTCAACTATCCACGCAATGTGGACCTTTTTTCATTGGCAGTTCACAAGAACTGATTTTCTTGACAAAATTCAATTCCTTAAAAAATTTGCCACCAAGATTTAGACTTTTTTATTGTTATTCAGCTTTTCCTGTGGACCCTTACCAGGACGTCTAGCAATTTTCAATACAAAAATTCCCTGAAGTTTCCATAATTTCCCTGACAAAATTGACCAAAAACATTTAAAATTCCCTGTCGGACAGAAAAAATAATTCCCTGACATTTCTCTTACAAATTGGAAAAAGATTTCTACATTTTCGACATGGTTGAAAAAATTAGATGTGAGTGAAAATTTTTACAAGTCTTAGGAAGATAATAAATAAACAGAGCAAGATATATGGTTCCTAAACTTATGTAAGATAATTCAACCTCATTTTAATAATTTAAAAGACACCAGCAAAAATTCTGGTAGAAACCTCAGCTAGAGTAAAATTCGTGAAACATTTTCCGGAAAATCCGTCTCTTTCGATTTCCCTCGCACGAAAATCCCTTACAAAATAAAATTCCCTGACATGCCGAATTTTTGCAAATTTCCTGACGTTTTCCCTGACACTCAAAAAAAGTCCCTGACATTTCTCGGTTGCTAGACACCTTGCTTGCAATTAACATAGGATTTCTCATAAATTTTTAGCAAATTTTTGACTTATTTGTGATATTCAGGAGATTCATACCTTCGTACACATCAACACCACCAGAGCAGCCATAATAAAGGTATCCATCCTTGTACAAGTTCACTCTGTCGAATTTGAGTTGGATGTGACTGCCTTTGTCACTGCGTACAATCCAAGTGCAGTCATGATCAGCAAATGCCGAGCTATAGTTGAATACGTAACTCATGTTGCCTGTGATAGATGCTGACAAGAAGACATCTTGGCTGCATGTTTCATTGGATGACTTTGTTGAGACAAACGTAGAATCGCGAGGAACCTGAGACAAACACAGAAATATAAAATAAGTATACGACCATCTAATGGAGAAAAGATCATAGTGTCTATAACTTCACAGACATCAGTCTCCTGGAAATTTTTTTCATCTATTTTATTCTTTTAGTATGAATTGGTATAAGTAAAAAATAATCATTGTTGCCGTATGAGTAAAGGGTTAAAAATAATTTGCGTTACAATTAATTGTTAAAAATTCATCTGTAGTGTGGTAAAATTTGGTAATTAATATGTTTTTGGCCGCTGATAAGAAAGGCCTTATCATCTTAAATTTTTTTTATTACTTTTGGTTGTTAATTTTGAAGACTGGCTGCTGGCAAGCACAGGGTACTACGAAATCTTCTGGAATTAACAGAGGGTACTTATACATTGGTACCTTTTCTGGTTCCATTCTGTCAAGCTTAGGATAAACGCTGTATGAACTTTCAGAGGTTGCTAAATTTCCTTTGATGAAATACATATTTTCAGGAAAATCTGAATATTTTTCCTCAAATTTTTTAGAGAATTTTGTTTGCGATCTAAATTATCTGAAAATTTCATGAGAAAATATTTGCATCTTTCCCCAAAAATAAATGTTTTATCGGAGGAAATTTTGCAACCCTCGAATGTTTATACAGCATTTTTTCTTAGCAGGGCAGCAGAGGAGTGCGCCTATTTGAATGTGGTAAAAATGTAATCATTCTTGCGCATTAAGTTTAAAATTTCTAAAATATAGATCGACACCACAGTTAAGAATCGGTACTTTATGAAGTATTCTCTGTGGGAGGCAGCGTTTTTCAAACCAAAAATTGATCGCAAGACACGCTTCTAACTTTTCATTACATCTTACGCTGTTTTAGCACCACGATTTCTCTTTGTCCACTAAGGCCTCTTTTTCATAAAAATACAGATGATGAATTATTAATGAGTAACAGAACAAATGACTCATGAGTGCCAATAGTTCATGACTATTAAATTTTACTTCACCTGTGACCAAGACAGACTGAATGACGATCCAGAAAAAACCACGTTGCTATGGAATTCAATGTACACATAGCTTGAGGAAGAAATCATTGGTTTCGGGCAGGCGAGACCACAGATTTGACCGAGCAAAGGAGCGCTTCCATCGAACCCATCGTAGATTTTTAGATCACTGATACAAACGGAGTCTCCAGAATCAGCGCTTTCTTCTTGGACACTGAGGTACACTGTTTCCTCAGGAAGGGAAGTTTCCAATGAGCAATCATTGAACGTAATCATGACAGCCTCTTTCGAGTCCACCAAAATCCGCCATGTGAAGGTTTTATCTAGAGTGTAAGCCATGGGAAAGAGTGGTGAGGTAATCGTGCCTGAGGGACCCTCCAGATCATTGTGTGTCAGCGTGGCAAAATCTGCGGTGAATCCTTTACCTGTAGTGTCTGCCTGCGAGCCACTGTGGAATTTGATCCAGAAGCCATGAGTAGCCGTGACTAAGGCTGGCTTCTCATCTCCACAACTTACGGAAAGCAGCTTACCAGATACACTTTTCTCTCTAATTTCTACATAATCTTCCATGCAATGGTCACTTTTCAACAAATTAAAATTGGAGAAGACCAACTGCATCTTATTCCCTTGAGACACTGAAATGGTCCAGACACAGTCTGTTAATCTTGGATAACTGTTTGGATAGTTGGGTGAAGATATAGTTCCATGTTCCGCAGCTAAAGTACCACCACAAGCTGAGGCCCGGACGGAATAGAATCCAGAAAACCGATATTTGTATCCAGCAACATAACTCTGGTCCGATTTGAAGGTGATAAGCATTGATGGCCCGGTGCTTGTGATGGAGGGTGGAATTCTTGATCCGCAAACTTCAAGGATTTTGGTGGCATTGGAATCATCACCATCATAAGCCAGTAAGACATTGTCCTGCGTACATTCTGGATCGTCTTGTCGAGCGAATATATTTAGATGTGTTACAGAGAACGTTACTTTCGAGTCTGGTTTTGCGGCTTGGATAATCCAAGAGCACTCTTTTGATTCCTGGTGGGCCATTGCTGAAACGTCACTTGAAATAACGCCGGAATCATCCGTTTCTATGACCGCACCGCAGGCAGTGGTGTAGTTGGCAGCAAATCCTTTTGTAGTTGGACTACGAGCTCTCAGTCGAATCAATAGGAAATTACTAGATGAAACAAAAGGCGCAGGAACTGTGTTGCCGCATAATCTTGCCAATTTGGGATCATTTGAGGAGGTCCCATCAAAAATATCAACATATGAATTACTACAGTTAGGATTCAATCGAGCCACTCCTACATCAAAATCTGAGAAAGTGAGATTGACACGGTGAAGTGCTTTGACAGTAAGCAACCAAGTGCATTCTTCTGCATCTCTGTAGTTTTTGGGATAATTGGGCGTAAAGATCGATCCTGAGGGTGTCCTGAACATACCACCACAACCTGAAGCCGCTATGTCTGTTTGGAAAGTGCCCTCAAAACCGCGACCTGAAAAAGACTGATCCGAAATAAAGCGGATGAAGGCTTTGTTGCCATGAGAATGAACGATAGTGGTTGATGTTTGGGACTGACAGATTTTGGTGAGAACAGGTGCAGAGTCATCTTCGCCGCTGTAGATGGTGAGAGAGTCCATCAAGCAATTGTTATCGTCATCTTCAATATCAATACGTGGAATTGTGATGGTTACTTGTTTGTCCCAGTCTGCAGTAATGAACCATTCGCAGTGGATTTTTGGTGGGTAGTTATGAGGGTAGTTTGGTGTTGAAAACTTGCCCTTCGGTCGGTTCAGGAACACTCCACCGCAACCATGAACCACCCATTCCAGCCTGAATCCAGTTCCTGGGATATTATAGACACTTTTGAAGTGCACAAAAACAGTATCTAGGCTGGAAGAGATCATTTTTGGCAGCGCTCTACCACAAAGAATGCTTAGAGATTTTGTTGCAGGGTCGGTGATGCCCCCCTCAACACCGCCTTCTTTGATTTCGACAGAGTCGGAACAGTTAGAGCTCTGCAACCTCTCAAGCCTCCCTGGCCAAAGCAAACGAGAATTGACCATGTAATCAACGTACATGAGTTGGTCGGTGTACCGCTCAGCGACAAGGTCGAAATGTGAGAATGAGATATTGATGCGATTCCCTAATGGAGCTCTAATAACCCAAACACAATTTGTTAACCTAGGGTATCTCTCTGGAAAGTTGGGTGACTCAATCACACCCGTGAAGCCGCTCAATGTTGTGTTGCACTCGGAAGAGTACTGCACGAAGAATCCTTTACCGTTTTCAAAACGTCGCATAAATCGGAATTTCAAGAACATTTCATTGGTTGTCGACTTGAGGACAGTCTGCTGTCCGTTGCGGCAAAATTGGCCGAGAAGGGGACTTTTGGAGCTGGCACCGTCATAAATGCTCAAATAATTGGTCCAACATTTCCCTGGATACATGGAGTCTACATCAATGTCGACGATTGTCAGTTTGATGACGGAGCCTTTGTTTACGGTGATCTTCCACGCGCAATTGGCATTTGCTGTGTAGGAATTTGGATAGTTGGGTGATGTGATGGAGCCAGTCGAACTGGTCAAAACTCCGCCACACCCTGTACTGGTGCCATCCCAGTAAATGTTGAAGCCTTCTAGACTGGTCGTAGCATCAGATACAAATTTGAGCCAGAGCTGATTACCATGGGAGGTGATGTTTGGTGGACTCGTATCGTGGCCACAATATTTCCCGATCAGAGGTGAAGTTTCGTAACCACCTTGCCTGATTTCTAAATAATCATAGTAGCAAAATTTGTTGGGTTCCAGAGTGAAGTTCTTAAAATGCAACTTGATCTGCTGACCAGGCTGAACAGTTATTGTCCAAATGCAATTGCGGTTGTAGGGGTAACGGTTGGGATAGTTAGGTGTGCGCAAATACCCAGTTGTTGAATAAAAGTTTCCGCCGCACACTGAAACAGAGAGAGCATTGGCTATAGGTACTTGCAAGGATTTAAATAAGTCTTTTGGAATACATGATGGTCCTTTGTTAAGCATTATTAACTCTTGGCATTCATATGTTGCAAGCAAAAAGGTAGTTCTGGCGTCCTATCAAATACCTAGGCGGATAGTCAAATATTATTACAGACACTAAAATTCTGATTCTTTTGTGATTTTAAACAAAATAATTTTTCCATCATATGGAAAACAATTATTTGTAAAAATTTGCATGTATGTATGTACTTCTTGACCAAGCATTTATCTCAAATCTGTAGCAGATCATAAAATTTAAACGAAATTAAAATGCTGATGCTTGGAACATATCAGGAGTGTTCGGAGAGCAAAATACAAGAAATGTTCGTGTGTTTGAAAAATTCTTGCTTACAAAATATTGAAAACTCAAGAGCTTTTCGTTGGAAATATGCAAAACTTCATCAACTATCAAAATTTGACTATTCGTTGAGTTATTTGATAAAATGCCTGATTTGACCATTTACCTGAGCAACACATACAAACTTTGAGGAAAAGAGAGAAAAAAAAAAAAATGAAAATGAATCAATTTGTAGTTCTCCTTCTTCTTCAGTATGAAAATACTTAAGAGAGAAGGTTAAATAAGATGCCAAAGCTTTAAAATGTCTTCAAGTAAGAATTCCCTTTTGAAAAATGAAGAAAAAGAAAACGCAACAATAATTTTTCCATAGAAACACATTAATTTGAACCCCATATTACAAGTGCTTTGCCAATTACTTACTCCTGGAGCCATCAAGCATGAGATAATTGGCTGAGAATCCATCCATATTTATTGATGAGTCCGAAATAAAAGTTATGGTCATTATATTGCCTGTGGATGTAATAGGTGGTGGTAGTTTGACGCCACAAAATCTATGGAAATATTGAGAAATAAAAAATTAATTTCAAATATCTACAAATTTCAAAGAAAAATAAGCATTACTTTCCAAAAAAATACATGGTTCACTGGGAGAACTTTAAAAACATTTCAATGCTCCCACAGCATTTTTCCCGAGCACTGCAGAATTTTGTACTACTTTAACTTCTACATAATCGGTTGGTTAATTATTGCTACTATTTGGTATAAAGTTTCCAATTTTGTTTTCCATGCTAGACAAATGCAGCCGATTCCTCATTGAAAATTGTGAGAATGGATTGGAGATTCATGAGAATATCAAGGTTTTTAAACTGAGAGCTCACCTGCCGATCAGAGTGTCTTCAGCAACCACCGAAGAATTATCGAAAACCTCGACATAATCATGGCGGCACGATGAATGCATCTCAAGGGAGAACTCCGTCCATGTCAATTGGACAAAATAGCCTGGTGGAGCCGAAATCACCCACTGACACTTCTGATTCATTGGATATTTGTTTGGATGCTTCGGACTTGTAATTGTGCTACTGTTTGCCTTGAATATACCACCGCAAGCTGTTGAAAGAGGAGAGAAACTTATTTTTCATCCTCGTTGAATTTTAAGCTTTTAATTTGTATCAAATAGGACTACTCACAGAGAAAAGGACCTTTGATTGCAAACCCTCAAAACCAGATTATTGCTATTTGAACACAGAAAAGCGTTCTCAAAATCCTCAGGACCAAAAATGCCGCAAATGTTCAACTAAACTGGAGTTATGGCAGTTTGAAACTTCCAGTTCAAATTACACAATTCTAAGATAAAATGGGCCTGTTGCAAACTTTTGCTAGAGCAAAAATAAGAGTTGTCTCTTGTAGATAATGCCTCAAAAATCACGATGAGCGCATCGGCAAAGTCTGAAATGCACTCATAACTTCACAATCTGCGTAAGAAATTTGCGTTTTTTTAAGCTTCCCGCTTCAAAAACGATACTACGGCACAGGTGAACATTTTGTTAGAGGAGTCGCTCCATCGTCGGCGATATTCATCACGGCCGACGCTTGCGCGCAGTTCCGCGCGTAATTCGAGGAGAGTTCAAGGTCAATCAATTCGGGCGTGGAAAATATGAACGTTAACACACCGATTGTTATCTGGTCTAATCCAGTTCAGGTGTTATCTCGTCCCATCAAACGTGTTTTGGCGGATTGGCGTCGGCCATGATGATTATTGCCGACGATGGAACGACTCCTCTTACAAAATGTTCACCTGTGCCGTAGTATCGTTTTTGAAGCGGGAAGCTCAAAAAACCGCAAATTTCTTACGCAAACTGTGAAGTTATGAGTGCATTTCAGACTTTGCCGATGCGCTCATCGTGATTTTTGAGGCATTATCTATAAGAAACAACTCTTATTTTTGCTCTAGCAAAAGTTTGCAACAGGCCCATTGTTTAAAATTCTAATTTGCCATGTTTGTGGTAGGGATGCAGAAACTTCTTAATGACATGATCATAATTGCATGGCTGTTCGCAGTGAAAAATGGGGAGGCTGTGATTTGGAAAACCAGTTTGCAAAAGCATTGAAATCGCATGTTTCTTTAAAAACCACCATGAAATATGTGTGTATTTCATAGGACGAGGGCGATTTGTAAATAAAGGACAAAAAAAAAGTTAACAGCTCTGAAAATGTAAGGGGAAAAAGGGGTTTTTAAAATGGGAAGGCCAATTCAGAGAATGAGAGAGCTAAGAACTTTCTACGATTCTACATACATACCTGGACTCCAGGGCACGGATTTCTCAAATTTTAATTCCATTTTATGCCTTTTCTCGGTAAATCTCAATAATAGAATAATACATACTTACCACCATATGATACATGAAATTTTGAAGTAAAAGTTTTCTGAAGACATTTTTCATTCAGTTTGATTATCCTGGAGTTCTTCCTTCAATGCTGTGGCCTTAAGTACAAACTATTTTTTGCTGCCACTGATAGCTGAAGGTCTTCAATTGTACTTCATTCGATAAATAAGTAATGAAATAAATATTTCAATTCAGAGACTCTAGGTTTCGCCGGAGGCTAAAAAGTGTCCACACTTTTAGGCTAAGTCCAAGAGGAGAATTTTCGAGGAACCAAGTAACATATGAGGTATTGATATCGGTGCATTTTGGCCCAATGGAGATGTTACATGTGCGAGGAATTTGCAATTTAACTGTTGATTCTTGTATAAAAGTTCGCGAGGAACACAATGGTGCCACTGGTTTTCTCTGAAATCATCTCCCAAGCTCAAAAAAAAGCTGAAGGTCTTCAATTGTACTTCATTCGATAAATAAGTAATGAAATAAATATTTCAATTCAGAAATGACTAATTTTAAAACTGAGAGAGGACAACAGCACTTACCAACATCAATGACAGTGAAATTAGCATAAAATCCTTTCTTCTGAATAGTTGAATCGGTCTCAAAGACAAAGAACAGGTAATTGTGTTTCGAAACAATTGTGTCAGGTCTATTGCCAGTGCAGTACGTGCCAATCAATGTTGCGTTTTCATTTTCGCCATCATAGGCCTACATAAAAAAAATCAAGATGTTGATATTTTTGAACTCAAAGCTATAAGAACAAATGAGCAGTGCGTATTTAGAGAAAAAAGATTAAGTTTCTTCAGGTGAAAAAGAGGTTTGTTCATGGAACGTGCTGTTGACGGAAATCCACATTTAAGCTCAAAAAGAACATATTTTTTAGAGTCGAAGTTCTCCTTTGAATGACTCAAAGGTTATTTACACCAGTGGCGTGGCGTGCTTTGCAATATATCGAATGATCTGCCATTTAAACCTATGGAAAAGGATCGATTATCAGGGTGTTTGCAGCGAACACCTTAATAATCAATTCTTTACCATAGGTTTAAATGGCATAACAATCGATAAATTGCAATTCACGCTACACCACTGATTTACACTCAATATTTAGTGGGGAGAAAATTGAGGAAGTCTAAAAATTATGCTACTTTCAGCTCAGTTTGTTCCTTTCTGTTTATTGAAAAAAGTACTGAATTAAATCACACACTCAGCTAATTATTGAAATTGATAGACAAAGCGATAGACAAGAAAAACAAAGAAAAAATAAAGTGATCCTATTGGTTGAAGGTGGTTGATGCAATGGACAAAGAAGGCAAGTAGTAGAATAACTAACAGCAAGCCACAAGAGACACTACAGTTAATCTATCATTTTCCCACTAACTCTGTGGTAACCATCCATGTCTGGCGATAGGATCCCTCCATTTTCCCTTTGTCTCCCGTTTCTATCAATCTGCCAATCATTTAAAAAATGAGCTCGAAGAAAAACTGAGTGATTACTTGATATCTCCAGGATCGCTTAAGAGGGAAACTTAATATGTGAGAGGGAACCAAGGGCAAATTGATTCATGCCAGCTTAAAAGGAGAATACTGCCGACCAACATGCAATTCTGCATGCTCGTCAGCATGCTCAGGACATAACAACGTACCTTAAGGTAATCAAGCTCACAAGTATCATAGGAGGAGGTTTCGATTTCAAACTCTAAAAATGTCACTTCAATGGCTTTGCCCGGAAGCTGACTCAAAAGATACGTACAACGCTTTTCGCCTGGATAGTAATTCGGAAAGAGAGGTGACTTGAAATGGCCCGATTCAGTTGTGAATTCGCCGCCACAAACTGAAACACGCAAATAAGTGAGAAAATTAAAGATAAATAGACGTTCTTCAAGTATGATTTTCAAACACTGGGAAAGTACAGGCGCTTCTCATCGAGTTCAGATTAAAATACTGACCTAAATAAACTAGAGTTTCTTAATTTTTTAAAATGGTACACAAATGTATTAAAAGAAAAAATGTATTGAGAGAAAAAATGCCCAAATTTTATTTTGTGACAGACTCATTTAGATAAAGAGTAATAATAAAGAGAAATGAGTATTAATGGGAAAACTATATTAATATTTATCTGGATTTTTCAGTTTCAAAAGTTTCGTCCATACTAGACCACTAGACAAGGTGCAAATTTAAGTACTGTGATACATGATTTTTCATCAAAATTTTAGACAGAGCACGATTTAAGCAGCGAAAATTGCTGAAAGTAACTCCTCACAATGATACTAACACTATTGATGTATGAATTCAAACGTTCTGCTCATTAAAAAAACCATAATCTAATTGAGTTAAACCGCTCGCTAAATGGTATCATAACAGTCTTTACGGTATGAAAATATGGCAACTTCAATCTCGGCCCTTTGGCGACTGGCTACTGCTTGCTGTTTACGCTTTGAACAACTCAGGGTGAGGAAGAAAAGCTGCTTGATTAAGAAACCTGCCAGAATCATTCTAGTGCGCAATTTGATTTATGAAGGCTCTAGTCTTATTATGCTCCTTCAATTTTTTCTTGACCAATGCTGAATAACAACATTGATGTATTGGTTAGAAGTTGCTTTTAGTAATTTTCGTAGCGCAAATCGTGTCCAACAGGAAATTTTGAAGAGGATACATACATTAAAATGCTTAAATTCGTACCTTGTCTGGTGAAAACTAGAAACTCATTTCTCTCTGGACAAAAATCGAAAAGAAAACTTATTGCAAATTACAGACAACTTACCCAGGTCATATTTCAGGCGAAACCCAGTGCCAGAGTTGGTAAGATCGGTTGTAAAACGCACTGAAACTTGATTATTTGTAGAAATTATAGGAAGAATGGTTTTTCTTGCTCCGCAGAATCTACCAAGAAGAGGAGATTCAAACGTTGGTCCATCAAAAATCTGTTGAGATATTTTAAATTATTAATGATTAATGGATATACTATAGCTACATGTATTTGGATGGCTTATTTCATGAACTGCTTAAGGGTGTCTACAGACTCAGCAAAAAGGGATTCCCTGACTTTTCCAGGTTTTCCTTGACCAAAATAATCGAAATTCTCTGAATTTTCACACTAACAATTTGCATGCCTAGAATTCAAGATAAAAAATTTTTGGCAATAATTAAACTGCAAATGACAAAAACATGTGAACTATTTTTCTTCAGGTCATTTGATTGAATAAAATTACAATTCCTTATAAAAAATTATTCCTCCGTGTACTATTCAGATGCGTTTTCCTATGCGAATTGAAGCATTGAACTCCAAACCAAACTGCAATTCAGTTTGATTGTATGGACAGCGCTGATAATGTGTAAGGTTTCAAGTTTCAAGATTTTTGAATTTTCCGGTATTTTTTTGAAAATTCCCCAACTTTTCCCTGACCGGATTGAATTCCCTATCGATTCTTGGTTTCCCAGACCTGGAGACACCCTGTAAAACTTAAGCACTTTTCAGACATTTTCCAAAAAATTAAGCACTTTCAGGCCCTCAAAAAGAGAGGGTCAAAATCAAACAGTTCTCAAGCTTTTTTAAAGGCCACACAATCCATGATTTCTTTAAAGCATGGTGTCTAGTTTATTTGGCAAAGCTCATTCCCTAATTTTTCCCTGATTTTCAGGAGCTCATTCCTTGATGAGAAACCGAAGTTTTCTTCCACTTTCCCGGGATTCTCTTCAGGAAAACAATATAAATTTCCAGAGTTTCAGATATGAATATCCATTTTAATTAATCTTACTGCCATTTCTTCCGCGTACATTCAAAATTTTAACTTAAAAAATGTTCCTGATGTTGATATTATCGTATCTGGTCGATGGAAGCTTCTAAATTATTTTGATAATTTGAAGCTTCAAATGCGGCACTCAAGAAGTTAAAAAAAGCGGCTCCGGTGCAATAACATTCGCCCTAAAAACAATGGATACTTAAAGTTTCCTTACTGCAATTCACTTTTGTGCACAAACAAACTCAGAATAAGGATTACATTCATAAAAATTCAGCAAATGACTGCACTAAAAAGATAACCTGCGGAAAATTAAATTGAAGTTAGAGGGAGAAATTGCTCGATTTCTATTCCAGTCGGTTTCTGGAACAGATTCCCTAATTTTCCCGGTAAATTCATTCCCTAATGAATCCCCGTTTTTCCCAGTTTTTAAAACACTAGACACCATGCTTTAGAGCATGATCTCTCGAGATATCAGAACACTGGTTTGATAATTTTGCAATAATAAGTCATATTTTAGCAGATCAAACATTACCTCAACATTATCATAGGTGCAATTGTCCGAGTCCTCCAAGTCAAATGAATCGAAATGAAGGGATACTTTTTCCCCCAACGGCAGTTGGATAGTCCACTCACAAACGGTATCGGAGACGTATTCATCATTCTTTTCAGGATGTTTTGGCGATGTTATAATCCCTGAATAGCCACTGAGGAGTCCTCCACATGAACGAATGGCTACAGGACAGAAAATTTAGATCTTAAATTCAACTCCAAAGTTTTGGTTATGATGCATTTCAATTATTCCTAATGTTGCAAACCTCAGGCCACAATTCAATTTTAATGGTTACTCATGAATTAAGTAATGCTAAAAGGTAAGGAAAAACATCTGCTATTCCAGTTAGAATACAATGCACACAGTTGGTCAGAGTATTACACAATATTTTTTTTCATAATTTCATGTCTGGATCATAATGACAGGACAGAAAAGGTGGACTAGTTATTTTAAACCTTTGTGCTATACTGTATTAACACTGATTTGCTCAACAAAAATTACTGAAGTTAGCTCAAAAACAAACTGATGGTTGTAAAAAAATGGAATTTTCCCCTTACAAGAAAATAAGAGTCTCTTCTAGGATAAAATAGTGCATTACAACGATTTTGGCAGACTTCTCGACCAAGCAGTATTCCTTCCCGCCCTCTGTTTGTTAGAGTGTAAGCAATGTGCAATAGCTGAGCCAAGGCGCCAAGAATAAGATTGCCATGCTTTGCACACCTCAGAGACTAGTGCGGTAACCTATAGTGTGCAATTTGACCCAAGTAGATTATGGTTTTTTTTATGAGCAGGAAGTTTGAATTTAGGCATTGAAAAACGTTAATATGTGGGTTAGGTATTACTTTTGATGACAAAAAACATAACTTTCTATATGACATTATGATAAGAAAACATACATACCCAAGTAGCATTTTTCAATGGAAAAATCGGGATATAATGCCATTTTGTCGGCGATAAAATCGCTAGGGTCATCAATATCTGAGCGATTATCCTCATATTATCGGAATATAATCGCGATTATATTGCCAGGCAATTTATTGCGATATCTTCGAAATAAAAATCGCTGTAAATGGCAATTTAATCTCAATTTTATCGACGAAAATTGATCGCAATTTTATCAAACCAAAAATTGCGATGTGTGGCACTTTAATTGCCATATATCGCAATTTTTAATGAGATAATGTCTCGATATATTGCCACCAACATAATCGCGATGACCAACCGATAAAATAGCTATTTATCGGGATCACTGCTACTTGGGTACATCATATTGCATAGATTTGCATCTTGTCCAGTGGTTATTTATTTATTTATTTATTTATTAAAACTTTGTACATGGGAGCCCCATTATTAGGGCTATGGTACAGGTCAAGAAACACTATACAATAATTAAAAATATAAATTACAACTGTACATTAGTTGGTGGTTAGAACGTTATTCAACAGATGAGTTTAGAAACTCGTTCAAATTATAAAAAGCCTTGCTCAAAAGAAGATCGCGAAGTAAATTGAAAAACTTCCGGATATCACCGTCGCGGAGTTGTTTTTTGACATTCCAGGGTAGAGCATTTATAATTTGGATAGCCGAAAATTTGCAATCTTGCTCAGATAGTTTCAATCGGACTTTTACGTTTTTGATATCTCTATGTCTGCTGTTGTAATTATGAGACGGTAGAAGATCAGAGGGAGATACCAATCCATTTGAGATTGCAAATTTTAGGCTATCCAAGATATAAAGGGAGGTCAGGGTGAACAATCTATGCTCTATGAAGATTGGGCGGCAGTGGGCATTCCAGGGCATATTAAACATAATTCTGACGAGCTTTTTTTGTAACATGAAAACTTGCTCTGCTCCAGTGCTACGGCCCCACAGGATTAGTCCGTATCTCATATGGGAAACAACATGGGCATGATAGAATGCTAAGCAACACTGAAGGGTAGATATTCTTGACAGGTTGCGAAGGGCCCAAGATGCTCGGCTTAATTTACATATGACTTTACTGGTATGTTCTTTCCAGGTGAGCCCTGTATCTATTTGGATACCAAGAAACTCAACAGAGTTTTCCAGTCGAATACTATTTGAGTCTCCTAGAATACAATAATCAATGGATGGAGCATTACAAGAGCCGGCTGAGTATATTAAAGCTTGTGTCTTACTTTGGTTAACCGTCAGATTGTTGGCATTAAACCAGGCGGAGGCCTGGTCATACACTTCACGAGCCTTAAGTATTACATCTCCACCCTCAACTAAGGCAGAAGTGTCATCCGCAAATAGTAAAATGGGGTATTTGACATTAAAGGGAAGGTCATTCATGAAAATGATAAATAAAAGTGGGCCTAAAATTGATCCCTGAGGGACTCCGGTCATTAAGGGTAAGACACTAGAAAGAATGGGTCCATTGACAGAGTCAATTTTTACTCTCTGATTACGATCAGAAAGATATGAAGCAATGAGCGTTAAGGCGTTTTCAGAGAGACCGTATAAATGTAATTTCTTGAGTAGCAAAGAATGATTGAGGAGATCGAAAGCTTTGGTTAAATCAAAATGTATACTCATTACAGGAAGTTTTTTTTCAAAGGCGGTGAGAACTTTATCTATAAGTTTATACAGAGCATGGGTGGTAGATAAACCCTTTCTAAAGCCAAACTGGTGATCATATAGCAGGTTATTGGACTCAAAGTGGCATAGAAGCTGCTTAAATAGGATTTTTTCGAATAGTTTGCTTACTGTAGAAAGAACAGAAATAGGTCGATAGTTAGATACATCCTGCCTGGAACCCTTTTTAAACAAAGGAGTTACATTGGCAGATTTCAAGCAGTGCGGGAACACACCTGTCACGATACATTTATTAATCAGCACGAGCAGATGCTCACCAATGATAGAAAAATAGTCACGAAAGAAAAATGGAGGTATGCAGCCATATGTATCAGCTTTGTTTGGCTTGAGACTACAGACACATGAGTATAGCTCATTTAGTGTTATCTGGGAGAATGTAAAGGTTGGAGGGGGGTTTTTCAGGGACTTTTTTGTCATCTCCAGAGCCATAGAATGAGCTAAATTACTTGGAAACGTATTATGCAGGGAGGTGAGATGTTCATTGAAAACATTAGCTATTTTAGCTGGATCAGAAACAATCACCCCATCACAACGAACAGCATCAATTAGTGAATTGTTATTAGTACTCGGCGTTTGGTCCTTTATAATTTTCCACGTAGTAAAAGATTTGTTCTTGGAGTTCTTAATCATTCTCTCAACATTTTTACGCTTTTCTCGGTATAAGGACTTTTTAAGTAACTTATTAGTTTTATTGAAGAGCTTTTTATATTTAAGAAGACCAGTATTTTTATACAGAGAATGATATTCTTTTTTACGTTCACTGAGTGAATTGAGGGTATCATTTTTTAACCTCCTGCAAGAAAATGACTTTACTGGTCGGACAGGACAACATAGTTCAATAGCAGAGTACAAGCCTCTGATAAAATGTTCTACTGTATTATTTACATTTCCAAGTTGAGGGTCGAAAGTGGAGCAAAAGTAATGAAGTTGCCCAGTTAGACCTAGACAGGCCTCTTCAGACCAGTGTCTTTTAAAACGCTTATTATTAATATAATTGGATTCGGTATCGATGGGAAATGAGACAATTTGACCTCGATGGTCTGAAAGCCCTGGATCCCACGTTACAGAATCAATGGGACGAGAGCTAGAGAAACAGTTGTCAAGCAAAGTGGCAGAAGTTTTAGCTACCCTGGAAGGTTCATCACAAAATATCGGCCGAAGGTTGAATTCAGAGAGCAAGTTACAGAGAGAGATAACATCTTTACGCCGTGGATCCAGAAAGTCGATATTAAAGTCACCTGATAGACTATAATGACAATTCATTTCGTGTAAGGTACTAAGTACTGCTTCTAATTTTTCCAACATTACTTCAAAATCGCCAGTAGGCGGTCTGTATATTGATAGAATAACCCAAGGCTTTTTAAGATGAATATTATTAAGTTTATGTATTGAGATAGCCGAAATTTCAAAGTGGTGCTCTACAGAATGGGCTTCAAAAATTTGAGGACGAGAATACTTAATAGTTGGCTTGACATAGATTGCAGACCCCCCTCCTCTTGAAATTTCTCTAGCCTTGGAGTCAGCGCAAATGTAATTAGAGAGGGGAATAGCGCTATCTGGCTTAAACCAAGTTTCTGTAAGGCAGATAATATCCGGCTCGGACTTTAATTTGCCCATCTCAAGAGCAAGAAGATGAGTTTTTCCAATTTTATGGAGGCTTTGAATATTTAGATTAAGTAATTGGAATTTAGGCGAATTTATATTGTTGATACGGTTATTTTCAAGAGTCAAAATTTCAGAGCGCAGAAAATTAGCATTTCCATTGTCAGAGGAGTTTAGTTTAAATGAAAGTTGAGGAATGACGTCAACTCAAGCGCCATCAAGCGTTTGAAATTATCTTTCACATGAAGTCCGTCCTTACAATAATCATTCCCAATAGCAAAACACATCCTATTGAAGAAGGTACAATTTTCATACTTTTGTCCTAGGTCAAATAAACTTAAATTAAAATCATAGATTTGTTGATTCATAGGATCAGAGGGTGCTTTGTCCCTCCTATAGGGTACCGCAGAAACAATTACATTTGTATGTTTATGCCTAGCTGCAAAGGAAATGATAGGATGATTGGCTGCACTTATACTATCATGGTTTCTGCTACTTATCTTATAAACGTCATTAGAACCCGAGAGGATTAGTACACAGTCATTTTTGGATAGGCCAGGAAAGTTTGCACTTGCAAGTATTTTATTTGAACCCGCACCTGGGTGTACATATGATTCTATGGCAAAGTTTGTTGAGTTTAAGCGCAAATGCTTGGCAAAATTTCTAGAGTGACTATCACCTAGGATAATTATTTTCTTTTTTCCCTTCCTTGCCTTAGCACTTTCTTCCTTTAATTGATTTAATCTATCAACATTAAGGACTACCTGTTGAAACGCCTTTGAATTTCCTGTATTCCTAAATTTTTTAAATATAAAAGTGTTTCTCAAGCTGAACTCCAATTTTAGACTCTGTTTTGGCTTTTTTGATTTTAATTGCTTAAGTATGCCTCTATTTGCTTTTTGAAGGGAATAGTTGTCGGAGTTTACCTTGCTTAGGTCATTTTTAAGCGTGTCAATTTGGTCTAATAACATTTTGTTCTTTTTGGTTAAGCTGTTTTTTGAAAGATTTGAAGTGTCCTCTACTTTATTTACATAATGTAATTTTTCATTCAAAACCCTTATCTCCTCTTTTAAAATTGTTATCTCATCAATCAACATCGAGTTCTCATGCAAAGAAGAACTTAATTTATTTTTAGTATCTATAAGTTCATTATTTAAAGCATCCCTTTGGACTTCTAGATCGAGCTCAAGACTAGTTTGGGTGCTCATTGAGGTTGTGACAGGATTACTAGTATTACAATTTACTATTACATTTGAAGTCGTTGCTTTGGTTTTGGAAGAAGAAGTAGATTTCACCCGCTTAGAAGAACACAATGGAAGACTTCGTAATGAAAGCGTTGGTGAAGCAGTTGTTTTTGTATCACCGTCAGTTGAAGGGGCCAGAGACTTAGTAGATGAGACCGCATTTCTTTTCTTGCTATTATTGCGGGCTGCACTCGGAGAGGCTTGATTGTTAGGTGTCACTGATGCTACCTTTGGTGCCGGCTTGGACGTTATCTTCTCGCGCCTTGTGGTCTTTCGGCCAGCGGTTGAGAGTGACAATGGAGAAGGTGAGGGCCTGTTAGAGCTGAAACTGCTTTTCTTATCAGACTCCAACTCCTTGTTCACGTTGCTCCTTAGTGCATATGCTCCATTTCGTGGCGACGCTGTCTCAGTCGGAATATTCGCCGTCGATAATCCAGCGAACGATTTAATCGTATTAGTGATGGTCGCTGATATCATCATGCCTTAAGTGTACGTAGTGTATTTAGACTTCAATAGAATCGACTTTCGATAGGAATGTTTACGTTATTGGTTACGCTATTGGCATTCCTCACATTCTTCAGATTCTTTAGAAGTGGTGCAAGCTATAGCTCCGGTACTAGATTGAGCTCACACACGCCAATACACGTCGTAACTGAACTAACTTGAAATCGCGGAAAATTCACACATAGTCTTAAAGAGGAGATTAAGACGAGTAACTAGATGTTAAAAGTGTAAAGTGATGTGTAAAGATGTAACAAGTGGTTGACAACAGTCAAAAAGGAATTAACTTTTTAGCTGATATCAAGCAGTTAACACCGTCAGATTAGAGTCAGCCTTAAAAATTAAATTCAAAGTGCATTACCAGCGTAAGTTAATTGGAACCCGACTTCATTTGGGCCAGTGACATTGTCAGAATGAAAATGTAAAGTCGCATGAGAAGATGAAGAATAGATTGGGGCAGGGAAACTGCTACCACAAAACCGTCCTACAGATGAACCGTAGTCATCAAAGCTGTTAACAATCTGAAAACAGATAAATTATGAGCATTACACAATGTTTTTTTGGAGGATCGCAGACCTGAGTGGGTGCCTTACAAAAGAAAGAGAGAAGTGCCTAAAAAAATCCAATTATCAGTATTTTGTATTGTATAAATGGCCCCTAAGCAAAAAAGATCTGAGTGTGGATTTACAAGGCAAATATTAAAGAGAGAGAGAGAGAGAGAGAGAAAAATAGCCGGGTTTATTCAAAACTTCCTAAATTAATTTTGAAGGGAGAGAAACCATTCCACGCTTACATGGACACAAGATACAAAATAATAATCTAAGTATACCTCTAGATAATCATAGGTACAATTTGAAGAGGAGCCAATCATGAGAGTGTAAAATGTGAAGAGGATCCTGTAGCCTTTCGGGACCTCAATGCGCCATGAACAGTTGCGGTTGGCCGGATACCGATTCGGTGAACCTGGAGAACTGATTGTTCCGTGAGAGTTAGATTTTATCAACCCACCACACTCTGGAATAGGAATAATTATTCGGTCTTTAATACTTTCATTCAATGGGGGAAACTAGGACACTGAAACTATTGCGATTTTATCAAACTTAAAATTTATGAATTTCTTTTGAGTCATTGAAAATTCCTTTGTGGCAGAGAATTTTTTCATTTAATTTTAAATCATTGTTTTTAAGCATATAATGACAGCAATAATTTTCTAAGGAAAGATACTGGTCTTTTAGTTTGTATTTGTCAACTGAGCAGTTAAAACACTAAGCTGGGCATAATAGTACGTTTTTACTAGGCTCTAACTTCACGTATATAAAATGCATGTTACAAACATTAGGCTAAGAATAAAGAATGCTAATATCATATGGTGCCAAAAACATTTAGGCGATCATGGTTCTTGTTGCGTACTGGCTCCTTGCAAAATTGCAAGATTTTTGAAAAATTTTCACAGCTCATAAAAATCAGGTTTGCAAACAAAATGGCTAATACTACTTAGAGCTAGTTAGAGTGGTAAACCATCTAGGTTCCACTAAAATAAAAACATACTTGGAACAACAGAGGTCCATCGGATCCGAAATCCAGCTAAACTCACTGAGGAGTCTGACCGAAACCAGAGGTATACCGAGTGACTAGATGAAGTGAAATTGTCCGGTTTTTTGGTGCCGCAAAACCGCCCAATTAAGTTGTGCGTCATGTCTGGGCCATCATTGATCTGAAATTCGAAAAGAAAAAAAAAACTATATTTAGTATGGGCTATTATAAAGTATTCTAATTTGTTTCTTCTTTCTAACCTACTTTAGCAATGCCTAAAGGTAAGCAATTTTATTAGCAGAGAAAGAAAAAAAAATTGTGCACTTAGAGAGCATTTTTGTGTTATGTACAAAATGAAAGATCTGGAGGGAGGTTTTCGATCTCCCATTTAGGGCAACATGAGGTTGCTCCTCTGATGTAAGGGCCTACCTCAATTTCTACGTCAGAATACTATCGTACTATGGAAGAACGTCGTATGAATATTCGAAAGTTGCCAAATTTCCCTCTAAAATTTTAACTTTGGAGGAAAGTTATGAATATTTTCCCTTGAAATTTTCAGGACTTTTCGGTGGAATTGCGAGCAATATTATCTGAAAAATTTGCAAAAAAATATTCATAAGTTTACCAGGAGATTCGTATTTTATCAAAGAAAATTTGGCAATGCCTTAAGGTTCATACAGCGTTTTTCCTTAGCATGCTTTCCGGGGCTCATGTGGAAATAGAGATACGTCAAGAGTCAGAAGAGCAACGATAATCCCCCACGCAAAAAATTTAGCCCTATAGGTAAGTAAAAAGACTGGTCAATCGAAAATTTGACCATTATGACCTTCAATATTATAAGGTATTAAAATTTAAGGGTAAAAAAAAAAACAAAATTCGATTGTGAAAATTGAATGACACTGGACAATGAATTCCCAAAACCTAGGAATGGGCCACAGACAAAGTTTGAACTGGAAAGAACGTCACATGTTTCCACATTAAAATGAATTTAGAAAATGAATAACATATCCAGAAGTTTGGTGATCAAGTATTGAACCAGCTATTAAACGAGTATATTTAACACAGATTAAATACAAGTTAGACCGTACAAATGATGTCATTTGTATTTTTGCCATCCAACCAATGATGATTGACCTTTAGCCAAGGTTCAAATTCAGACATTTTGATAAATATTTCCTCATAATATTTCATGTAGAACTCTGTTTGCACAATGAAAATTACTGAAATTGACTCCAAACCAAAATAAAAACGTAAATATTGAGCACAGGTTCCAATCGATTTGAATTTCCTGCTTTAAAAAAAGCAAGAGTCTACTTGAGTAAAATTGAGCACTACAATGGATTTAACAAGCCTCTCAATTGAGCAGTTTTCCTCTACCCCTGTAGTGTTCAAATTGTAAACAATGTGCAATGGCTGAGCTGAAACTCTGAAGTTGAGGTGGTCACAATTTCATGCAACAGCGAGTGCCTTAAGTGAAATTTGGATGAGAAAACATAAAACATACAGTCAAACCTCACTAAGTCCAAATGCATCGGGACCAAAGGTTCACTCCGACTAAATAAGGTTTCCAAGTTGAATGGACTTTGTATTGGTAAAACGAAGAAACAGGACCAAGCCATTATTACCGAGTTAGTGGGATTTCCGACTTCAGCAGGTTCTGACTAAATGAGGTTTAACTGTGATGCTTAAATATGCACCTTGTCTAATGGTCCATTATGAACATTTATACCTTGTTGAGCTGTTTTCTGGGATTCCTGTTGTAAGATTTGTTTACCTTATGTGTTTTGAAGAGAAACATGTTGCATACCGCTTTACATTATACCTTGTCTAGAAGTCTTTTGATCATTCAAGTATCAGTTTATGGTGAAAAATTATTTAAAAAGGAAAAAGTAAGAAAAAAAGACGTGGATAATTACCTGGAGGAAATCTTTATCACACTCATGTGATGCCTCCACGGCAAAATATTCAAAAGAGATGTTCAAAACATGACTTGCATTGGTTGTGATGATCCATCCACAATTCATTTCAAGAGGGTATGTTGTATTAGGAGTTTCCGGAAAGCTCATGATACCTGACGGTGATTTCAATATGCCGAAACAAGCTGTGAAAAAAAAGAAAAATATGTAAAGCTATGATTTTCTTAAAGTCAGAATGATTCTGCAATAAAAATTGATTGCACTTCTTAGAATTTTATTGATTCTCTCCCAGTAATATTTCTTTGACTGAACATGAAAAGCCAACATTTTTTGAAGTCAGAGAGGTTGAACAGGGTTTTCAATGAAACTGTTTATTGTGGGGTTGAGAAAGCAAGTATGAATTCGACATCTCAACACAAAACTTAAAGAATGTGTTTTTCTAGTTGCATATAGGTCTTATTTTAATTTTTGAATCGAGAACTAAATCAACAAAAAAGTTATAAAAATTTTTCATGGAATCTAACCAGAAAAAAATTTACTTAAACATAAGGTAAGAACAAAAATTTTGAATTACCTAAACATCTTCAGAACAAGGTAGCAGAATAATGCTAGGTCTGCTCTATTCTGCAGGGAAATCAAGGCCAAACAAATTCCAAAAATTTTAATCTGAGACAATTGACTGTCAAACAGAGTTGCTTGACTCTGATTTCAATTTTTGGGATTTTTCGGTCTTGATTTTCCCGAAGAATAAAGTGGACCCAGCACAATTCTATCACCTTGTTACTTACAGTTCAGGCTACAGATTTAATGTTTTTTCCTCATCTTCAGAATCCATTTTCTGTTAGTCTAAATTCTGCTAAATGTTTGTAGTAAATGTTTATTATCACTTCGATTTTAGTGACCCTTCAAATACATTACCTGACCGTGCTACCTCGCAAGTGCTGCCAATAAATCCTGGCAGGCAAAGGCAAGCAAACTTGGATGGATCTGTAAGACGAGAGCACGTTCCACCATTCAAACAAGGATTTGGTGAGCAACCATCTTCACCTATTTCACAGTAAGTGCCTGAAACAGCAAAAACCCTATTGATTGACAGCTTTGAGTGAGTTTAGAGTAATGTTAGCCAAACAAACTCTTCACAATATGTGCTTCTCTTTTTCAGATGTCATAAACTCGGTGTTTGTTTCTTAAAGAAGAACATTGATCAATGCATAAAAAGGTCTCTGTTTTCCCACTTTGGAAAGATTAACAATCAAATAAAAGCAACATCTGTTTTTGCAAATTTTTGAACACAAAAGGTTACACTGCCGTTGGGAAACAAACCATGGTAATGCTGGACTGGAATCAAAAAGGTTAAAACCATAAGTCATTACCCAATATGACATTAAAAGCTTCAGGCTAGTGAGAGACATTCTTATTTTAACTTCAACTAGAAGCCGCCATCATTGAATAAGAAATAGTTTTGAGCTTTTGAAGTAAAGAAACTTGATTTTCGCCAAAATTTGTTCCGGTGAGTAACACCTGTATTTAGGGTGATTCCTGTATCTTACGACAGCCCTAGTACATTCAAGTAGTATGAAAAAATATTTTCTTAATTTCTCAGTGCTTAACTGTCAAAAGGGTCAGAAAAATTTAGAATCAGAATTTCCTGACTTCCATAAGTTTCTCCAGACCAATTTTGTAAAAAATCCCCAACTTTAGAGACAACAGAAGACGCAAAACATTAACTGAAAGATTTCCGATCCAGCTTGGAAAAAACTGATCAGCAGGTGGTGTTCAGTAACAATTTGCCACTTTTCTCACTGCATTTATTATTCTCTGACTGCCGCTTTTTCACAAATGTTAGTTTTCTGTTCTCTGCCAATTTTCCCCAGACTTTCCCCAGTTATCCAGCTTTTCCTGGGCTGTGGCTACTCTGAGATATTTTTAAGTATAGAAAGAGAATGGAAAAAATGAATTATGTTCGAGTGCTTGCATAAACTATGAATGCAAATTTTAGAATAATTTAGAGTGTTTTTTCTAGGCAGGAATGAAGTTTAGGTTCCTAAACTACCTAGAATAAAGGTTTTTTGAAAGGGTACTTTCCTAGGAGGAGTTGATATGCGAGTCCATTTAGAGAGTATACCTGTAAATCCTGGATCACAACGACACTTGAATCCAACCCCCGATGCAGAGTAAGAGCACTGACCATGGTTGTTACATCTTGACGATGGACAGACAGTGACATTGGTAGGTGTAACTCCAGTCGATGTGCACCCTGTGGGCCCCATACCAGAGCCCACGTATCCTGGAGGACACACGCATTGAACATAACTGTCACTGATGGCTGAAAAAATCCAAAATAAAGCAAAATTAGCGGAGTTGAAGTAATTTTAAGAGGGAAAAAAAAATAACCCTGTAATGCCTTGGTTATGGCGTTCAGAGGAGCTTAACATCCAGAGTTAGCACGCAAAAATTTGCAACAGACAATACAATATTACGGTATATAAGGATTTGAAAGGTACTAAAATTTCTTCTGTCAAAAAATAAAATTTCTACGAATTTTCTCCTCAGCTTTTCTTGCAAATTGCAATTAGATATTAGAGATGGGAAAATTTCAGAAATATATTTTCATATTTTCTGAAGCGATCAATTTTTTTTTTATTTCATAAGTGTGGGTCTTTCCTCCTTTAAAACTGCATCACGTAGGGTTTAAATGTTTGTCACTTTGTTCATTAAGTATTGTTAGACTGTGCTATTTTAGCAGCGGAGCCGATCATAAAATGATCTCTATTGTTATGATTACAAAATTATTTTCGAGTTGAACCTCGTGCCGGACAAGATGCTTTTCTCTTGGTAACATCTTTCTTGGAGTCAGTTATGTATTTGTGCAACATGTGGGTATAATTCTGAATAATAATAATAAAAAAAAAAAACTTTATAACTCTACATAATTTTGCAATGTGTGATTGATGTTTTGTTGATGGAAAAGATTTTTTGCAACATACAAATGATGAAACAACTTTTTCCTGATAATAGCAGAGTTAAATTAAAAACCAAAGGCAGTGCATATTTACCGGGATTTTGAACACAAGTGGCTTTGGGATGGCAACCACCATTGTCGACAAAGCAAGGACCTCCAAGATACTGACAAACCGCACCATCACCGGTGTATCCTGGGGGACAAGGTGTACAGATTGCAGAGCCCTGCAAATAGAAAATCTATGGATAAAACACGGTTTACAAGTTAAATTAACTGTTTCTAATACCCCTAGTAAAAGTGGGATATTGTGACATCACTCTGATGTCATTGAACTTTCTGCCATCACAGTGTCATCATAGTGATGTCTGAATGATGTTAGGGTGAAGTCAGATTGATATCAGAGTGAAATTATAGAAATTTGTTCCATAAAGCATAGTGATATCATGACTAGGTCATTATGCTCCACTTTAACCAGGGACTTAGGAACAGTTCAGTTATTACTAGAAGTCACTACCTTAGAAAAACAGTTTGGAATTGCGATGACATCTTGTGGCGCCTTGAGGATTATCAATTTCTGTATTAAAAATTCCATTGACAGCACATAATCCTAATACAATGATGACAGAGATGCTTCTTAGCAAACTAGACCTTGAAACAGACGTTCCATCAGGTGCTAGCATCTGAAGTACTGTTCCCGAGACACATTCCTTCTCTTTCTTCAGCTGAACTTAGAACTCTAATGATAGCCTGCAACCTGATTATTGAAACTATGTCAGCCCAAGGCGGATAAAGAATGGTGGTCGCATTTCGATTTTCGCTGCCATCTTGAAGCACTGTGACGTCAGGAGGGTACGGCTTTTGCCATGCAATTCGAGGTTGAGCCGGCTCCCCCGGCCAATGTACCCGATACCGTGTGACGTCCAGAGGGTACGAAATGCGACCACCATTCTTTATCCGCCTTGATGTCAGCCCAATACGACAAAACATGGCCCTACCTTGGCCATGCAATATATTGCAATTCGATGTCTTATCGGACTGCTTTGAACTTTCAATAATCAGCCCGCAGGACTACATACTTACCACTGGAGAAGATATTTTAGCGATGCTCTGTGGAGCTGAGTGGTCAGATCTTCTGAACAAATGGATTTACTCACTGCATACATGATAGTCTGATACTCAACTGTCAGTTGCCAGCGCCAGATACCGTTCTAAAACTACATAGGTGCGATGTCAAGTGTTGGCATCTAACACCGTTAACAACGTGCTTGAAACTACGAATACATGACGAAGTAGAGAAAACAAATTTAACTTACGGGTAGATTCAAACAAGTTACAAAGGGAGTAATGCTGCAACCACCATTATCAACTAAACACTCATCGATATCATTGCAATAATGTCCGTTCCCGGTGTACCCTGCGAAACGAATTCAGTGAAACAGTTTAAACAAAGCAACATTTTTAAAGACGAGAAAACTTATTGGGAACATAGAAATGCACACAAATAATTCAGTTGGGTGTGAATTTTTGAAAAAGTCGAAAAGTTGTTTACAAAACTTCGAACACGTGAGCGTAAAGTTCGATTTGAATTGCCAACCTTGAGATGCCATTACTAAATGAGAGCGCATTCGTAGGATGAAAATAAATATTTATAATAATCAAATACTATTAAAAATAATAATTTTTTTTAATTTTTGGGGAATTTTCATTTTATTGCGATCAAATTCTCGGTCAGTAATGTGATACTCAACGGATTAGATGCAATTTTAGCTGGCAGACAATGCTCTGTGAGATTCATTGCGTTGGCCATCATGTAAAAGTACCTTGTTCTGGATTGGCGGTTGAATTGGAGGGAAAAAGAAGCCGGGAAATACGAATTATCGGCGGGAAATTTGAAAAAGCGGGGAGGCCATCACTTTGCCGCAACTGGCAAATGGCGTCCATAACGATAGCGGAATAAGGTCCGATTTAAGATTTTGATTTTTAAGGTATTGTGAACAATTGCAGGAAAGAAAATATGCCTTACCTGGTGGGCAATGTCCACAGGTGTAGGACCCAGGTGTATTAAGACACTCAACAGGTGGGGACTTGGAGCAGGAATAATGGCTTTCGCACTCATTTACATCCACAACGCAAGCTGGTGATATACCGTCGGTCTTCCAGCCCTAAATCAAGCAAATATAATAATTAATGAAATAAAATATGGATAAAATCAAATAATGGGTGGCAAAACTTTAATAAATTATTTATAATCGTGAAATATTTCCGATACCCAGTTGCGAGCTCATGATTTAAGGGTCGTCCAAAGGGTGTGGCGAAAGTCCGTACTCCTTTTAAAATTGTTTATAATTGAACTTTTGCCGAAAGTCCGTATCCCTTTTAAAATTGTTTTTAATTCAACTTTTGAAACGAAACTTGGAGAATGTTTCAAGGTCAAAGAGGACTTTCCAAAATTTTTGGGGGACACTCTTCTGAGGGGGGAGGGGGAGACGCCCCAACATTTTTTTCAACTGCGATCCCCCCTTTTGTGATACTTCATTTGAAAGAGGATAAAAAAAGAACATTCTTTGCGAAAAACGATACGCACGTAAGGAACTTAGGGGGGGGGGGGGGGTCCGAGCTTGTCTTACGGAGCCTTACGAAGGGGGGATGGGGGGTTCAAGCCGAGTTTTATGTAAGCTTTCCGCTGTAAAAAATAAAACACCCCTAAAAGTCCCCAATTTTGGTTTTTTATAACTGGCAAACACCCTGATTAAATTTTAATTATTTGCTTCTTTTTTTGCCGATGTTCATCAAAATACCCATACAAAAGCCTTAAATATATTCCAGTTAATTTACCAGACTTCCTCCGTTTTTATCTGAGAAAATAGAGGGGGGGGGGTCAAAAAGTTGACAAAAATGCCTTACGTAATACTTGAACGGCCCCTATGCCCTGGCTGGGACTTATATCTATGCATACCTGATCGCAAATGCACTTGTAGGAGTCCTGATGGGGGACGCAAATGCCGTGACCGCACAGCTGCTGGCCACGCGTAGCACAGTTGGTGGTGCTCTCCGTGCAGCGGACCCCGTAGTAGCCAGGGGGGCAGAGACACTCGTAGAAACCTGGTTTGTTCACGCAGCTGCCTCCGTTCTGACAAGAAAGATGTGTGTTCGCGTACAAAGCGCATTCGTCCACGTCTTCGTCGCATAGTACACCCTATATGACAGGAATCATCATTAGGAGGCAAGCACATTTTCATGGAAAATGAAATCTTGAGATTTCACATGAAATATCAGAAATTTATCAAAGATATTGAAAAATACCGGTTCCTTTTTATGTTTCGCAAAATGTGACAACTCGACGGTGTAAGTCTGTAAGTCGGCAATCACATAACTCGGTTTGCGACGTCGCAGACTTCCTGTCATACTTTATTTTTCAAACAGAAAACTACTCGACGGCAATTCTTGAAAACTGCCGCGATTTTTCTTCTCTTTGCGAAGAAAATTCTGCACAAATTTCAAGGAATGATGTCAATTTGTTCTCCTTTAAAAAATAACATAGAGGCAAAGATTTTCAGACACCGCAAATGAGATAGGTGATTGCTGACTTACACCGTCGAATTGTGATTTTCTTCTACTTTTGTGTGTTTGAGTGCGGGTTGCATACTCTAATCCCTGGAAAATATGAAATATTTCACAGCCTCATAAAATTTCACGGAAATTTTAAATCTTTCATATTTTTCGTCTCACGTGTGCAACCTTGATCACTAGCGTTAAGAGATTATCGGGAAATATCATAGTTTGGGCAAAAAAAACCTAAAAAACGGACTAAAAATTTATTTAAAAGAAGTAACTAAAAAAATCCGGATGAAAAAAAATGACTCTCCATGGATTTGAAAGCTAGAACTCGATTGAAAGTAGGCAACGACTCGGAACGCAATTCTGCCATGCTATGGAAAAACGCCGTATGAGCCTTCAGACGTTGCCAAGTTTCCTCTGATAAAAACCGAATTTACTGGGAAAATTGCTAATATTATTTTCCAACATTTTCAGACAATTTTGTACGCAATTTAATCTAAAATATCTGAAAATTTTAAGAAAAAATATGCATGAATGTTGTCAAAAATGCATGTTTCGTCGAGGGAAATTCGCAACCCTAGAATTTTCTCAGCGTTCTTACTTAGAACGGCAAATAGGGTTGCTTACCTCCCAGGCGTCTGGGCACTGACATTGGAAGCTATTGAATTGGTCGATGCAAGTGCCGCCGTTTCGACAGGGGTTGCTTGAGCACTCGTCTGCCTGAAGTAATCTCTTCAGCCGATTCATATCTCGGTTCAGTTTCCGCACCTGCAAATGAAACATTCACATAGGAATATCAGGGTTTTTCCATAGAGTACATAGAGTTGTAATATTATGATGTGAGCTGTATCCATGTTGTGGTCGACAAATTCGGAGCTCGGTGTGCGCTGAGATTCTGTCACCTTTTCGACACATTTTCGATTCAAAATGCCGATGTAGAATATCGACGGTGTAAGTCGGCAATCACATAGCTTGTTTGCGGTATCTGAAAATCTCCACCTCTATGTTATTTTTTTAAAGGAAAACAAACTGATATCATTAATTGAAAATTCTGCAGAATTTTCTTCGCACAGAGATGAAAAATTGAGGCAGTTTTAAATAGAGTACCTGTATAGGGAGAGTAGCGACAGATCGGTTCATGGAGGGCTTAGGGCCCAAAAGTGCAGCCACCCTTCTGAGCAACTTCTAACACACAAAATTTCACTGCCAGCCTACAGATTTCAATTCTAACCAAGATGGCTAAGAATGTACATAAATGAGCGTTCTTTCGCAAAAATAAGTAAATTTATGCAAAAAGTAAACCAAATACATGCTTTCTAAACGACGGTTCGTAACAATTGTATTTGTAAATCGCTCTGGACATTCGAAATTCATAGGTTGGCTGCCCTTTTGGGCCCTACCTTTATTCGCGGAGGCATCGGTGAAGGCCTGATGGACTTTCGGAGTTTCAGATCTGTCGCTACTCTCCCTATACAGATACTCTAGTTTTAAAGAGTTGCCGTTGAGTAGTTTTATTCGTTTCAATAAGTTTAATTCGTTTCGCAAACTGAGTTATGTGATTGCCGGCTCACACCGTTCATATGTAATAATTCCTATCCTTTATGTTTACATCGGATGGCTGGATACCCGTGCATCGGGAACAATCGATAATGTATCGAAATTACGACCCGGCACGGCACAGGAATTCAGTGGCTGCAAAATGGTTAAAAGTGGCGCCGGTTCCTTCATTCTTATTACGACTGTGTGTACTCCATGGGTGCGTTTCATAAAGAAAACAACCTCGATTTTACTAAGACGGAATGCTAATGTATGGTCTCCTCTTTTGTACCGTATCACATTACTATGTTTTGCAATTTTTAAGAATTATTTAGGACACCAAAGCATTTCGAGGAAATTCGGCATCACTCTAAAACAAACGCGGCCATATAAGTGGCTCGGCGGAGTTTACGAGATGGCACGCGGCTAAAATTAGACGTTTCAGCCGGGATTCGAACCTCGAACCTCTGGCCCCCGGCTATAGATGCGTAGGTGGGCAACTCTCAGAATTGGGCACACGCGTCTTCTGGGTAACCTTGAGCTTTCTGAAATTTTAGTGCCTCATCGTGAACGGAGACAAAGTAGACATGTTCAGGGAACATGTTTTTGACAAGGGTTCGAGGGTCATGATCCATTTGCGAGCCTCAGGGTAAAAATTCGGGTGACACGGTAATTTCAGAATGTAACAGGACAATCGGAAAATTAGAATCTTAGAATGGGTATTTCATTTCTTGTTTTCTTATTGGCAACTTTGGATAGCCTTTATGGACTAATCCTACGGCTGAGTTCCACCTCTCATTAATAAACCTTTTCAGTAATTTTTATTCTTGCATTTTTAAAAAAGTAGTAAGTGAAATTGGTACACGGAGATTTTACTTGATTTTTTTTTTGAACAATATTAACACGAAAAATAAGTTAAAGGTTACTTGAAAGGTACTTTGACGCCCCGTTCAATCGCGTTTTGCCGAAAAAGCAAAGATGATGTCTGAAAATATTCGTCCTCTACAAGATTCTATCGAACGCGCGACTCTCCTATCACGATCTATGATCCGTGCAGCTGCGGTCAATCAGTGGCGGTGCGTGCTTTGCGATACATCGATTGATCTGTCATTTAAACTAATGGAAAAGGATCGATAAGCAAGGTGTCCGCGATGAACATCTCAATAATCGATCCTTTACTATAGCTTCAAATGGGGAAATATCGATAAAACTCCGTCGCCATTACTGTCAATACAGGACTGTATGGATCATAAATTGTGGCATACGAGTCGCTTCAGTCACGCGATCGAAAGTTTACGGACTTGGCTTTTTCAGCGATGTGCTTTGAAATGAGAGTTCAGAATGCGCATTTTTGTTGAATTTTTTCTCATGAGTTAAAAAAATCGAGGGAAATTCCTACGAACTATGTGCACTCTCTACTTTTTAAAAATGCAACTAAGAATTACTAAAAAAAACTCATTGCTACTCGACATGCCAGCTCGGCAACACTCTCTAAGACCATTAAACATGGATCGCCTGACCGAAAATCGATCCGAGACCTCTGGATCAGAGGACCTGCGCTGCAGCAACTTGCAACACTGAGGTTGACAGTCAATAAATTGACTTTAACAAAATCAATAATTTTATTTCGTCCCCACTCAACGACATTGAATATGTTATTAATCTAATTTAAAAAATAAACAACTGTGCGTTTGTTACTTACCACCCGCTCCAAATTGGGAATATTCTGCAACAAAAATCGGAAAAATGTCTTTTAAAAATTAAGATAAGTCATTTGAAAGCATCCGATTATCTTAAATCTTCATTCATATTATTTAACCGTGGTCATGGCATTACATATATCTCTTCTTAAAGACTAATTGGATTACATTTTGCAATAAGGAACCACTATCTCTGGCTCTATCGTAAAAGCACCTTTCTGCATAGAGAAACCAATGGCATATGTGTTGTTTCTAAAATTAGCCAGAAATAGTGGTTCGTTAATGCAAAATGTGGTCCAATTGTAAGAAAGTTGTATGGTAACCTTTTCCTAGAGTGTGAGTGGTATGATGATTTGATGTTGAAATGGCTTGCCCAGTAATATTTGTGCATGCGGCTTGTTTATACTCGTCATTAAGGTGAATATGCGTTGACCCCCTCACTCTTACTTTTAAGCAGATAAAAGGTTCTTAAAAAAGTTTATGTCACCGTCAAGCATCACCCTCAGCTTCAGGAGCAATCAAGGTCATTACATATGCCCATGAAAAAGGCGAAGGGGTGCTATTAAATCGGTGGCGATTCCTGAAAGTTGGCAACTCTGTTTTCCTCCATTTAATGTATGCAAAACAATCGATTCTTGGTGAGGCAACTTGCCTGACCCAAAATTGATATTTTTAATTGATTTAAATGGAGGGAAAACAACGTTGTCAACTTGCATAATCGCAGTGAATTGAATTGGAAATGATAAAAGGAAAATTCTCGGAGAACTTAGGTTCGATATGGGGATCAGTGGCGGTTAGATGTCGTGCAGCGGCAGGGAGTTCTGCTAACTTCAAACATAGATGAATGCATGATTTTCTCTATCTCTCTTTCTCTCCTATGGCATCGTTTCCGTAACCCTGAGAAATAAAAATACATTTACCGAAAGAAAAAAAATGTTTCTCAAGATAAAAAAAAATATATTTGTAGAAAGTAGTTTCACCCGTAGAAATATTCTTGTTGCTTAGAATTTTTTTTCTGGAGAAATATTTTTTCTCTCAGAAAAAAGAAAAAATTTGCCGTAGAAATATTTTCACCGTTCCTGAAAACTTTATTTTTTAACTGAAAAAAAAAAAAAAAAAAAAAAAAAAAAAAAAAAAAAATCTATAGACCCCGAAAAAATTTCTTGAGAGAAAAATATATTTCTCAGGGTGGGAAAAAAAATCTCCAGAACGGAGTTCTCTTCTTTCCCCTCTCCCTCTCAGTCTCGGTCGCTCCTATTTTTGAACATTTCGACATTTTGAGGAAGAATTCCCTCTCTAGGCCCCAACAATTTGATACTTGGCGATTTTTGTCCATTCGGTGCAGCTTGCAAAGTAAATCTAGGGCGAGTGCTGTGTTTGAAAAGATCTCACCTGGTAGGTGGGTCGTGATGTCCCGTTGATGACAGCGAGACTTGATCCATTTGTGCCAGAGATTTCAATGCGCGCCATTTTCTGAACGAGCCCGTGCGCTCCCTCTAGGTACTCCGTGAAACGCCCCATCTTGTCCCGAATTTCAGGCAAGTCGTACGTCATAAACGTCTCCCAAAACCGGTTTGCACCTTTCGTCTGAAATCGAAATATTTTTCAGGAGGTAAAAATAGCCCTTTTCGGCAAGAGAGAGATTATCACAGAGCTTTCAGTGAGTTTAAAAGTTGTAATCATGTCAACACATAGTGGAGCAGTGTCTCAGAAGTTATTCATGCTACTTGGACCGCGTTCAGCGGAAAGGAACCAAGCCACATCAGCTATCGTCAAATACTGGGCATTTTAATTTTTTACAAGAGAACATTAGCGCGGATCCTTTTGACAATTTTAGGGAATTTGCTTCGCACTACGCAGAAAATTCACTGAAATTTTCACAAAAATCCGAATGACTGTTTTTATGAAAAAAAATATTGAATTGCACAATTAAATTTTGCAAACGCTGATGTGGCTTGGTTCCTTTCTGTTTAACCCGGTTTACTTCTTCTCATCAATGGAAATAATATTTACCTCCGCGTGGCTTTTTGCCTCCACTAACGCTGCTGTTGAAAGTTTCCACAGCCAGCTTTCTTCAAAATTTCACTACCTACGTCGCTCTATTTTTTGAGGTCATGAATGTACTGAAGGGACAGCAAACCTTGGTGCCGCTGGAAATGGATGATGTTCTCAAAGATGCACCCTTCCCCCGTCAAGAGGCAAGTTAGTTAGTTATTATAATTTTGAGACATTCAGCGACTCAGGCTATTAACGTCTTTACAGGTAATTTTGAAAATAGGAGTATAAACGAAAATTTAGATTTTTAAATTAAGAGAGGTGAAGAGTTTCAGAATTTTGGTGGCAATATTAGGTTCATCGCATGTAAGAGGGTTTGTATTTCTGTTGATTGTAGGGGAGTAGATCTGTGATTGGAGATATCGGAGGGAAGTGATATAATTAAATACGAGCGATATATATGTTTAAAGAATTTTCGCTTATCAAAATAAAATGTGTGAGAGTGTCATTCTTGCGTATCATGGGGCCTCACTCTGATGTAAGGTAAACCACTGCTATCTCTTTCCTTAATGGCGTGGGTGTCAACTAGAGTGCAATTAGTGTTTGAAAGCTTTGTGATAAAAAACTAAAAATGTCGCCGAACATCTAATGTAACATATCCTGCAGTTATAAAAGGCAACTGAACCATATCAGGAAACAATCAAAAAATAAATTCACCTTTTGAACGATTTGAAGTAAGTTTTCATCGTTTAGGTAGACCTGGCCCCCACCGGACGTTCGGAAGCTGATGTTACGATCTTGTGCAGCAATGATGATAAGATGTCCATTGAGCGTCGCAAACCGTGGCCTGTGGACGCAGAGAGACATATTTAGGATACGAATCGAGAAAGTAACTGAACTATTAAAACATATCTGAGGGTTTGTGGAATGAACCTGGTGAGACAAAACCTTAGTGAGGCATTCGATGACTTTGATCAATATTACTAATAGTTTTCCTTTCATACAGCCCTTCAGTTTCCGGTCAAAATATACCAAAAATATGCTCTTCATGAATGAATCTAGAGATTCTCGCAGGAAGAGCTGTACCCAAGTAGCATGCGGTTCTAATTTCTGTTTAACACTAATTTAGAAATTGTCTATTTTCTAGACAGAAAAATAAAATAGAAAGGAAATGGAAAGAAAATAGATTTATCGAATAGAAGCAATGAAATTATTAAAAAACTTCTATTTTCTGTCTATGCTCCGGACACTAAATACAAAGAAAACAGACGATTTTAAAACTTTTAAATTTTTTTTGGAAAAACTCACGCTTTCACTATGAAATTTGTTATTTTCCGGACGCGTTTCGGCAGCTACCCGGGCCAGCATCCTATACGTCCATAACGCGCCCGGAAAATAACAAATTAGCGAAAGCGTGAGTTTTTCAAAAACGATTTTAAAAGTTTTAATACAGCTTTTACTGTTTTTCAAAAATTTCGATTATTTTATTAAAAACCAAACAATTTTGTTGTCTACATTCTGTGTTTTTTCTATCTGTTTTCTGAATTTTAAATTTCTAAGAAATGGATAAAGAAAATATCCAATTTGTCTCTATTTTCCGTCAGATTCTTGGATATTTGTTCTTAAGGAAATAGCCCTATCAATTTTCTAGACGGAAAATAGGTAGATCCATTTTTCCGTTTAGATCCTATTTTGTAGATTGCTTTTTGGAAGAAAAATACGAAGAAGAAAAAAACTTACTGCTTGGCGTAAGGGGAGACAGCAGCAGAGAGATGTACCCTTACGAGGAGGATCAGCAAAAGCCATTTTATTTTTTCACCCGCACTCATGGATACTGGAATTTGAAGGAAGTTATGTTTAGCATGCTATGTCATGGTCAGAACAACATTTTATTGTACGTGTTTCTACCAAACAGAGTTATGTGCAGGTGGGGAAGATGAAGAGTGCACCAATTGAAGTCCAATCGAATCGAGTTTGGCAGAGAGGAACTAAGCCACATCAGCTATCGCCAAAAACTGGGCGATTTGGTTTTTTACAACAGAACGTTCGTGCGGTTTCCTTGGAAAATTATGAGGAATTTGCTTCGCACTATGCGGAAAATTCACTAAAATTCGTACAAAAATCCGTTTTCGTGTAAAAAATTAAGTTGCCCAATTAAATTTGGCGATAGCCGTAATGCACCTTGTTTCCTTTCTGCTTAGTTAACACCGTCCAGTTGAAGACAATTAAAACTAGACTGTAATGCTAAATCTGCTCAAAATTTTTCTGGATTGCAGTTTTTATGAAAAAGAAAAAGATAACTGGCTTGAAGGCACCTAATGGCTAAAAACTATCTCTTAATTATACGGCACTCGGGCAAAAATCCACGAATGAAAACAGCACTCACCTGTTGACCAACGATTCGAGGATGTTAAATTCCAAGGGCGAAATTGAAAATTCAAGATTGAAATTCACACATCACTATTCTGTACCAGATGGCGGTCCGGTCGAAGTCTGCAGCTCCAACTGGCGGTCGGGGATCCCTTTTCGGGTTATCATGAATGGAGCTGGAATCCGACGCCCGGTGAGATTTCAGGGTAGGTGGATGAACACATGGCCCCCCGGTGCGGTGTCGTGCCAGTCGGGGGGCCCGTGATAACGATGACGTCAACGGCCTGATAAAGACCAGGCGTCATTCGCTAACGAGTCATCCCTACTGGAAAATCGTAATATCTTAATTCAAGATTAGAGATAGCGCCACCAGTCTTCACTGAGAATTTCACTTTCCTTCTACGATTACTGAAATAATATTCCTCGGATTACAAAAAGCAGAGCCACAAGATATAGATTATTTTTTGCTTGATTTTTTGAGCCAAAAATATTGGCAATTAGAATTACAAGCGCAGAGAAAGTACGGCTGAAACTTTCAGCTCAGAGGCGGCGGCCGAGCGCGCAAACGAATCCCTCATGTTCTGTCTCTCTCTCTCCCATTGCCGCAATGGGAATCACTTTCCGCCGTAATTACGACTTAATTTTGGGGAATTTTGAGAAGATTTTTTTACTGAGTGTTCTTCAAGTATGTTGCTATATCCCCTGGATCCTCAATCTTGAATAAATATTACGGTTTTTATTATTTTGGCAAATATATGCGGCTATTTTGAGCAGCGCGACGTGGTGGCCAAATCGCGGAGTTCCAAGCCTGGATTCACCTTAAAGATACTGAGAAAAGTAAGGGATCAGTTCTGCAGACACTCTCTGCATCCCTAGATATGACTCAGAGCAACATTCAGTCTTGGTCAGCACCTGCTTCATCCCAGCTAATCCGTCTCGATCGATTTAACCGCAAATTTGGTCGATCAACCAATCAATTTTTTTTTGTCGATCAATTTTGGTCCTGCTGGTTGATCTGACCAAAAAAAAAATTTAACCAACAGTAACCATAAACGGGAATTTTTAACCGCGTTGTTCGGGTTCAGCCCGTGCCTTAGCTCTGCCGTGATAGCGAGGAGAGCAGTAAGTGCAAAATTGAATCAGTGAGAACGAAAACACACCAACTCGATAACTCTAAAGTCCTCAATTTTCATTAAGGACAGTCAATTTTCATAAAGGTCATTGAAGTTAGCGAATCTATTCCAACTTGGACCTTTTAAGTGTCCGTCATAAATACTTTTCTTTCAGCACCAAAAATGTTTTTCTCGGACTTATTTCTTGACCTACTGTGCAGTTTTGTGTGTGTCCTCATTATTTTCATTTTTTCGAGTTGGTGTGTTTTCGTTCTCACTGATTCAATTGAAGTTTTGAGAAAACGGGCTTAGAAGCTTCTGACCGGAAAATTTTATTGGAAGAAACCTTTGTTGTTTCTCAAATTGCCACTAATCATCCGAAAGACTCCTAGAGAATAGTTTGTATGCCTAGCCGCAAATCATGTATAGAGATAATAGAGGATTTCCGACCAAGGTCAAAGGGACAAGCCGTAAGGCGCCCTTACTTCAACTTCAACTCATCGCAACCATTCTAAGCTCCTTCATCTCGTTGAGTATGCAATTTGATCTCCTGGGAGTTATCATGGTTGCTCCAAGTCCAAGTGAACCTCCACGGCCACCGACCTTTTCGGGCAAGGAGAAACAATTGGACGTATTTCTGCCAAACGGAGCTATGTGCATTTAGACATGAGCCTTGAGACCCATGAGAATGTATGCATAGCAGGGTTCACGTTATAATGCACATAGTTCAGTTTGGCATAAATACGTCCAATTGTCCGTCTTGAAATTCATGAGGAACTCTTGGTTTTATCACCACACGTTTACAATACGAACAAATTCAGATGTCCTTGAGTTAATGAGGAAAATATTGATGGTGTGACCACGGACCCTGGAATTTAGAATAACGTCACCCAAAAAAACGATGCTGGGGTTGGTCAGTTCAAATGACAAACGTCTGATAACGTTTGAGTCGTCATGGAGCATGGATGGATTTACTAGTTTTTTTTTTCTTCTTTTTCCGAAAACTAGGGTTTTCCTTGACTAGGTTTGGTACTATGATGGATCTTCCCTTCGAATTTATAGGTTGGCAACGACTGAATTTTTCATGTGGGGAGGTTGGCAGCCCTTTCAAGCCCTACACGGCTTCCAGATAACGATTTTACTTATGAAAGTCTTCGAACCTAGGTGTACTCTGGTTTCACTTCAATGGGTCAAGTAAAGGTTGGCAACAACTACAATTCGGTTTCGAATATTTCGTGGAGAAAAGTTGGCTGCCCTTTCAGGCTCTAAGACCTCCAAGAGCAAACTCAATCGTGATAGGCTCCCAACCTCAGTGCTTTATTTTCACTTCGATGTTTTTTTTTTTCAACGCATTTGATTGGTTTACGGTGATAGCCAACGTGACGTCACAGCTGAAAATGCTCCCAGGCTATGTTTGCACCACGCCGTACGTTATAAATATAGGCACCAGGGGTTGGATCGGGCAGTCCCTGGCCAGGACTCGTTGGTAAAGGTATTATGTGTTGCATGTGTGTTATATGTCTTATATGTTATTTATGTGTTTTATGTTATTTATGTGTTATATGTTTTTTATGTGTTATATGTTTTTTATGTGTTATATGTTTTTTATGTGTTATATGTTATTTATGTGTTATATGTTATTTATGTGTTATATGTTTTTTATGTGTTATATTTGTTATCTATGTGTTATATTTGTTATCTATGTGTTATATTTGTTATCTATGTGTTATATGTTTCTACTGATGCGTGTTGCGTATGTGTGTTGCGTATGCGTGTTGCGGGTTGCTTGTGTGTGTTGCGTGTTGCTTGTGTGTGTTGCGTGTTGCTTGTGTGTGTTGCGTGTTGCTTGTGTGTTACATGTTCCTTGCGTGTTACGTGTTGCTTGTGTGCTATATGTTGCTTTTATATGTTACGTGTTGCTTTTAAACGTTACATGTTGCTCGTGTTTGTTATGTGTTGCTTATCGCATGCTAGTTCTAATTTGTTGTTCTTTTTTATTTTTTGAGGTTTCTTTTCTCTTTGTCTTTTAGCGATTTAACGCACTTCCCGGTGTTGGTTCCTCCTCTTTTTCTACTAATTTTTTTTTTTGCTTTCTAAAAGACAAAGAGCAAAGAAAACCAGTAATTACTTGTAGATTCGCGTTTCAAAGTAGAGTCCCCCAACCCCTCCCGCGTAGTAACATAATTTCAATTATGTTACTTTTTTCTTTTTTTCTTTGTCTTTTGAAGCGTGCCAGTAGGGCTCGCTCTTTTTCTTCGTCTCCCCTCCCCTAACAGAGAGTGGGTCTAGGAATTTTAAATATTCTAACGCCTCGTAAATTTATAACAGGGGGCGGACGATACCGTAGCTTTGGTTCGAAGGATGCAGTGGTGTTTCGGCACTTCGTTCAGTCGGCCGGCGGCCATCGCTTTCCTATGACGGCTGAATCCATAACCAGGACCCGGTATGGTGCAAGTTAGAGGGCGGTAAAAGAAACCCTCGGCCCTTCTGGCGAAAAAAAAAAAAAAGATGGTCCATTTGTACGGGCGGGAGGATACGTAAAACTCCTTCATCCCTCTCTGTTTTTTCCGTAATTAGTCATGAAGTGGATTGGTAGGCCTACGGGGGAAGCAACCACTATAAAAAAAGAAATAGTGTATTTTCCGAAGAAAATACACTAGCAACGCGCCACTGAACTTACCTCCTGAGAAATTAAGTGTTCATAAAAGTCGGTCTTTCCCTGGTAAGAATAATCTGATGGGCTATCGCCAAAACACAGTGATGTGAGTTTTGACTGACATAAATTGTGTTTTGGTGATGGCCAACTGATTATCTTAACGAGGGTTTCTCTAAGGTGGTGTGGAAAGAGTTCCATAGATAAGAATCAAGTTTTCTCGTCGGTTTTTCCCAGTTCAAGTTGATGAGTTAGCCGTCACCAAAACAAACATTAATTGAAGTCATATGTGTTTTGGTAACGGTTAAATCTTAATTATGAAAAGGGGTTCTCTAAGGTGGCGTGGAAAGAGTTCTTCTGAGGATAAACCAGCAAATGGCAGGAAGTAATTGTAAGTCGCGAAATAGCTTTCTGAGATATTATGTAACACGTTACTTTCATTGAAGCGAAATAATAATATGGAAAACAGCTTTTTCTAGTTTCACACGCAGATAATTCACTTGTCCTCAGTGTTTCAAAAAAAAAAAACAAGAAATTAGGAAGCACATTGAATTGAACGTCTTTATATTAAAAGGAACCATATCCATTCTGACATAATCCCTAAGATCCATAAGAATGCATGCTTGGCAAGGCTTATGTCCCAACGGATGTAGTTTCTTTTGAGTCAAATGCGTCCAATTTTGGTTGAAGGAAGATTACTTTCGTTATAGAGCGAAATTGCTCGCTTACAGACAATCAGCAGCGATATACAAATAGAGGGAACGCAATGACAACGATGATATAGCCCGAAATGTGACGAGGACAAAAAGCGCAAAAAATGGGTAACCAAGGCTAAAAATTTGAATTTTATTGATCCTTTCTTACTCATTTTCTTTGATAATTTATCCGTGTGACAGAAGGGGTTAATATCGTACTGATCTCCAGACTTACTGGCCAAACGTAAGTCCTGAAAAACGCGTTTTCACGTCGGTCTCTCTTTCATAAAAAACCGTACTTCGCATCTAATCCGGAGCAGGGCGCATGATCGAGACTCAACTCTGCCGTGCTTAATAAAAGGTCTTATCATCATTTGTAATTTTCCGAATTTCAGCTGATAGAGCGAGAATTTTCTAGATAACTTACAAATATTTTTCTCTTCTAAGGATTCTCCTTGCTCTTGAACGAAATGTACTTGAAATTTTCAAAGAAATGTATCTATCGTACGTATAAGTTGATCGGATAAAATTGTCTGGAAAGAAATACTTGTCTTGGGGGAATGAGGATACAGAAATCTCATGGCAAAATTCAAATTTATAAACGACCTTTTTTAATAGCGCGGACGCACTGTATGACAGAAATGAATCAGTGAGAACAAAAACACACCAACTCTGTAGCTCGGAAATGCTCAATTTTCATTAGAGACAGTCAATTTCCATAAAGGCATCTATTCCAGCTTGGACCTTTCAAGTGTCCTTAAGTGCTTGTCCTTCGGCACCAAAAAACTTTTTCTTGGACTAACTTCTTCACCTACTATGCAGTTTTGTGTGCGTCTTGATTCTTTTCATTTTTCCGAGTTGGTGTGTTTGCGTTCTCACTGATTCAAATTTAGAAATAGAATTCCTGAAGTTTCCACCACTAACGTGTTCCACCACTTCCCGAACCGCCCACGCTACGAATAAAATTGTATGATGACCTCTGGAGTAACCTCTTCAATTTTGTAGATTAACCCACCGACACCTGAGCAGATTCTGGCCTCCGACACAAGATAGGGCGTATTTAAGTTGTATTTATTTATTTACCTTCGTATAAAACATGAATTTGTTATATGTTAACATGCATCATAATCAAAAGCCCAGACCCACAGTGTACTGTCGAAGGAGATCATGCGAGACCATGCCGAATACGAATTTTTGAAATTGTATGATTAAAAATCGACCGATTTTAATACATTATATCAATTGCAATCACGGCAATGTTAGCGCCTGCAAGATTACGTGAAAACTTAACGCATTGCGCGCACTCCACGGTGCTCACTGTTAGAGCCTGCAAGACTGCATGGATACTACATGCATTGCACGTACTCCACTTTGCTGCCGTGATAGCGGAGAGAACAGTAAGTGCAAAAATGAAGTTTTGGGAAAACGGGCTTAGAAGCTTCTGACCCGAACATTTTATTGAGAGAGGCTTCACTTCTTTGTCAAATTATCACTAATCATCCGAAAGACTTCTTGATATCATCTGTATGATTAAAAATTAACGGATTTTATTTCAATCACATAAAAAGGGTATTTTTCATTTTCATGCTAGGCTAGTGTTCGGCAAGATAGCCGTAAGTCCTATCCTTTGCATGCTTTCGTGGTTGCGTTCTGGACACACAACAAACACATTTTCAAGTTAAAAATTGTCAGAAGAGGGCGGCACTTTACTTGAAAGCACTGCCATCATTGGCTTTCTGGGGGAATATTGTTACCGCTGTCTTGCCTGAAAATACGTCATTTTTGTGCACTTATGGCTTTCCCACGTGTCTCGTTTTCATAAAAAGAAGATGAATTTTGCCGTTTTAACTATTTTATAGATTTCACCCAAAAGAGATTAAACGAATTTTGAAGGAGACTCATACATACATTCGAGTCGCTTTACAGCGCGCCCGGGCGCTCTGTGACACCAAATTGCCATCCTTGCCTATCGATCCAGAGGTCATCTGGTAAATGGCATCTTGTGATTTCATCTTGAATGCCACCTATCCACGATTTTGCTGGACGTCCCCTACGTTGAAGGAGACTCGATTTCGAAAATTTGACACTTACTGCTCTCTTCGCTATCACGGCAGAATTGGTGCCTCATCTTATTGAAATCACGCATGACGACACACACTAGATTGAGTCAATTGGACGTATTTCTGAACTATGTGCATTACGACGTGAGTCCTGTTATGCATATATTCTTATGGGTATCAGGGTTCATGTCTTAATGCACATAGTTCCGTTTGACAGAAATAGTCCAATTAGAGAGGCCGGACATGTCATTTCTTACTAAAACTGCAAATTTTGATGTTTAATTCGTCACATTTTGAATTTCAAAGGGGTGCTATTGATAGCGCAAATTTGACGAGAAAACTAATGGAACCTTTTTTAGAATCTCAATGTTTTGTATAAACGGAGTTATGAGCGTTTAAAGTCTCCAAATTTCGTCCGACCTCCCCTATTGACCCGATCCACCGTGCGCCACGCAGAACTGACCCATTTCCAAGACATGGCGCCTCCTTTCTCCCTAGAAAGAAACCCGAGATCTTTTCTTCTGGAGCCACCGTGAGGAACTGAGCACGATGCGTGAAGGCCGGGGACCGGTTGTGTCGGCTGGCTGAAGTCTGAAGCGGCGCTAAGTCGGACCGCCCGCCCGCCAGTCCCGACCGCACCGCGACGACGCCCGAGTCTGAAACGCCTGAAATTCCCACGCAATTTATTTTTACAATCCCGGATTTCTCGCGTCCCGGCGCGCGTTTCGCCCCGTCCAGTTTCCGCCGAACGCGCGCCCCAAAACGCAAACTTCCGCCGCGAGGATTCCAGTGCTGTTCGTGCTCTTCGACGCGCACTCCGTTCGCTTCTCCCAGGACCTCATTTGCTTCTTCCAGATATGCCGAGACCTTTGTGGCAGGTAGGCACTCATGGCCTTTTTTTTCTTTTTTGACACCGAAAAAATTAAATTGCTGATTTGACGATTCAATCGCTGGAAAAAGTGACGGCAATGTTTCAATGTAGATTTTACAACACAAAAATGATACTTGAACCACCCCCGTGGTGAAATCGGCTTACAACACTGCCGTGCTAAGGAAAAACGCCGTATGAACGTTCGAGAATTACCAAATTTCCTACGATAAAACGTTTATTTTTGAGGAAAATTATAAATATTTTTTCTTGAAAATTTCAGACTATTTTGATCAAATTACAAGCAAAATTATCTTATAAATTGGCAGAAAAATATTCAAAAAATTTCCTGAAAACTATTGATTTGCCAGAGGAAACTTGGCAACGGCTTAAGGTTCGTACGGCGTTTTTCCTTAGCACGGCAGAACAGTGGTCAAAGTAACATTTTTTTGTTGTAAAATCTACGTTGAAACGTTGCAGTCACTTTTTTCGCAATTGAATTGTTAAATCAACAATTTAATTTTTTCCGTGAAAGTGATTCTATGGTTGCCATTTTTTGTGTCAGAGCGATTTGCGAAATATCGCATCAATTCGTCCCATAATTTCAGCTACTTGTCATTTTTTTCGAATTTTGAGATCTCACTTCTGTTGTCATGAGACTAAGGAATTCACGAACCAATTTTGACACAGAAATTCAACGCATTAAAGGCAGGGGTTTTTCAGAGGAGAAAATCGCATTCGAGTATAGTTTCGATATCAGAATCGAATGAGATATATTTCCTCTAAAAATTTTCTTTGTCAAATTTGATAGATGAATTCTATAATCTCATGACAACAGAAGTGGGATCTCAAAATTCGAAAAAATGACAAGTAGTTGAAATCATGGAACGAATTAATGCAATATATCGCACGCCGCTCTAACACAAAATATGGCAACCGTCGAATCACCTTAAATGAGAATTGGACCGCGTTAAGCAGAAACGAACCAAGCCACATCATCTATTGCCAAATTTAATTGGACAGTGTAATTATTTACATGAACACAGTTGTACGGATTTGGGTGAAAATTTCAGTGCATTTTCTGCATACGGCGAAGCAAATTCCTTAAAATTTTCAAAGGTTTCAAGTGTTTCATAAAATGCAAGTATTCTCACATCAGTTTGATTCTGGAAGCGGTTAAGTTTCAATAAAAAGGCTAAAACTTAGTTTTCGCTCATATCACCTGTGCTAATTTGCCAGTATAAAATATGGTCTGAATTGAAGTATTTCGTTACACGCCCCCTGTTCAGATTTGTTCGAAGCATGAGATCGGATACAACTTTAATTAAACGGGCGACAGATGGCATCGCAGGTCGATTTGCATTTGCATTATGATAATTAACACGTCTATCTCAATTCGGCTTTGATCCCTGAATTATAGTGATGTAAACAACGCTGTTGGGTGAAGGAAAAACGCTGTATAAACATGGAGACGTTGCAAAATTTCCGTCGATAAAAACACATTTCCGGGAAATTTCATCGGTCCTTCCGCAAAAGAAGGAAAGTACTGCCGTGCTAAGGTAAAACGCCGTATGAACATTCGAGAGTTGCCAAATTTCCTACGATAAAACGTTTATTTTTGAGAAAATTTATAAATATTTTTTCTTGAAAATTTCAGACTATTTCGATCAAATTACAAGCAAAATTATCTTAGAAATTGGCAGAAAAATATTCAAAAAATTTCCTGAAAATTAGTGATTTGCCAGAGGAAACTTAGCAACGCCTGAAGGTTCATACGACGTTTTTCCTTAGCACGGCAGACTACCTCTCAAATTGCATTTGTACTGAGAGAGTCTTGGGCATTTCTAACTGTAAATCTCACTGATCTTGCTCCTGATCTCGGGTTGAAATCAGGAACATTTTGTTCAAAAACTTGACAAGTACTTAGTATTGAATTTTTGAGAGAGTAAATTAAGAAGTAAGTTTTTTATTAGTAAATTGAATTTATTGAGTGAATTTTGCAACCTTGTAATGGAGTTTTGTTCCTTCGTGCGGGGAACGACGAATTGTACGTATTTCTTCCAAACGGAAGTATGTGCATTGAGACATGAGCCCTGAGACCCCTTAGAATATATGCACAACAGGGCTCACGTTATAATGCACGTTCCGTCTGGCAGAAATACGTCCAATTTGGTTTTGTACTTCATAGTTTTCTCTGATAGGTTTTGTTTTTAACAGAGGTGTAAAATAAAGTAACGCCTTGAAATTTTCTATAGGCAACCTCCCTGGCTTAGGTGTGGACCTATTTATGCTACAAGGAACTATGTTACACGCAATCCCTATGCACATAGTTCCTTTTAGCATAAATATGTACGTATGTCGATGGCCGCGGTTCGAAACCACATATTTTCGTTTTTGACGTTGCAATCTTCCTGTCATACTTTATTTTTTCTTTCGAAAACATGTTAACGTAATACCTTGAAGACTTTCTTGATTTTTCATCTGTGTTAGTAGGTGATTCTGTATAAAATCTAAGCTATGAAGTTGACTTGTTTCTGTTAGAAACTATACAAAATAGGAGCAGAAATTTTGAAACACCGTAATTGAGATACGTGGTTTTGCACTTCGGTCATCGATGTACCGAAGAAATTCACACAATTTTAAGTCAGAATATTCTTTAATTTCCAGTTGAAAAAATAAAACAAGGAAGGAAATTAGACAACGTCTAATTCAGATAGGCTGATTCTGTTTAACTGCGACCGATTAAAATTGTCTTTTCACAGAATTTTAATCACACACTAGCGTCATTCATGAAGATTTTTTACTTTCTAAATGTAGGAAGAAAAATTATCTGGGATTCTTCCTAGATTGACGGGAACTTTGAATAAATTAAAAAGTTTTAGACGAACCATATTTTTCCAAATCAATTCCCTTTTATTTCAATGTCCCATGCGACTCCAGGCCAACTATCATTTCAAGTAGTTGGAATATCGTTGGTAGTCACTCTACGAATCGAATCTGTGAACAATAAAGATGACAATGAGATGAAATTTCGTGAAAATTCACACTTTGAACGAGGTGTTTCCTTATAAAACACGGAACAATTTAAAATTCTAAGTCGCGGACAGGAGATATTTCGTCGACTCGCATAATTTGACCAACTGCTTAGATTTTCGTCCCAATTCTTAGTTTGACTAATTGTCTACGACATATTCACTCCCTATATGTGCATGAAGAGTGTCATTAGATATAGAATTGGTCTTTTCTAGTGACGTGGCGTGCTTTGCGATATATCGATTGATGGCCTATGGAAAGGTATCGATAAACAGGGTGTTCGCAGCAAACACCATAATAATCGATTATTTACCACAGCTTCAAATGGGGAAATATCGATAGATCGCAAAGCATGCCACGCCACTGGTTTTTTCGTAAAACAGTGGATTCCTCCAAACCGGACTCAACTTAAAGAGCTTTTTTGAGCATAAAAAATCGTCTCAGAGGAAACCAGTGGCACTAGTGGCGAAGCAAGAATGATCGATTATCGATTTTCCTTCATTTGAAGCTATGGTAAAGAATCGATCATTAAGGTGTTCGTTGCGAACACCCTGAATATCGATCCTTTTCCACAGGTTCAAATGGCATAACAATCGATGTATCGCAAAGCATGCCATGCCGGCACTATCGTAAGTCTCACGCGAGATTTTACACAAGTTTGAGTAATCAAATCGCAAATCCCCGTGGCATGCAAAAAATCCATTACGGCGTTCAGAGCCGGATATTTCTTTCTTTCTTTCTTTCTTTCTTTCTTTCCCCTCAACCCTTTTGTATTTTTACTGATATTTCCATGTAAATTTATTACTTTTACTGCCCTCTTTAGAGGTGTAAATGGCCTTAGATGCTAAAGCACCGCTTTAAAATAAAATTATTTTACTACTACTACTACTACTACTACTACTACTTTCTTTCTTTCTTTCTTTCTTTCTAAATTTATTACTATTACTGCCTTCTTTAGAGGTGTAAATGGCCTTAGATGCTAAAGCACCGCTTTAAAATAAAATTATTTAACTGCTACTACTTTCTTTCTTTTTTTTTGGGGGGGGGGACGAAAAAGCGCAAGAACCGAAGCTTCTTAATGGATGACATGTCGTTGTTAAAACTCCCCTCTAAAATCTACTTTGCTGGAAACGGATCCATGAAAGCGTGCATTGGAGTGCGATTTGGCAACAAGCAGGGAAGTCTGGAAGTGCTCAACGTCTGTTTGCCGCAATTTCGGCATACCGCGGCATACTGCGGCATACCGCGGCACAGAGCGCGTTGCATTTCGCGCAAAAACACGCCAATTTCCCAACGGGCCCGACGCGAGATTCCTGGGCCTTCGACAACGAGCCGCGCACCGCACACCTCCCCTAACGGCGTACAAAGGAACGAGTCAATTAGAGAGATTGCACAGAATTTTGAAATTTCGGAAGCTTATTTATCTTCGAAATTACGCAGTGAAGAACTTTAATAGGTTCCTTTCGTGTTTCCGTGAAATTTCCCTTCAGGCATACTCCTCAAAATTGCGATTTCAATTTTTTACTTTTTCACAAATCTCTTTTCCACTGTGCGGCGGCAGACGAAAACAGACACATGACTAAACTCCCCCCCACCCCCCGGTCCCTCAGGGCACATCTCGATCCTCATTATCACTGTTATTCTTCCCTATTTTTAGCCGAAAAAAAAATAGACGAAATAGTGAGAACGCTGTTTTCCGTTCGCTTTCAGTTGCACTATATAGAGTACCCAGATAGAGAGAGTATAGACATAACTATAGTATAGTATATTATAGTATAGTACATTATGGTATAATAAATATAGTATAGTAGATTATAGGATACTCCAAATAGTTTAGTATATTATGGTATAATAAAGATAGTGTAGTATAATAAATATATAGTGTAGTTTATTATAGTATAATGAATATAGTGTAGTATGGACATAACGTAAGATCTGTAATTTTGGAAATCTATCAGGCCTTCACCAACCCCCCCC